TTCCAGGTGGGGCTTTGAGCCCAAGCCTGGTCCAAGCTCCCATCTGGGCTTCGATGAGCCCCTCCGAATGGAGGGGAAGGCAGTGGCCTGTCAGGTGCACTGAGGACCCTGGGGACAGCCTCAGGTGGCCCCACAACAGGTTGGCTAGGGCACCCCTGGATCCATCCCCAACCCTGGTGCCAGGACTTTCTAAGAGCTGGAGGAGTAGGGTCAGGAGATTCCGGACCTTCCATGCAGCCCACAGGCCTGACACTCACTCCCAGGCCCGCACCGAGGTGTCCGCCTGCAGCCCGCACAGCTGGTCCCGGAGCCCAAGTGCCCCTCATCGCCTCTTCCTGCCTTGCCCACCAGGACCAGCAGATTCCACCTCCTCCAAAGCCACCCTGACTTCCCCCAGCCCAGCCCATTTCTCCGTCCGCACGGCTCCAGGCCGGCCTCCTGAGCTGGGCCTCAGGCAGGGCCCAGGGCCAGAGCCCAGCAAGGGTGCGAGCAGGGTCATGCGGCGTTACCCCAACTCCCAGGGGAGACCACAGCCAGCCGTGACTTCCTGTCCACGGAGGGGTGGCCCCACTTGGCCAGGCCAGAGGGAGGGCAGGGAGCCAGCCCGGGAGCACGCCATCACCGCCAGGCAGCCCACACCATCCAGCGAGATGCTGTGTCCTATCAGCTCTTCAAAGAGGACATTGGTCTCCTCTCAAGGAGACCGACTCCCCTCCCCGTCCTCTGCATGAGCTTTTGCATCCTACAGAGGCGCCCAGTCACCTGGATCGTGCCGCCCGCCACCCGTCTCCCCGCTCTCCGACGGCTGTGTCTCAGCCTGGCCTGTCACTCACCCCCCCGCCCCTGTCCTCCTGCTTCCGTGTCTGTGCCTCATCCCAGGGGACCCCAGTGGGTCCGGGTCCCAAGGCCCTGGCTGGCGGTCTGGACTCTGCTGTTACTCTTACCTTTAGATGTTCAGCAGCATGAATATTCTTATTTTTTATTTAAAACTAATTTCGACTTCTCACTCTCTAAGGGGCTTCTAATCGCCGAAAAGCGCCTACGGCAAGAGATGATTGACAGGCCACGGTGGCCACTTCTGAAGAACAAGTTGGCCATTGGCAGTGCCACAGACAAAGGGGAAAGCCGGCTGGTGATTGGTGGGCTGTTCGGAAATGCGACTAGCATCTGCCTCCCACTGGCAAGCACCTGTCAGTCATCAGGAGATGGCGAACTCGCCCGTTTAATAGTTACTTTGTTCAAAAAGTCATTAAAATTGAATGTCAGCTGAAACAGGAAAACATTTACTCTTCAAACGCCTTTCAGTCTTGCTGGTGAGCTCTGCCCGTGGACAAAGACATTAGTTTGTAAACAGGGAGGTGCCGCCCCAGACAGAGCAAGAAGCAAGGAAGAAAGGCCTGGCCAGGCCGACCGCTCGGGCCTGCGCTGGGAGGCGGCCGGCCCCACTCGGGCAGCTGGCTGGACAGGGCTCGCCAGGCCCTCTCTCCGCTCTCCGCTTTTCTGCAAATAAACTGAATGCTCTCACTAAGCTGGAGAGCAGCCGGTCCCGAAGGGCTGGTCAGGGGCCGGGCCCACCCCCCCAGGGTCCTCCCCGCACGCTGACTGCAGACCAGGCCCACTCCGCCTGGTGCTCACCCTGCCGAGAACTGCTGGGAAGCCACCGATTAGGGGTGATTCTGGAGAGAATCCGTGACAGGAGCCCACAGGCCAGATGGGCTACAGCAGAGTGCTAACTAGGGAGTCAGAGCAGGGCCGGCCCCTCCCAGGGGTCTCCTGCTTCCCAAGTCCCAGGCACAGAAACTGTCCTGAGGCCACGTGCTGCCCAACGTCCTGACTTGGTAGGGACGGAACATTGGAGACAAGGAGGTGCACTGGGGGTGGCGGCAGGAAGCCCCCCACTGGACGGAAGGGCTGTATCTGGCTGGCCAGAGACACATCCCTGACTGTCCCTGGACGGAGGGGAAGGACAGGGCCAGGGTTTCAAACTCAGGTCAGGCACAGGTGGAAACAGGGGCGCCACGGCCCCTGAGGAGCCACCTGGGAGGGATCAGCAGGGTTGGCCCCAGGCCCGCCCTTCCTCTGTCCCCCTTCTTTCCACAGTGTCCAGCCTCCAGCCCTCCCCCACACACAACCTGGTGGTGACTCCCCCACCATCCCCCGTGCGGTGCTCTGAGCTGTACCGCCTCCCACCCATCCCCTCCCTGTGGAGAGAGGAACATCAGCTCCCACTGAGGGGGCAGCTGCCACGGGCGCTGGAGGAGTCTGGGAACAGGAGCTGGGGCAAGAGTGGGCACAGCCCTGTCCGACAGCACCCTCTGTCGGCCAGCTATGGGGTGACAACAGCCGTGCCCTCCTGAGGCGCCTCCTGGTGGTGGGCTGTGCAGGTTACATACGCCTAATTCCAGGTGGCGAGCCCCTCCTTCGGGAGCTAAGGGACAGGCAGGGTTGGGCATGGTGTTGGGACCCTGCCAGAGGTGGGGACATGTCTGACTTGACTGCACCAGATAGCACTGGGCGCCCTCCCACCGAGGGACCACGCCTCTGTTATCAGCACCCTCCCCGCCCGCAAACACTCCCCCCGACTCCATGGAGCTCTCTGTCCTGGGGTCCAACATCGGCCTGGGAAGGGTTAAGGAGACCCCACCCAAGGATTAGGGTGACATTCTGGACCAGAACCGTCTTTGAGGGGAGGAGGCTGGGCCCACCTGCTGTACTGGGCCCTGCACCCCCAAACCCCACACGCGGCCTCGGCCTCTGTCTTGTGAGGAGTGGCAGAACTGTGACCAGCCTCAGCACCAGGAGGCCCGAGAGCAACCGTTCCAGGTGCCTGGGGCTCCCCTTCGGCACAGAGCCACCGTCACCGCCTGGACCCTGGCTCCCGTGGGGAGGGCCGCCTCTCTCAGAGTTTATAGCTTGTGATGGATTAAAAACAAAGGTGTTCACCGCACCCCTGGTTCACAGCTGCATGTTCACAACAGCCAGGAGGTAGGAACAACCCAGGCGCCCACAGACGAATGGATGCGCATAGCACAGTTGTGGGCCCTATCCAGCGTTCACGGCCAAGAGCGCAGAAGCAAGGGCACAGCGATCTCACGCACGCACAGCGCGCCCTTCTGCAACTCAGAGACGGAGGCCTCACACGGCAGGAAGCCTCTTTTGTCTGCGTTGGTGTGAAGTATGTTGCTGACCAGCGTGCGTGCTGCTCGTTGGGGCGACTGCGTTTGCGTAGCTCCTATGTTGGAGGCTGCTTTGCAGGAAAGACGTATTATTGACAAGCCGGGTGCGGCTGCCTGCCTCAGCAACTGCTTTGAAGAACTGTTTGGCTGATGGCTCGTTAGCCATGGCTACTTGGGCTACAATAAAGACTCTCTCTACGCCCGTGATTTCTCATGTCTTCTCTGTCCGATACCCAGTGTACAAGGAGGCCCAGTTCCTGGCAGAGGGACTCGGGCCCGACAGTCGGCGTCGTCAGACGGGAGGAAGAGTGAGCACGCCCAGCAGTGGCCCATCCACACAGGAGGGAGAGGAAGGAAGTCCGACACCTGCTCCACACGGGGAGCCTGGGGGCATTATGCTGAGTGGGCAAGTCAGTCACTAGAGACAAATGGTCCATGGTTCCACTTATACGAGGTGCTTAGAGTCGTCAGAACCACAGACTAGAAGGGTGGGTGCCAGTGTCTGGGGCCGGGGAGTGAGTGTTTAATGGGGACAGAGTGTCAGTTCACAGGATGAAAAAGTTCTGGAGATGGTGGTGGCGGCTGCACAGTAGGGTGAATGCACTCCTGTCGCTGAGCTGCCACTCACATGCAGTTGCCATGGTGGCCCTCCTGTCGTGTCCTGGGAGCTGCCTCAGGACAGCGGGCCACAGAAGTGGGTCTACTTGAGGTTGCTCATGAAACCCCAGCCGGGCAAACCCAAGGCCTTTATGGGACATTCGAGTTCTCCCTGCACCTCTGCAAACAGGCCCAGCCCACCCACCAGACTCACTTTGTGATCAAGAATCTCTCAGATTCAACCTGGCCGGTTTTGCTCAGTGGATAGAGTGTCGGCCTGCGGACCAAAGGGTGCTGGTTCGATTCCAGTTAAGGGCACATACCTGGGTTTTGGGCTAGATCCCCAGTGGGGGGCATGCAGGAGGCAGCCAATCCATGATTCTCTCTCATCATTGATGTTTCTGTCTCTCTCCCTCTCCCTTCCTTTCTGAAATTAACAAAAATATTTTTTTAAAAAAATAATCTCTCAGATTCTTTCTAATTAAAAGTGGGGAGACTAGCCCTAGGCCAGTTTAGCTCAGTGGATAGAGCATCGGCCTGCAGAATGAAAGGTCCCAGGTTCGATTCCGGTCAAGGGCACGTACCTCAGTTGCAGGCTCCTCCCTGGGGCACATGCAGGAGGCAACCAATCGATATGTTCTTCTCACATTGATATTTCTCTCTGTCTTTCCCTCTCTCTTCCACTCTCTCTAAAAATCAATGGAAAAATATCTTCAGGTGAGGATTAAAAAAAAAAGTGGGGCCGAAACCGGTTTGGCTCAGTGGATAGAGCGTCGGCCTGCGGACTGAAAGGTCCCAGGTTCGATTCCGGTCAAGGGCATGTACCTGGGTTGCGGGCACATCCCCAGGGGGAGATGTGCAGGAGGCAGCTGATCGATGTTTCTCTCTCATCAATGTTTCTAACTCTCTATCTCTCTCCCTTCCTCTCTGTGAAAAATCAATAAAATATATAAAAAAAAAAAAGTGGGGAGACTGTGGGGGAAGTTTGTGCTGAAATAGGAACCAACAGATGTCCCTGCACAGTTGGCCTGGGCTGTGTGACTGTGGGCGGGGCTGCTGGGCTCTGTGGGGAGCTGATAGCAGTGCCCCTGTTCCTGACACCAGCCGTGGGGTCACGCAGCACCTCGCCCCATGCAGTGCCCTGGCTACCCCTGGGTCTGTTTTGGGGGTTCTCCTTTGACCTGTTTGTAACACTTTACTGGTTTCCTCATGAATGAGTTCAAAAAATATTTTACAAGTATTTATTCTTTTAACAATGTGCTTTAAAATAACAGTCTTCTTTTAAATAAATGAATAGTCATCATTTAAATAAGGCTTTGGTACGTGCCCCACATTTTATATTTCTTTTCTCTCCATATATATCTGGCGACACCTATTATTCATGAGCGATGGCTCCTCTGTCGTAAACCGGAAGGCAGGGTCACCTGGTTCTGGGGAATGGCTTGGGCAGGAGAGGGTGCCAGGTTCCCACACAATGGCACCGGGTGCCAGGGAAGCAGAGTGCATTGCTAGTGTCTGGGGATCCACGGGAGGGAGACCTTGGGGTCGGGTCTAAAGACAGCCAAAGGGCTGGAGCTCACTGCCCCCCACCCAACCCGGGGGACACTTGGTGACATCAGGAGACAGCGTTGGGGGCCAAGGATGCTGCTCAATCCCCCGTAGTACACAGGATGCCCCCGGAGAATGATCCGGCCCGAGTGCCAAGAAACAAAGCCAAGCAGTGCTGGGGGCGGCGTGCAGTCCAGGCCCTGTGCCAGCCGCTGCTCCCAGGCGGCTGAGGGCAGGGCACACCTGGCTCTGCACTGACTCCAGCCACCGGTGACAGGCCCACCAGTGCTGAGGAGGGCACGCACCCTGTGGCAGAGGGGAAACTGAGGCCCCACTCCTGCTCCACCAAGGCTCACTCTCCGAGGTCCCATGTTTGCAGTCAAGAGGAGAGGCTCTTAAATGAAGCCACTCGCCCAAGGCTGATGGACGGGCCTTGGGGCGGGGGGCGGGCAGCTAGAGGTCCTCCTGCCTGGGGCTCAGGTCCACCCTCTGGGCCTTTCCAAACATCAGGAAGGTGCACAGCCCCAGGCTGCTGACCGCGGCCACCAGGTTGAACACGGACGTCCAGGAGCCCGTGGTCTCAATGAGGTAACCACCCAGGCCCACACCCACAACACCTGCACCCAAGAGAGGGGACAGCAGGGTGAGTGACAGGCAGTCCCAGGCAGTTTGGGTGAGAGGAGCTGTTGGGGGGGGGGGGGGGTGCCTGGAGGAAAGGGGCCTGAAGCGAGAGCCAAATTCGGTGTCTGAAGGCCGGCCAGTCTCAGGGGGCAGAGGCCTCCCAGGCCCTGCAGGAGACAGGCCACCTCTGTGCCTCCAGCGGGGCTGGGGCGGTGGGAGGGCCGTGTTCTGTCATCCAGGCACTTGACCCATGGGGACCCGGGACCTTGGGGATTTGACTCACATTTGAAGGGCAGGTGAACCCTACAGTGCGGGGGAGGTGAACCCTGCAGAACGCAGCTCTGTTCTCTCTCTGGACAGCATGGAGGTGTGCCCCCACCACACTGATCTGACACTGCTGGACCCCCCTGAAGGGTGCCACACCCCACCCTGCATGGCCAGAGGGTGGTGGGAGGACACGGGGTGGGAAGCCAGGGGGTGTCCCGGGCACCACCGGCAGGGGACCCCCGCCCGCTTCTCACCTGCCAAGGCTCCAGCTGTGTTGGCCACACCTACGGACAGGGCAGAGAGGAAGACCATCAGAGGGGTCCCACTGTGACCCTCCCAGGCAGCCCACCTGGGAGCAGCTGCCGAGGCTCCGGGCAGGGGCCAGGGTCCTCACCAAAGAGCACACCAGCGCAGGACGGGGCCAGGTCCTGAATGTTAACAGAAATGCCACTGTGGGGAGGAGAGCACGTGGCAGGTGACCACGGGCAGCCACCATCCACGGAACTAACGGCAGGCCTCTGAGCACCTGGAGACCACTGGGGGCTCAGGGCAGCCCAGCGGGTGCTTCCGGGCCGTGCCCAGACGCTCGGCCACACGTGGGCCATCTGAGCTCCCAGCTCCCCGTCTGGGCAGCGACACAGCGAGGGCCCCACTCCCAGGATGAAACAAACAAGAAGGCCAGCTTGCCGAATGTACACTCCTTTGCGGTCCATAAATCTGAAAAATGACAATTCCCAAAACGACTCCCCATGAGGTCCCTCTGATTAAACGGGGCTGATGCTGGGCACTGGAAGGACCGGCGCCGCCCACGGATGGGCGTGGACTGGAGGAACTGCTCCTCCTGGTGGACAAGACGCCGCCTCCCCCAAGCCCCCCCTCAGCCCCGCCCCCAGCGCAGCGTTTGTTTCCTCAAATGGCCAAGTCCACGCCCACTGATGCCAGACAACCGTTTGCCTCTGTGGCTCGTGCGTGGACCTGCCATGGCCCGCCCTCCACACGGCCTGAGCCAGGCGGCTCCCCCTGCGCACCAGGCTGCAGTGCTGGAGGCCGAGGGCAGATGGGCGTCTCTGGTGGGCAGGGCGTGGGCCCTTACCTGTGGTTGAAGGTCTGCAGGCCAATGGAGGCTGATGCAAAGAACACAGACTTACAAAAGCTGGAGGTGTGACCCAAACACAGGGCAAATACGCTGGACAGGCCCAGGCCCATCACCTGCAGACAGACACTAGGGTCAGGCGGGGCTGTGCCAGCAAAGGGCCAGGGGTACCCCTCCCAGGCATGGGCCGCCCCAGGGGGGAGGCAGGTGTGTGGGGTGAGCTATCCCTGCTGGTTGAACCTCAAGTGGAAAGACGCTATTAGATGTGAGCAAATGCAGGCCCCGAATGGGTGCTGGGGCTCAAAAGGGCACAGAGAGCCGCACACACAGTTCCGAGAAGGGGTGGCCGCACCGGCCCCAGCACAACCAGGGCACCCTCCAACGGCCCTGCTACACCAGCCACCTTCTGGGTCAGGGGGTTTGGGGACACAACCCTCGTGTCCCAGGAATAAACAGGATGTCCAAAGACAGCCATCCCACGGCCTCCATACCTGCATGAACTTCCGCACGGTGATGGTTCTATAACCTGGACAGAGGGGAGACCAGGATGCGTTCCCACGGCACCGTTTGCATTGACCCCTCCCTCCGACAGCACCCACAGTGGAACCCCTCCCCCCGCCTGCCCCTGGCAGAGCTGCAGGAGGGAGCAGGGAGAGGCCCCAGGCTCAAGCCGCGATATTCTGTGTCGTGGGAGAGGCGTGTGCACACTCGTGTGTGTGCTGTGGTGCATCCACTCTGAGGTTCGTCTGCGTTCCCAGGACCCGAGGCTGAGGCCGGGCAGGTGCGTGGAAGGAAGGCCACTCTGACGGTTAAAATGTGCCCTCGGGCCCGCTCACACCTGATTTTGACTCTGACCCCACCAGGTGCCCTTTCCACCTCTGAAGAGGGTGGGGGCTGCATCCAGCCCTTGGGAGGGAGCTCCACTCACAGGGGGACTCGGATCCTCTCGCTGCACCCCAAGTCCACTCTTAACTGAGGTGGGGGTCACCCGCTGCCTCTGAAGGGCTGGGGTCTCACTCTCCCAGCTTGGTCCTCAGGGGCCATGGCCTCTTCCCATCGCTGTGGCTGCCCTCCCAGGAGGGGCGCCTCTCCCTCCCACAGCGGGGTGAGTCCAGGCATGGCTCCCCCAATTCCCATCCCCAGGGCTCACCCTGACTGATGAGATGGTCAGAGAGAAACCCGCTGAACAGACTGGCGGGAATCGCCACCAGCCAGGGCACCACGTTGAAGACCCAGCCCTGTGGAGAGGGAGGCGGGTCTCAGAGGCAGCCAGGCTGGCACCAGCCCCTACCCTCATCCTCACCCGGGGGTTGGGCCTCCCTAACCCATCCCCATGGGGCTAGACCCCAGCACAGTCTCCCCTGCTGCCGAATCTCCCAGGGCAGAGCAGGGGGTGGGGGGAGTTGGGGGAGGAGGGTACCGCTCAGGGGGTCCTGGCCACCAGGACCGGGAGGTGACATCCCCGTCGCATCAGGCCCCTGCTGGGCCCTCCTCAGAAATGACCGTCACAGATGGCGGGCCCAGTCACAGGCCTGGGCTGAGTGTGGCGTTGCGGGGTCAGGGGTCAGGACCGCGTGGGCGGGACGGCAGGGCCCTCTGCGCACGGGCGTGGCGCTGGCCATGCGGTGCGGCTTCGCCCTGCGGAGCCCAGGCGGCCCACCCACCTTGGAGCTGGGAAAGGTCTCCTTAAAGAAGGTCGGCAGCCAGGACAGCAGGATGAAGAAGGAGCAGGCAGCTGAGAGCTGGGAGAAGACGGCCGCCCTGCAGGGGGGTGCCTCTCAGGTCCATGGTCCTCAGCCCCCAGGGCAGCCAGAGACCGTGGGAGACCCTGGCTCTGTGACCAGTCAGTGCTAAGGACACCCAGTGTCCCCACCCTCTGCCCCTGCCCCACCAGGTGACCCCGCCCAGCCAGCTCACCAAACAGAAGGCTTCCGGAAGAGCTGTCTCCAGGGAACCCTGGTGTGCCTGGCCATCGGCAGGCCTTGCGCCAAAACGCCCAAGGCCAGAATGTGATCTGGAGGGAGCAAGGGGTGCCTGTGTGAAAGCTGCTTGGAATCAGGGGACGGCAGCTGCTCTGCTCTTAAGACCCATTGATGGGGCGGGGGGTGGGGGGTCCCTCCCACTGTGTCCAGTGCCTTCGAGGGTCCACTTTTCTGATCATCCCCCCTCCCCCAGCCCTGAGCCCCCATCCCCTCTTCTGCCATCTGACACGCAGCTCCCTGCCTCTGCCTTGACCCCTGCAGACCTCTCAGCTTGAACTTGGTGTTAACCACGGGGGTGGGGTGGGGGTGGGGGGTGGGGAGGTGGGGCAGGTAGCGCAGGCATGTTTTCTGAGGTCCTCGTCTGGGGCTGAGCTGCAGCCCCTGGTCCCCTGAGCTGGGGCTGCTCTGTGATTTTCACATTTGGTGGCGGCCAGAGGGGCCTGGGCTCCAGGCCAGAGGGGCCCTGGCTCCAGGCCCTCACCCTTCCTGGGCGGCCGAATTTGCAGGCTGTGCCTACGCGGCCGCAGTTACCTTGTTTGCTCAGCAGGTACCTGTACACGTAACACACCCACAGCAGGGTGAGGCCTCCAGAGAGGTAGAAGACGCTCTGCCAGCCGCACCAGTCCAGGAGCAGGGAGCCCACTGCCCCCGTCACCAGCGTCCTGGAACAAGAGGATAGTGGCCATGACTCGGCTTCACCCAGGCAAGGAGGCGCCTGGACCCACCCAGCCCTGTGGCTGAGGCAGGGCACAGGGGCGCTGTGGTACTTGAATGTCTTGCTCCGCGGCCCGTAAGGGGGCCTGAGCCCGGCCGGCCTGGCTCAGTGGTTGAGAATCAACCTATGAACCAGGAGGTCGTGGTTCAATTCCTAGTCAGGGCACATGTCTAGGTTGCAGGCTCCATCCCCAGGGTGGGGCCTGCAGGAGGCAGCCAATCCATGATTCTCTCTCATCATTGATGTCTCTCTCTCTCTCTCTCCCTCCCTCTCCCTTCCTCTCTGAAATTAATACCAATATATTTTTAAAATAAATAAATTAATAAAAAGAAGGAGTTCTGAAACTGCGGTGTGGGTCTCTCTAAACCAAAACCCCCAACCCCTGGGGCCTCAACCCCCAAACATCACTGTTCAGGGGCTGCTTCTCCACCACCCCATCTGCCAAGGTTTGGCCAGGAGATAGTAAAGGAGAAAAAAAGCTGGGCTCAGACTGAGGCCACTGGGCCTGCGGGGGTCGCTTCCTCTCTAAGCCTCCATTTCCCTGCCCCCCGCCATGGGCCGGGGACACCCAGGTGAAGCGGGATTCCAGATAAATGCGGAGTGTTGTCCTGTATTGCTTCTCTGAACATCACACTGCACTGGGCACCCTGGGTTCTTATTTGGGCTGCCCCAGCCCACCCAGGGGCACCCCTTGCCCCTCTAAATTCTGCGTGGACCTTGGGGTCAGGAAACCCATCAGGACAGGGAGCTGTCCTTCCACACAGAGCCGAGGGGCAGGGCACAGGTTCTCACTTCCAGATGTGACGTGTGCCCGCCAGGACGAGTGCAGGCCACCTCCCATCGGAGACCACTCCCCACATCTGGCTCCATCAGCACATGTGAAAGGGAGCTTGACAAAGTGCTGCTGCCCTGGCCCATGAGCACAGCCCAGCCACTCGCCTGCCGCCAGCACCGTGCACAGCGCCGCCTGGAGCACAGAACCAGCCGGACCCAGTCACTTGGAGCCACAGAAGCACCCACATGGCCTGTTCCACCACCGACGGGGCTTTGCTGGGGCCACGCACTTTGTGTCCCCCCCCCCCCCCCCGAGGCTCGGACTTACCCGAACTGGGAGCCGGCCCCCACGGTGCTGTAGGTGAAGGCTCGCTCACTCTCCCGGACCTTCTGCGACAGCAGGCTGGTCAGTGCAGGGAAGTAAACCCCTGGAGAAGCAGAGAGTGCAGCCGCCGAGGGTGAGGCCGGCTGGGAAGCTCCCCGTCGGGGATTATTCAAGCTTGGGGTGTCCTTCAAGCTCGCATCGCCCCAAGGAACCAGCAGCAACACTTGGCTAAGGAGATGCTCAGCTTGGATGAGAGGCGCTGGCGGGAAAGACTTCTGCCACCTTCACCCTGGCTTCCACACCAGCTCTACAGTCCTGGCACATGCATGTGGCGTGTCCACCTGCACACACACCCACTGGTTCACATTAGCACATGCTATCTCACACACACACACGCATGCTGCGCATACAACAGGTGAGACCTGATGGCCTGTGGAACCACAGTGCTGGGTCCGGGTGTGATGCTTCCCTGTAGCTACTTGAGATGTCACCACAGGAGGCGGGAGAGAGCACAGAACTTCCCATATGTTTCTCTGCAACTTCCTGTGAATCTATAATTATTTAAAAATCTCATGTTTAAAAAACGGCATTGGAAACTTCAGCTCTTGCCTGTCATGCTGTAAGAGGCTGGGGACCAGAGTAGGACTTGGTTCCCCTCAGAGCACTGGCCCTGCCCACCAGAGTGCCAGCCACCCAGGGTGACAGCTGCCCTGGAGCCTGGTCTGTCCCCCATAACGGGCCATAGACCAGCACATAAGAAAGGCCCTTTGGCCTCCCAGGATGGGGAGAAACAACCTGAGCTGAGGGCCACCCGACAGCCCAGCTCTGGGACCTGGGTCGACAGGACCCTGAGCACCAGCCCTGAGCCACAGGGGGACCATCTGGGCTGGGTTCACGGGAGCACAAAGGCCAGACTGGTGGGGCTGGCTGGTCAGAAAATAGGCACAGGCCAACTCCAGGAGAACAGGGGTCCTAGGGCCCATGCCCATGCCCTGCCAGGATCTGAGGGGGTGCCAGGGGTCCCTTCTGGAGCAGGTGGGGCGATGTGGTGAGGAAGGGCCCAGAACCCACGCACTCGGGGGAACCCAGGAGATGGATGCTACAGGGCTGGTGCTCAGAGGCCGTCCCTTCCCCGGAGCGGGGGCCGGGCGCCACCTGCTCACCTGGGCCACGGGGGTCTTTGGGGACTCTCCCCAGAAGTCCAGTGTGACCAGGGCATGGGAGCCCATGTCCCCACCATGCCTCATGGTGTTGATGGCTGTTAGACAGCAACTTGGCTGCCACCCAGGAGTAGCTGTTTTGGCAGGAGAATGTCTGACATTAGAATGTGCCAGACTCTGAAATGCTTCTATTTATTTCATTGTTGTTGTTAATTCTCACTCGAGGATATTTTTGCCATTGATTTTTAGAGAGTGGAGGAAAGTTGGAGGGGGAAAGAGAAACATTGATTGGTTGCCTCCCACATGTGCCCTGACCTGGGGACCGGGAATCAAGCCTGCAACCCAGGTATGTGCCCTTGACAGGAAATCGAACCCAAGACCCTTCAGTCCGAGGCCCAATGCTCTAACCACTGAACAGACCAGCCAGGACAGAAATGCTTCTAGAAACGGAAATTGCTTAGGTGCCAAGGCATCGTCGGGCCAAGCAGCCCACCCATCACACACAGGAGCACACAGGAGCACACACATGCATACACAGTGCACACACATGCTCCGTGAGAGTCTGACACCAGTGAGGGAAGCCCCTGCAGCGTGCCTACCTTGGAGCAAGCCCGTGAGGACGCGAGAGAAGGTCATGAAGGCCAGGTGGGCGCTGCCCAGGTGCGCGAGCAGGGGCGTGGCGGCGGTGAGGAAGCCCCAGGCGGAGGCTGACAGCAGGATCACCTTCTCACCCCCGATCCTGGAGGGGCCGAGAGGGCAGTGATGGGGAAGCTGCGGGGCCAGCCATCCTGCCGTGGAGACAGCCAGGTGGGGCTCAGGCCACCCCTCCGCGGAGCCGTTCTCCAGGGTCGTGCTGAGCCACACCCCTCTGCGGAGGAGGCCACGGGTGAGAGCACAGGGTCCAGTCCGTCCATCCATCCCGCCTGCCCCAGGAGCTCTCACTAGGATGCTGAGCACCCAAAGGGTAGCTGTGCCCCCCCACCCCCTGGGCTCAGGTTTCCCACTTCCCAGTCGGCCTTCCCCCAAGAGCTCTCCAGCCTAGCACGGGAGCGGGGAGCGGGCAGTTACCGGTCCCCCAGGTGGCCACCCAGGATCTGAGTCAGGCAGTAGCCCCAGAAGAAGCTGCTGAGCACAATGCCGGCTTCTTTCTTGTTCCAGCCGAAGTCCTGGCTCATGGAGACGGTGCAGATGGGCATGCTGACGCGGGCGCAGTACAGCAGGCACGTGCCCAGCAGCAGCGTCCCCGTCCATGCCTGGCACTCAGGCCTGCGGGAGAGGAAGGGTCAGGCCCCGAGGGGCAGAGTCTGACGAAGACTCACGGCCTCCCGAACGTCTGAATGCCGCCTGCTGACTCCCAGGAGGAGACAGCCTCCAGGATCGTTGCGAACACAGAGGCTCACAGCACCGCATGCGGCTGTGGCGGCTTAAGTGCACCGTGGTCGGGCTGCTGCCCGGGACTGCAGACCAAGGGGCCCAAGAAGGCAGCCAGGCGGAGTGACAGCTAGTACCTGCCAAGGGGGCAGTGAGCTGGCAAGAGGACCCCTGGGAGGCAGAGAGGGAGGGTTCCGAGGCTGGGATGGGACCAACCACAGGTTCGGGGCAGGACAGTGGGTCCTGCAGGGTCCCCAGAAAAGCTGGGTCCGCCCAGCAGAGGACCTTGGGCAGGCGGTGCTGGGCAGCCCCTTGGAAGAACCTGGCAGGGGTGAGGCTGCCCGGCTGCTGGGAAGGTTGTCAGACAATGTCCACAGGGGGAGTATCCACAAAGCTCCTGGCCGGTGCTTTCAGCTGTCTGTCACCAAAACCAAGGGCCGCAGGTGGAGGCGCCCAGGAGACCCGCCCCGAGGACCCAGTGCCTGTGGGAGCCCCATGGATCCTGGGACAACAGAGAGCTCCAGAGGCCTGAACGCACTGTGGACTTTGGTTTGTAACTGTGTCAACACTAGCTCACTGCCCATGACAAACACGGGACACTGACCTCAGTGTGACCAAGGGCACCAGTGCGGAGCTCAGGGCGTGCTGTGCCACCTTGCCAGCAATCCTGCACATCTACAGCTTTTCTAAAGACGAAGTGCACTTTGTGTGGGTGGGAGACGGGGGCGGGCAGGAGGCACCCTGCTGACTTGAATGTCCTGTGCTGTGGGGGACATCCCTGAGAGTGTGGTGGCGGTTGGAGGCAGCTGGTCTGGACAGTGGCAATGCCCTAAAGCTGGGGGTTCAGGGTCCTGTCTGCACCTGGACTCGCCCGCCTGCCTGGAGCTTGGGTCCTCCCTGGGTGGGAACAGCAGAGGGGGAAGCTCAGGCTGTGGGAAAGGCCAGGCAGATGAAGGGGGCAGAGGTGTTAGTGCTATGAAGCTTCGAGGAGGTTGCAGGGGAGGAGAGGGTCACAGGTGAGAGGCCTGGCTGCTGGATCGATGGGCCCTGTGGACATCAAAGTCATCCAGGAAAATGGCAGGACTCAGGGAAAGGAAGGCAGGGGCCAGGAGCCAGGAACCAAAAAGGGTTCCTGGAGGCCAGGCGGGGGCAGCAGGGGCTTCAGGGGCAGTTGTCAGAGCAGAATAGGGAAGGATGCCTATGAGGAAGGACAGTGGACTGTCCCCTCACTCCCAACCCCCCGGATTCGGACCTCTGTCGGGACCTGGCAGGGGGCAGGGGCTGGGGGTGGGGGGCCGCGTCTGCCAGAAACCAAGTGGGGTCCAGGCGGCAGACATGGGGCTTGATCTACAGGAACCCAGAGCCGGTTTCCCACCTGCCAGCTCCCCCCACAGGCTCGAGCTGCACAGACGACTGGGGAGGACGGTCCAGGGTGAGGCCAAGATCACCCCAGGACGGCTGGAGCCCACGCCTGGCTGCGGACAAGGCTGGGGGGACGAGGACCTGGGACAAGTTGCCTAGCCTCCTCAAGCCTCAGTTTCCCCAATGAAGAAGAGCCCATGATGTCTGCCTCCTTCACGAGCCAGTACACAGCAAGGTGCCCCACAAGTTCCAGGTGCTCCCACAAGGAGCCACTGTGACTGGCCCAGAGGGAGGCATGGCAGCCATGTCCCTCTCCTCTGCCGCCTGCCCCCCAGGCCGCTGTGCTTCTCCGCAGAGGGGAGGGAGACAGGAGGGTACAGCACCCTCCCTGCTGCCCACAGAGGCTGCTGTGCCCCACAAGCAGAGACAGCTGATTCCAGGCTCGAGACCACCGTGCAAGGGTTTTGGGATGAATGAATCTACGTTCCAAACCGCCAGCCTACTGCCCCCAGCATGTCCATGTTTGCAGACCAGGTCCCGTCTGGAGCTGGGAAGCTCCTGCTGGCTTCTGTGGTCTGGTGCACGCCCGACATGACTTGGAAACCCCATCTCTTCCCTGAGCCTCAGTTTCCCCATGTGTGCAGTGAAGAGGTTGCATTTCAAGCTGGTTCTGCGGGTGCTCAGCGGGGTGCCACAGGCTGAGGCCCCAGGGCACCCTCTGCCGCTACCTGCTTCACATATTGGAACTTCCTCCCAGAGCCCCTGGGAAATAGGTCCTGTGCTGAACGTGGAGCCCCGCCTGGCCGCACCTCCCCAGAGGCCAGGGCAGGTGCTGTACTTGGAAACGGTCCAGTGACCCCTCAGTGTCTACTGGGGAGGGACCCTGGCCGCCATGCCCGGGCCCTACTTCCTGGTTCTTAAAATGCTACTCAGAAGCCTAGACAAAAACAGTCTCGTGGTGGCAGATGGGGCAGGTCTCAGTGGTGCCTGCCCTGCCTCAGAGGCCAAGGTGGAGGGGGCACTCCCACCAACTCTCCCTCCGGGGTTCACAGAACGAAGAAGGCGTTGGGTCAGGCCAGGCACCTGCAAGGCCCCAGAGCTCCCAGCAGTGCTTGCTCCCTGCCTGCCTCCATGTCTGACATGGGACCCAGGAGGGTCAGGGCTGCAGGCTCCATGTGGGGTTCTGCCACGTGGGCTCTGAGCCTGAGGCGCTGGCATGCGCACTCCTCCGGGAGGCGTAAGGTGCTGTCTGCTTTCCCCCTAGGCCAGGGGTGGGCAACCCCTGGCATGCGTGCCAAACATGGAACGCCAGTAACTTTTGCTGGCACGCAAAACCCTCTCATAATCTTCCATTTAAATGTTTTTTCTTAATATCGACTTTTTTATTTTTCAGATAAATTCAGTGTAGGTGCATCTTAGATAAATAATTTTACATAACAAGTTATCTTAAAGACCATGGACATGGATTGACGAGAGAGGGGAAGAGCAATTTCTATGCCTCTGCCTTAACTCTCCCTGCCTTCCTAGATCCGACCAGTGTTTTGGTTTCATCCACATATGCTTGTGAATCTTTGTTCTCAGTGATGAATTTTGTTAAGTCTCGTAATAGGAGTAGCCTGACGGATGAAAGTAGTAGCCCGTGCATATCTCTGAAGGTCACGAAATATAAACCTGATGTAAAATCTCTGTCATCAGTGATGCAGCAGCAAAAGTCCCACTGATAATGTCAAACGGAGTCATAAAGTTTTCTGTCGGACTATCAGTGTACATGTATACATTAAAAAATAAATGTATTTTTCATCATCATATACTGTGTTTTTGTCGCTCGAATGAATTTTATTATTTCTTCGAGGTTCTTCACATACCAAGAGATACCAAGTAGGTGTAACATGTTCTCAAAAAATTAGGGTTGGCACCCAGAAGAATTTTGAGTCAGAGATTTTGCTGGTTTTGGCACACACTCACAAAAAGGTTGCCCACCCCTGCCCTAGGCCCTGGAGGCCTCCACAGCCCCGACCCTAAGCTGGCGGGCAATGTTGGCCAAGTGAGCAAAGGGATGTCCCTAAGCTGCTGGGGACACAGAACAAGGATGTCTGGCTGGAAGGGGTGACCCAGACCCAGAATGCTCAGCCCTGCGTGGCAAGACCGGTCAGGAGAGGCTGAGACTGAGCCCCGCCTACTCTGACCAGCCCTGAGCCTCAAGCTTGAGTCCAAGTCATCAGATGCCTCCTGTGAAGCAACTAGGAACGCTTCCTGCAATGGCCCTGTGCCAGCAGCATCTGCGCACACAAACACGTGGCCACGTGGCCCCTTGACTCAGAAACGGGAACTATGCAGGCGCCGCAGGCCAGGAGGGCAGCAAGCCGGAGAGCACACGTGGGTCCACGGCAGCTGGTCGCCCCCTCACCTGGAATGTGGCTGGAGAGCGGCCCTGCCTCCTGGGTCGCTGTGAGCACAAGACGTGGCAGTCCAAGCAGAGGGCACACAGAGCCAGCAGCGTCAACAGTAGCACTTATTATTATTATTATTATTATTATTATTATTATTATCCAGTCATTGGTGTGAACAACCTGCTCCCCACTGAGCACGACTCCATCCAGCACCCACAGGCCGTCCGGGATACCGCCGTCCTGACTGTCTGCCCTGGGACTCAAGTGCTGCTTTTGCACCGGGTGGAGGAAAGCAGCTACAGCAAAGCCAGCCCAGGCTACTAAACTGTCGCAAGAGAGAAGTTTGCAGACTGTTCCATAGCCCTGGGCACAACCTTCTGCCCAACTGGCTGCCAAGTGGGCCTGCCACCTGGCTCCCTCCATAACCAGCAGGTTGTGGAGGGAGAGGCTGGCCAAAAGCACCCCTGGTCCAGGCACACCGCTAACAGTCCCCAATCCAACCTGGGAGACACTAGAGCTGTGCCTGGGCTTTGGGTCACACTCCCTGCTCCCTGGCCATCCCCAGGAGCCTCCTGGCTTTGGATGGCTTCTTACAAACGCCAGCTTCTCCCTCTTCCTCAGCAGCTTTGCCTTCATCTTGACCCCAACACTGGGGACTGTCCCTTCAGGTCTTCCCGCAGCCCTCTGCTGGGGCAGAGGCAGGAGGGGGCCATTATTCTGCCCACAACAGGGAGGCCCCGAGAGCAGATTCACTGGGGACCCAAACCTGGAGGTGGGCAAGCTCTGGAATTTCGGGGCCTGACTTTGGGCCCGGGGTCCAGCTGGCTGGTCCTCAGCCCACAGAACCAGAGCAAGCGCTGAGCCTCGGTGGCCTGGGGGCTTTTCTGGGGGCTCCCGACTCCTTCCTGTCTACACAGTAGTGGAAACAGATATGAAAAGGAGTGGGTAACCTGCCTGGGCCCTTCCTCTCCTACTGTCAAGTTCTCCTCCTCCTACCCCCTCGGGGACCTGGCCCACATCACACACATGCATGTGGTGGCAGGACTCGGTCACGCCGAAGGCTCCCGCCTGTGGCCCTCTGCCCAGCCCCTGACTGCCCCATGGGGTGACTGAACCGCTCCTCTATGCTCTCCGTGTGGTCCTACCGGGCAGGGTCAGTTCCAGCATGTGAGGCCAGGCCAGTGAGCGCCGGCTCATCCCCAACCAGGAAGATGCCCCTGTCCCAGCCAGGCCTCACAGACCCCCCCTCCCCCGCCCGCCTGCATGACCTTCTGGGCCCCAGCAGCCTGGAGTGGGCGAGGGGGCACTTGCCGCCCGGGGCTGGATGGAAGGGAGGAGGGTCCGGCGGTTGGAGTTACTTGTGCACTCCACTCCTTCCTCCCCAGGGTGGTGCCTGCCCCCCATGAGGTGCAAGAGGCCTCCCCCAGGATCCTCTCCCCACAGGATGCGCCGCCCCCTCCCCTGATCCCCGCCCACGCCCCTCCTCCTCACCTGGACCACTGGGCGTCCCCAGCTGTGTCCTGGTGGGCCTTGTCCGGGGGCGGCTGCATCAGGAGCGGACAGCCACGGTGCTCACTGAGTCCCGAGACCGGCTCCCGCGGCCCACAGCGCCGCCCAAGTCCACGTGTCAGTCCCAGCAGCGCTTCCGTCCGGCGCTCCCAGGACGTGTCGCCCCAGATGGCCACCCCGCGGGGTGGGGGAGGGCAACCGCAGCAGGCGGGGCCTCCCCTCCTCCCGCCCCGCCCCGCTGGTGTCTGTCCCCGAGGCTTTCAGCATGCCTCCCTGTTTCAGGCGCTCGCGCCATCTGCCCTGCTCCCTGAGCTCCTGGAGCGCCAGCACAGGCTGCCATCAGCCCCCCACCCCTGGCGGTGGCATGGGCTCCCCTGCAGCTTTGTAGGGGCTGGGCCAGGTGGCCATTGCTGAGCCAGGAGCCTGCTGCCCCATCTATAAGTGGAGATGGTTGGTCTGCACCTCACAGGACTCTGTGCCAACAAATGAAAGTCAGGGGAGTCTTACCTGGATGCAGGGACAGTAAGACTCAAGTGTAACCAAACTTTTTTTTTTTTTTTAAGTTATTTTTATTGATTTCAGAGAGGAAGGAAGAGGGAGAGAGAGATAGAAACATCAGTGGTGAGAGAGAATCATGGATTGGCTGCCTCCTGCATACCCACCACTGGGGATTGAGCCCACAACCAGGCATGTGCCTTGACCGGAATCGAACCGGTCCCTTCAGTCCTCAGGCTGATGCTCTATCCACTGAGCCAAACTGGCCAGGTCAAGTGTAACCAACTTTTCAAATAAATCTTTGAGAGTGGGCTCCAGCCTGTGACCTTGAACCAGATGCAGTGCTGGGGTAGTCAGTGCCCATGTGCCCACCGAGCAGGTCTCACTGAAGGGGCTGAGTTCTGCAAGAAGTTGTTCTGGGCTTGGACCACATGCCCGGCCTGCGCTGGAGCCAGAGCTGAGACCCAGGGCCCTCACCAGAGAAACCTCTGCAGCGGGTCTCACGCCCACGTGAGAGATACAGTGAGAACAGAGAGGAGAGGCCTGAACGCTGGGATGCGATGGCAGTGACTGTGTTTCTGGCCACATTCTGCTTTTTTCAGGAGCTGCCACCTGCTCACACTCCATCTCTCACCTCAGTCTATATCCACAGCAGCCTAGGGACTGGCCAAGTCCTACCACACTGAGCCTCCCAGAAGCTCCTCCTGCATTTAGGACGAAGCCTAAACTGTCCCTCCACCACAGAGCGGCCCTCCCAACCCTCCTTCCCTTTCGTGCCCTCCCTTTCGTGCCTTGAACAGTGTGCCCCTGGTGACCTTGCACCTCTGCCCTAGGGCTTCGCACCTGGCTTCATTCATGCTTGCTGACCAATGGCTACTCTTCCATCCACGGGACAGAGGTGGTGTGATTTATTCCCTCGAGGATCCCTAGCCCACAGCTGAGAAATCTGTTGCTAAATTCAGTACCAACAGTTTCCCGTTCTCTGCCTGGTAGTTCAGCTTTGTCCATTGCACCAGACTCTCTGATCATCATCTATAATAATAAAAGTATAATATGCTAATTAGACCAGACATCCTTCTGGACAAAGCCGGGGCTGCGAGGGAAGCCCGGGTGCCAGTTGCCAGAGGGAAGCTGGTGCCAGCAGCCAGGGGAAGGAAGGCCTACTCTTGCATGAATTTCGTGCATTGGGCCTCTAGTTTTCTATAAAGACCTAGAGCAGCCGTGGGCAAACTACGGCCCGCGGGCTGGATCCGGCCCGTTTGAAATGAATAAAACTAAAAAAAAAAAAAAAAAAAAGACCGTACCCTTTTATGTAATGATGTTTACTTTGAATTTATATTAGTTCACACAAACACTCCATCCATGCTTTTGTTCCGGCCCTCCGGTCCAGTTTAAGAACCCATTGTGGCCCTCGAGTCAAAAAGTTTGCCCACCCCTGACCTAGAACCACATTGTCATGGCTGTTGGTTATTTGACTACTCAAAGTTCCTTTCCTCTTGGAGCTGATGTTCTGGGCGGGGAGAGAAAACACAGGAAGAATATAAGGGGGCGGGGGTGGGAAGGGTTGTTTCTGGAAGTATGGGTTGGGCAGTTCCTGAAAAGTGTGCCTGAAAACTTCAAATGAAGGAGGAAATATGCAGGTAGGGGCCACAGGGCTCTGCGGGTGGGAGCCATCAGAGTGGCATGGATCACCTGGTGGGCTGCTCAGAGTGTGGACAGCTCAGGAAGGCCAGGGTGGAGGCAGGGAGGCCAAGGCCACTGCATTACTCGGGGCTGAGGATGGGGGCTCCAGCCAGGGTGGAACAGTGGGCTGAGAGGAGCTGAGTGCAAGCAAGGGTGGGTGGGGTGTGATGGAGAGAAGGCTCAAGGCAAGCATCTGACACTTTCAACACCCTGAGCTTGTCAGGGCCTCCTGTCCTAAGGCAGGAGGTCTGGCTGGCAGCCAGCACTGCTAGACAAAGTGTCACAGTCCAAAGGGAGCCTAGAAACACTGTCGCTGCCAGACTGGGGTGGACACCCACTCTCCAGGCTCATAGCGGATCCCAGGAATACCCCATACCAAACTGCCCTTGAGGATGAGGTGGCGAGTGACTAGGGGGAAGCATGGAGAGAATTCCAGGAGATGGTTTAGCACCTGGAGTGCACAGGAGGGCAGAGGGGGGTGATGAGCAGTCCTAGCAGGGGGATGGTTCCGCCTCCTTCTTTGGGGCCCTTCCTTTACTTTCTGCTGCCTGGAGACAAGCCATAAAGGTTTATGGCTAAGTCACGCCTTATTATAACTGCCTTCCCAGGCTCCAGGGCCACAACCTGGAGCTTTTTGTAAAATTCAGACTCAGCAGACCAGAGCCTGTGTCTCCCCCATGCCCTTCCCCCCATGTCACCTCTGCCCCCTGTGCAGCCCAACGGGCACAGTACCTCCTGAAGGTAACATATGACATTTCTCCACACTGCGGACAGGTAAAAGGAAGCAGTAAAGAATTGGCTCCAGACACAATTTGAGTGAACCAAGGGGGCACCCTGCTTTCGAGCTGAGGATCAAGAACAGAATTGTGTACAATTTCACCAGCAACCAGAAAGACAAAGTTTATGGTGAGACATGGTGAGTGTGATACGGGTCCTCCATGAGGGAGTGGTGGAGGCCTGCTGCAGCTCATTCTGAGAGCTGGCGAGGCATTGCTTCCTGATTGTTCCTAGCACTGCTGTTCGACACTTGTTTCATCCCAAGAATATGACCGCAATGTGAAATTGAAGACGCGTCACTTTCTGAGTGTGGCCAGGCGGGTCCTGCACTGTCCCTCACCCTACTCCCTCCCAGGTCCTCCTGCCCTGGCATGGGAATCTGGGAATCCTCACCGGCTGTGTGGCTTGCTTCACTTTCTTTTTAAATTTGTTTAAAATATATTTTTATTGGTTTCAGAGAAGAAGGGAGAGAGATAGAAACATCAATGATGAGAGAGAATCATTGATCGGCTGCCTCCTGCACGCCCCCTATTGGAGATCGAGCCCGAAACCTGGGCCTGTGCCCTTGACCAGAATCGAACCCCGGACCCTTCGGTCTGCAGGCCGACTATCCACTGAGCCAAACCAGCCAAGGAACTTGCTTCACTTCCAAAAGCCAGTTAGGGATTTTTTTTTTTTTTTTTTTTTTCAAAATTGACTGGTTGGGTCCTGTCACTGCAAAGCTGACCCATTTCCTCCCATCTTTTTGATACTTTTACATCTGGAGATTTTCATATTTCTCTAAGATCTTCTAGCTAAATACTGAAGCCTGGGTCTTTCTTACAATCTAGCTCTTTGGTGTTTTTTCTCTCTCCTTCAACTCAGCAACATGAGTGTGGATTTGGCTTATCCCCAAAGCCCGCCCTCCTCCGCATCATCCAATTCTAGGGAGCCTTCAGCAGTGCCCGAGACCTATCAGCCTGAAGAAAACTCTGCATCCTTGCAAATGTCATCTGCTGAGATGTTCCACAGAGACTGCAGTCTCTTCTCTTCCTTCCTCCATGGACCAGCTTATTCAGACCAGCCCTGCTTCTCCCACCAGTCCCAGCGCAACACTACCCACCTCTGTACAGAACAGGACAGGGAAGGAGGAGAAAGCCCAGGTCAAGAAACAGAAGATCCGCCGAAACCGGTTTGGCTCAGTGGATAGAGCGTTGGCCTGCGGACTGAAGGGTCCCAGGTTCGATTCCGGTCAAGGGCGTGTGCCTGGGTTGCGGGCACATCCCCAGTGGGGGGTGTGCAGGAGGCGGCTGATCGATGTTTCTCTCCCATCGATGTTTCTAGGTCTCTCTCTCCCTTCCTCTCTGTATAAAATCAATAAAATATATTTAAAAAAAAAAAAAAAAAGAAAGAAACAGAAGATCCGAACTGTCTGCTCACAGACCCAGCTCTGTGTACTCAATGAGAGATTTCAGACAGAAACATCTTAGCCTCCAGCAGAGGCAAGAACGTTCCAACATCCCGGACCTTAGCTACAAACAGAATAAGACCTGGTTCCAGAACTGGAGAACGAAATGTAGGAGGTGGCAGAAATATAACCGGCCAAAGAATAGCCACCGTGTGATCCCGTGAGCTCAGCAACTACAGACGACCCGGGCCTCTCCTCCTGCCAGCGGGGATGCCTGGCGAACGCTTCTGGAAACCTTTCCGTGTGGAGCAACCATTCCTGGGCCAGCCCATCTTGGGACTACCCTGCCTGGAACAGTCAGACCTGGTGTCCCCAGGCCTGGAACAACCACTTCCTTAGTTATGGAGAGGAATCCCTGCAGCCCCAGATCCAGTTCCGGCAAAATCCTGTCAGTGATTTGGAGGCCTCCTTGGAAATTGCTGGGGAAACCTATGATGCAATACTGCAAGCCCCTAAATATTATGGTGCCCAGCAATCCGCGGGTTCATTCCCAGATTATTCCATGAGCGTATCGCCTGAGTCCACGAACATATAGCCATGAACAGAGTGTGATGATGGGTGTATCACTCAATCTCAGTTTGGGCAGTGGCTGTATTACCTCTCCTAGGATTTTTCTACGTATCTCTGCCTTGATGTGCTGCTTCTCATTATGCCTTCTGTGCCAATTTGGAGGGTGGGGTTCTGGTATGATTGGATGATTAGAGTCTAAGTAAAGAGGCTTTGTAGTCTTGCTGCTGTTAGACAAATGATAAAAGATGCTTCTGGCTATAGATAATTAGATATAATCCTAGATCTAGTATTTGGATAACTCTAGATCTAGAACAGCCGTGGGCAAACTACGGCCCGTTTGAAATGAATAAAACTAAAAAAAAAAAAAGACCGTACCCTTTTATGTAATGATGTTTACTTTGAATTCATATTAGTTCACATAAACACTCCATCCATGCTTTTGTTCCGGCCCTCCGGTCCAGTTTAAGAACCCATTGTGGCCCTCGAGTCAACAAGTTTGCCCACCCCTGATCTAGAATCTTAACCTCAAAAATAGAAAGTAAAAGTACAAAGGTGTATGATAAAGGATTACTCATGTTTTCTGGGATTGGGAGGCTTGTTAAAATCCTCAATTCAGGTGAATGGTTAAGCTATAATATGCTTCACTGATTTCCTCTGCCCCTTCTGCTGTTTTACTACAACCTTTAATTTGTTTATTACTCAAGTATTTGTAGATGTTTTTTGTATTTTGCTGTCATGACAATAGTACCAGTTTGGCTGGTTGGTTTATAAGTTTACATACAAATAAATAAAACATCTACTTTACCATAAAAAAAAAAAGCCAGCTGGGAAAATGACTATCAGACGCTGTGGTCTGTGGACAGAAAACCTTGCTTTTGTGAGCAAATCCTGCTGACGTGCCTGCAGAGTGAGACATCACAGCCAGGCGGTGACACGGCGACCGGCAGAGGCTGTCACTTCCCCCTGGTGACTAGTTCCTGTGGGACACAGAGGGGAGGCTCTCCTGTGCTCTGCACTAGTCCCGCAAGCTGTGCGTCTGCCCTCCACAGCGCCCGCTCCAGCCAGGGCCCTCACTTCTGCACTTCCCTGGAAGGCACTGGAAGTGGTCAACCTAGGGTTTTTTAAAATACATTTTTATTGATTGTAGAGAGGAAGGGAGAGGGAGAGAGAGCGAAACATCAATGAGAGAGAATCATGGATCAGCTGTCTCCAGCACGACCTCCACTGGGGATCAAGCCCATAACCCGAGCATGGGCCCTTGACCGGAATCGAACCTGGGACCCTTCAGTCCGCAGGCCGATGCTCTATCCACTGAGCCAAGCCAGCCAGGGCCACTCTAGGTTTTTTCAGGCGTCCACAGCTGCCTTCACCTGGGAAGGTGCAGTTGACCCCAGGGGACATGGGCATGAGCACCACAATGAGAAGGTCCTGGGACTGGCTGCAGCCACCCTGGTATTTAAATGTTTGGAAATTTCATAAGTAAAAAACTTACTTGGGATATTCCAATTCAGCTTAAAATTATGCAGTGGGCTAGCCAAACAGTTCTTCTTCCTTCACAAAAATGAAACTTATGGTAAGTGCCAGAACTCTAGAGAACAGAGGACAGGTTCCAAACAAGACACACAGGCATGCACAGACGAGACACATGCAGATACCCACAGACAAGACACACACACACACACAGATACACACAGATGAGACAAGATACAGGGCTGCTCCGAGTGGGGACAGAGCAGCAGCCAAACAGAAAGGCTGTGGAACTCCACTTTCCTCCCAGCCTTCCCACCACGTCTCACTAGATCAGACTGCACTTAATTCTTATTCTTAGTAGAATAACTTTATGAAAGAAAGAAAGCTTTTGGATGACCACTCTGAGAAAAACGTAAAAAAATTTTACTACAAAATTGATGAGGCAGTAAAAGCAACCTATTCTGCATTTTTCAAAAGGTGCTGGGCATCGCCCGGCCAGTGTGGCTCAGTGGTTAAGTGTCAACCTATGAACCAGGAAGTCATGGTTTGATTCCTGGTCAGGGCACATGCCCAGGTTGCAGACTCCCAGTGGGAGGTGTGCAGGAGGCAGTCGATTGATGATTCTCATCATTGATGTTTCTCTCTCTCTCCTTCTCTCTTCCTCTCTGAAATCAAGAAAAATATATATTTTGAAAAAGTTTTTTTAAAAATGGTACTGGGTGTGGACATGCCTGCAGAAACAAAATGGAACTTCAGAATCACATGTAGAGTGCCACGGAAGGTGACGGCTTATCCAGTTTACATGACCAATGTGACAGCACAATCTGAGTTTATGGGTAATTACTACGGTCAGGACTTCCATTGCCCCACACCTTGGCCCTCACACACAAAGACATCGTCAGATTTAACGATGTAGTAACTGCGCACGTGAGCGATCTTATACAGCATACACTAATAAGAAAAGGTGATGAAGCCCTTACCGGTTTGGCTCAGTGGATAGAGCATCAGCCTGCAGATTGAAGGATCCCAGGTTCGATTCCAATCAAGGGCATGTAGTTGCTGGCACATCCCCAGTAGGGGGTGTGCAGGAGGCAGCTGATCAATGTTTCTCTCTCATGGATGTTTCTCTCTATCCCTCTCCCTTCCTCTCTGTAAAAAAATCAATAAAATAAATATTTTTTTAAAAAAAGGTGAAGACTATGCTGCGTTATTGGTGCATCCCTAAAAATGTAGTTTCATCTCCATCTCTCTCCTAGCATTTGTCTTCTAGCTTCTGCTGTAGTTAAGTATCAATGACCTGAATGTGAAACCCTCTCCCCTCACATTTTTTTGTCCTCCAACCTCAGAGGAAATGACCCAAGGTCACACCTGAGGTGACTACTGAAGCGGTCAGAGTGGAAACGTCACGGGTGGCATGTGGGTGTGGCAGAGGCTAGGACGTCCATGGTGACTGTGCATTTGACCTCCATGTCTGTGACTGACTTACAGAACCACCAGGATGCCCACACTGCCCACTGCTCTACCCACTGGGGACCTCAGCCTCTCAGGGAAGCTGTTTGTTCCGAATCCCATGGCACTCATGTGTCCCCAACTACACAGGCTGCCACTTCCAAGCTCTCCACCCCTGGGCAGAAGACAAATGTGAGCACAGAACTGATAAGCCTACAGAACCAGCTTGTGTGAGCCGATGAAACCATGAGGCTGAAGTGCGAGACCTCCAGGCCAGCCGCATGCCCCAGCCTAAGCCTCCACCTTGTCAGGGCACAGTGTCCCCCTCACAGTGCTGGGCAAGTGGCCCTCCAGCTGCAGGACCAGAGGAAAGCATTGCCATCACCAAGCCCTGAAAACAAAAGGTTTGCAATGATGATTAAAACTTTTTTAGAGGCATTTTGGTCATTCTTGAAATCAAAGCATAACCTTTATTTTCAATAGAACTGCGCAGAAGAGATGGTTTGTTAATCCACCAGGAAAGAGTCTCTGACCACAGACAGCACCAAAATATATATTTGAAAAATTAAAAAACACACAGCCACCCCTCACACACACGTGTCCCCCAAAGCCACACAACCCAGACCGAAGGGAAAACAAACCAAACTCACTGCCCTCACACACAAGAAGTCTTTGAGTTAGGGTTTACAAGTTCATATAGTCTCTGACATGAAAAAAACAACAAAGGCCAGGTGAAAGGGCAACTTGTATGCGGAGACAGGAGAATGAAGAACGCGTTTCGTCTGCCCACAAGTTCTCAGAAAGCAGGACAATGATCAGTGCTTCCCGTAGACTCTGGGGGGCCTGGGCGGTCACTGGTGTCCGTAACAGGACAGTGCAGTGGCCAGGGAACCCTTCAGGAGCAGGACACCTCGAGCACCAGGGGCCACTGCCACTACCTTCAGGATGTGCTGCATGAAGTCGGCACCAGCTTCCGAAGACAAGGTGTCATTCACTGCAAGCTTCCCAGCGCTCAAAAGGGCCATTATTCCTTTAAAAAAAGGTGCTGGGCTCCCCAAAAGTAAAGGGGGGACAAGAATCTCTACTGCAGTAAAAATCTCCCAGTCAAGCCGGACATGCCAGCGAGTCCGTGTGATGACACACGGGGTCCCCACACAGGTCTACTTGGGCTCCTCGATGACGCCTTTGCTGAGATCTGTCATTTTGGGGTACTTTACTTTCTTCTGGTCCAGCTCATTCTGAGCCCAAAGGAGCAATTTCAGTAACTTGGCCAGTTTGGGTGTTGACTCCCGGTTCTCATAATCCAGGACAGCCTGGTTCACTTCGCTCCACACCTGGAAAAGACACGTCCAATCAGCCAGCCACACGCAGGCGGCCAGAGAGTGTGTTACAGCACGCATTTTATCCATCTGCAGAGGCCTATAACCACTGACACACATGAGGCCCCCTGCATGACACACAGACACATTCCTGACCACAGGGAGCTCACAGTCCAGTTGGCAAATGTCACACCAGGCCTAGATGGCAGTTCAGTGCCATGAGCCAGCCTGGAGGTAACTACAAAAGAGGAAGGAGCAGGCAGGGGTGACAAGCTCCATCCTCAAAGCCTCAGGGAGCCTGCTGTGGCCTGAAGGACAGTGGAGGGGCCATGGGAGGACAGGCAGCTGTACTTGGGGCAACGGCTGACGAAATGTTGGCTGGAATACAGAACCAGCAGTGAGGACAGGAAGCTTCAGAAACAAGTCTGGGATTTTAAATAAAAAATACTTAGGACCCCTATTTGTAAGAGGCTCCAAATACACAGGAGGACGGCTAAGATAAATGAGAAAAATCGGCAGAGCTTGGAGACAGCTGACCCTTGAACACCACCATTCGTGGATTTTTCGATAAGCACAGTTGGCCCTCCATACCCAAAGGTGGGTTGTGCCTCCACTATTGGGATCCGTGGAGGTGAGGGGCAGCTGCATGCACTGTCACACCATTTTATACAAGGGACTTGAGCCTCCAGAGATTCTGGTACCCACTGGGTGTGTGTGTCCTGAAACTAACCCCGCCGTGGTTATGGAGGAACGACTGTAGTTAGGTTCCATAGGAGTCAAAGTCATACATGTGCCCAGAAACCTCACATTGTTCAGGGTTGCTGTGCTGCTGGGTAAGGGCACAGCACGCTGCGCCTAGCTCCACACGACGAAGAACAGAACACCAGGAAGAACTGGTGCTATCGTACCAGTGCCACACGCCCAGCACGATGTGTCCCTCACTCAGTCACCCCATGTGGGTTCTATACCTTCTGCCTCTGCATCATATTCAGAAGATCTCCAAAGGGCGAGTCCTCGGGATTATCGAAGGCCAGCAGGGCCAGCGTGCGCTCCATCTGTCAGGCACTCCCTGCTCTCCTCCCCCTGCTCCGCCAGCTGCGTCTGCGCGAACTCCAGCGCCGCCTCCGTCTCCCGCTGGCGGATCAGCTCGATCAGGTGCTGTTGCTAGTCAGGGGCCAAGGCGCACAGACTTACACACCGCACCTGGGCCAGCAGCCCCTAGCGGCACCAGGCTACTCTCTAGTCAAAAGGACAACTTAAAGGACACTTTTCTAGCACCTGAGTTATTAAATTTGCATTTTAAAATCAAGAAACCACTTCTGAAATACACAGCAGCTAACTCAAACCCCTTCCCCACGTAAATTAAACGATGTTCTATTAACACAGATTCACCCGACACTTCTGAATCATCACAAGTCACCTATCAGGGGTCCACAGAGCAGATAACTTTCAACCAAAACTCACCTGCAGGTGGAAGTAAAGGTAGCGGTTGGTGTCCAGCAGTTCCGGGTGGAGGCTGTTGATCAAGGCGATTGCCTCCTGAATCTGCCCCTTTAGGATCATCTCACGGATTTTGATCCGCTCATCAAGGGTTTCTAGATCCACACTAGGCTCAATCCCGGACTCCATTCGAAACTTCTCTGCGGCTTCCTTAAAGCCCTCTGGAAATGAAAACTGGCCTCACTGCTCAGAAAGTCAGCAAGACAGTAAACACAAAGCCTCCTCACCGCTGTCTGCCCCATCGCCTCGAGTGAATCACCCCCACATGAACCGTGCTTCCTCAGGGACTGGGTGTTAGTATCTTTGTGAATTCCTGGGGAGGCCTTGATATACAGAAAGTGAAGCCAGACATACTGGCGTGGGCTCCCTGGAGGAGGCTGCAACCCAGATCCAGTTGCAGAGCAGCTGCAGGTTTGTTCCAGGTGAGACAATAACTCACAGCCTCAAGGACCCGGCCACTCCCTCCTCTCCACTGAGTCCACAGCCCCGCCTCTGAAGCAGCCTGTTTGCCCTTCTCTATATACACACACAGCCACAAGCTCACATTTCCTCCTCACCTGTCAAAAAGTCTCAGCAGAGGCCAGTGGGGAAGGGGCACTCAGAACTACCAGGAAGGAGACTCCTCCCTTGTGGAAACGTCTGGGCTCCCCACCAATGCAGAACCCCCTTTCCTTTCCACTATCACAGAGGACGGCACGTCAGCTACAGACCACTTGCTTCCCTCCTGCTCTGCCCTCCCTGTCTCCTTTGAGTTGAGCACCTTCTAGAAACAGTGCGATATAATTTATCAGGCTGGTCAGGGGCCATCACTCAGGCTTCAAATGTACTTTAGAACATTCTTAATGATCTTGATTAACTGCAAAAATGTCAAAAGCCAAAAAAATTGATTTTTGCCTCAGGTACTATTATTTCAGAGACAGAAATAATGACCTCCTAGCCAAGAGAGGATATCTTTAACGTGATAATATACAAATCTGGTATGCTCACACTGGGTTTTATAATGCCAGAACAAACCTAACTGCACGCAGCACTTCGGTAGTAAACTCTGCGTGTGTCCACAAAAGGGAGCGTCTGTAGCATCCTGACTGCAGGCTGTTACCTGTGACGAGGTAGTTCATGATGAGGCGATTCCTGTCTGCTCGCTGCACGTGTAAGTTGTTGAGCTTTTCCATCCACTCATCTTTTGTGATTTCATCAGGTTTTTCTGTATAACTCATTCTGCTTTATTTCTACAGGGGAAAAACATTTTAGAAATTGGTGAAGAATTCTCCAACAAATGTGGTCGTTTCAGAAATAACACAGCGATATAGTAAGAAACAATAGAGAGTGGGAAGATGCTTCACTCTGGAGAACAGCAATGCAAAGGGCCTCTGACCCCAGCACAGTGTTAGGGACCAGGAAGAAGACTTGGTGTTCAGAAGGCCGCTTTCATGAATGCAAGAAAGAGCCAGGGATCAAAGAACCAAGAGGTCATCTGAGGTAAGACTGAGCGAGGCTGAGGAGGGAGTTTAGATAGCGTCTCTCCGAAGTGCAAAGGGCAGCTGCCAGAGGTATGAGCCAAAGCATTACATATTACATCCACACTCGAGGAACTGGCCATCGACCACCAGACCAACAAAAACTAAGAAGTGACACCACCAGCATCACAGAGACCCAGCGTTGTCCCGAGCTCTCCCTGCCGCCAGAGCAGCGCAGCTATGAAAAATGTGTCCGCCCTCATGAGGCCAAACACAAGTGCTCCTACAGCCCCGAGACGCTACGCCCGCCACACCAGACTCGAAAACTCACCACCCTCACCAGACATACAAGCCCGTCCACAGAAACACTGCTCCAGATGGCAGGGACACAGAAGCCACGCGCCACACGTCCAACCACCAGCAGCATGGACCAGCAACTGTGTTCCCAGGACCACAACCCCAGGCTCCAAACCCTTGGGCGGGTGTGTGAGGATCCAGAACTTTTCAGACCACACAAAACCTACGTGACAGTCTACACCAGGGGTCCTCAAACTTTTTAAACGGGGCCAGTTCACTGTCCCTCAGACCGCTGGAGGGCCGGACTATAGTTTAAAAAGAAACTATGAACAAATTCCTACGCACACTGCACAGATCTTATTTTGAAGTAAAAAAACAAAACGGGAACAAATACAATATTTGTATTTGCATGTGGCCCGCGGGCCGTAGTTTGAGGACCCCTGGTCTACACTATATGACACGGTGCCCTCTTGGGTTTGGGGCAGCACCCCATCATCGCACATCTCTTCTGTGCGATGGGTGAGTATTAGTGCTGAGGGGAATATAGGCCATTCAACAGCCTCCACCCCGAAGAGGTTAAAAACAAAAGCAAGCACTTGGTTTTCAGAGCTATTGGATTTAGTTTGCTGAGACGGGATTGTGAGCGAGGGCTCACATGGCAGAAGTTACCAAAGGGGTTGAAATGAATGAAGACAGCTACATGGACTGCTCTTAGGAACGAGCTGATGAATATAGCAAACTGTGGCAGAGGCCCATGTGTGGCAGACAGTTTAGTAAAGAACAAAAGCAAGGCAAACTGCATAACATGTGCTTTAGCAGTAAACACACATGAAATGGGAAATTGAGGAGCTGCCACCAAGAAGGAGGGGTGGACAGGTGCCGCCCCGGGAGAACCACCTGGGCTTCTGAAGTGGGGGTGCCGCCACAGTCCACTTCCTTTTGATTTCTCGTCACTGACAAACATACCCATTAGGAACACTGCTTTACAGACAGCAAAGTACATGCTCAGCGCTTCAATACATTTTTTAAAATTTTAAGATAGCCAATGTGGGGTGGTGAGAGTTGAGCAGAAAGACCACTAAGGAACCACCCAAACAAGAGGGACCAGGGGCAGATGTGCCGGGGACACCGTGGGCTTGCTGCTGGGACGACTGGAAGGCTGAAGCTGCCCCTGAAGGATGGCGCCACAGTGAGGAGGCGGGCGGGGCCAGGAACAGGTTTGGGGAGCAGGGCCCGTTCGGGCTGCCGTCAGACATGCGGCTAGGCAGCTCCAGGAGGCACCTGGATTACAGGTCCCGAGCCCCGCGCTGGGAACATTAATCAGGGAAACACTCGCCAGGAAGTAGGGACAGCAGATCCCCCAGGGAGGCAGTGAGGGTAGGGAAGCAGAGGGACACAAGACAAAGTCCTGGCTCGTGGGAGATCCAACTCTCGGAGAGCACCGGAGACAAACCCGAGAGACGCTGTTCTTCGCACCACCCCTCGCGGACGCGGCCCACGGCGAAACTCAGATCAAACTCTCACTCCCACTCGGGACAAAAAGACACCCGTCTCTGAGTTCTCAGGGGACAACCACACCGCCGGCACCGCTCCCGGACGGCGAGAGAGCCTTCCGACAGCGACCCCTTCGGAGAAGTCAGCGGCCAAACTCCAGCAGACACAACGGAACAGTCCGGCTCCGACGGGGCACTCGCTCCCCGAGCAGCAGGCTCCGTTCTCGCCGGCTCGGTGTCTGCAGGAAGCGGTTGTTATGAACACCGATCTCCTGGCAAAGACGCCAGTGCCGTGTCTCAGTATTCTGCTTCCGAACGCCGAGCCGCCCCGCGGTATTCTCCCGGTAGGACCACAGCGCCGGGCAGCTTCGGCCGGAGCAACCGGCAGTTTGACTTGCAAATCCAGGGGGCGACGCCGCCGCCGCCCGAGAATAAGCCGCGACCCGACACCTGCTCGGACCTGGGACCCCTGAAGACCCCGCGCAGGTCCGACCCCTCTCCAGCCCCCTTTTTGCCACGCTGTGCTCCGCGGGGACGCTCGGCCCGCCCGCCGGGGCCCACCAGGGCCATCTTACCGTGTGGATCCCGCCTCCCGCGCTGCGCAGTCTCCGCGGCCGCTCTGGGGGCCGGGCCGGCGGGGAGGGGCGGCGGCGAGGGGCAGGGGGAAGCGAAGGCGGGGGCTGCGACAGAGGCGGGGCGGGAACGAGAAAGCCGACGCACCGGCAGCCGTCCCCTCAGCCTCTTCCCGCGAGATCGCGCGATCGCGAGCCGGCAGCCAATCAAGTGCTCCCGCGACAGGGCGTGGCGCGGCGGCTGCCCGGAAGCGCGGAACTACAGCTTCCGTCCGGGCGCTGAACGCTCTAATCGGCGCCCTCGCTCTACGGGTTGGCGCGAGAGTCAAAAGGCGTCGTCCGCCTCTGGGCAAAATGGCCGCTGTGCTGGCGTCGTTGTCGGAGTACTTCGCGGGAGGAATGCAGCCGCTGCTAGACTGAGTCCGAGGCGAAGGTGCCAGCATCCCTTCCGTCGTTTGTGTGAGCCCGGAGGGCACGGGACGGGGGGACACAGGAGCCGGGGCCCCGCGCCGAGGTTCCTCCGGACCAGCCGCACAGGCCCGGGAGGAGCCGCCCAAGCGCGGCCAGCAGGAGCTCCCCGTTCCGTTGTGGGGTTCCCGGCCGTGTCGGGAGCGCGCACCAGCTCGCTCCAGATGCGGCGGCGGGGTCCCAAGCGGCGCGGCGCGCACCTGGGGGACGCGGAGGCGCACGGACACCTTGGCCGGAGCTTGCGGGTCGCAGCCGGTCTGCTCTAGAAGATTGCCGGCTCCGAGCAGGGCCCGGCTTCCCCGTCGCGGGAGAGGGAGGTGGAGCGATGTCGAGCGCTCCGGGAAGGCAGCGGAGGCAGCCCCGTCGCGGCCCTTTGAACCCGAGGGAGCCTTTTATTACTAGGTGGTTCTGTACGGCCGAGCTGAACCGAGACCCCGGGAGGCATGGGGGGTGGGGGGGTCGATCGGGTCACCCTCCCACTGTATCTTCACCTGCCTGTATTTCCTGTTATGGAGGATGCCACGAAGTCCCAAGGCACTGGTTATGTCAGAAGTTTCTTTGCATGGGTAAAAGCTACAGTAATATTTTAATGTGTAACTCCTGCTGATGTAACGTAGACTGTGTTCAGCATAGTGCCACCTAGAACAACGGGGTGGCCTGGGGTCGGGCGGCAGCCCTGTGTGGCTCGAGCTGACTGCCCCTCAGACCTGTCTGGTCGAGAGTTCGAAATACACAGACTGGTTTAGGAGTTGACCCTTCTTCTTCTTTCCAATTTAAGTTAATATGTATCATCAATACACACGTATGTATCCATAAATGCACACAATATATATGTTCACGGCCACATCTGTAAATGCTTCAAGGTTCTTTTTGCCTGGCCCAGATGTTGAAATCGGATGTTTGGCCAGTGGCGGCGCCACTGAATGAAGAAGGGACGTTTTTCAGTTAATGTCCACGTTTTCCTTTTTTTAAAAAAACACTTGCAAAATTTTGTTTTTGACTTTGAAATCCTCTTACCTTCATGCTTCAAGTGCTTACTTTGTGTTGGAGGGAGAGGAATTTTGTGTCTGACAGGCTCCCAGGATTTCTCATTCCCCTGCACATCCATAAAAGGCAGCGGGCTGACCTTCCACCTTTATAGACAGAGTAGGGCGCCCTTGTTTTTCCTTGGGTTCCTACATTTGGGAAGCAGTTGGTTCAGTTCGGAGCTTGAAAATCTCCTGCTGTGGAAGGATGACTTATGGATGTTGATTTTGTTGAAATGCAGAGTAAGAACCTTTAGGGTATGCTTTCACAATCCCTAAGAGCTCAGCCTCTGTTGTTATTCTTGGTGTTTCCGCCCGAGACACCTTTCTCATTTTCACCGTTTTGTTTTAGTGAGCCAGGCTAGAGCAGGAATGAATTTATACAATATTTCTATTCTGGACATATTTTTAAACACTCTCACTTTTTACTTACTTTCATTTTGGAAAAAGAACAATCTCACACTGTAGCCTGTACAATTGTAGCTGCCCCGCTGCCTGTAGCCCCCTGAGATCAGGGTCATGGCGAAGGCAGGCAGCTGCCTCGTCTGGGCGGCTACTCCTCACCCATGGAGGTTCCAGCTTTCCCTGCTGCTCCCCACCAGGTTCAGCGCAGAAGAGGTCTGTGGGCTCGGTTCTCGCTTCTCTGTTAGGCACTCCATCAGCCTGGAAGGCAAACTGCTGTGCTCTTAAACTGCTTTTCTGTTGGCGTCTGTGGACCACACTCATTTTCTTGGCTTTCTTATTTGCTGTGTTCCTTTAGACTTAGATTGTTGAGATGAAACCTACCAGCAAGGGAATGCAGTTTTAATGCCTTGTGCTTACTAAGATGTTAATTTCTCCTGAAATTGACTTTATTTACTTTGCACTGAACTCACCGGGAAATGTAGACATTTCAGAGTTACAGGACCATCCAAAAGGTAGTGACCAGTGCTATTATATGTGCACAGCTCAACTTGTCTCAGTAGCAGAGCTAAGGCGGGTCAGAGAGGCAAGAGGTAGAAATACTCCAGCTCTCTGGAGGGGCGGGAGCTGAGAACTCCTGATTTTCAGTGCCCTGAGTTCTCCGCAGTCCTTGCACCTCTTTAGATACTGGAGTGACCCAGAGGCCATGTCCTGTTGCTTTCCTAATTCAGTCTCACAGTGTCTTCAGGTGACGACACCATCCCTGATGGAGCAGCAGCTAGTCAGTACAGAGAAGTCCCTTAGGCCGCAGTGGTCGGCAAACTGCGGCTCGGGAGCCACATGCGGCTCTTTGGCCTCTTGAGTGTGGCTCTTCCACAAAATACCGACTTCTGCGCATGGGCCACGAAGTTTCAATCGCACTGTACATGCGTGCCCGCACGTGGTATTTTGTGGAAGAGCCACACTCAAGGGGCCAAAGAGCTGCATGTGGCTCTCGAGCAGCAGTTTGCCGACCACTGCCTTAGGGTGAACATGGTACTGTCCTCCCACCCTCCTCCCTTTCCTAGTCTTTCATGGCTATTTCTTCTTTGGTTTGAAGACAAAAGTTTGGTGCGGCTCTCATTTGCTCCTTTGAACATGTAGCACTGTCACACCCCACAGCTAACTTTCTATAGGTCTTCCATATTGGCCACACAGTTTAACTATCACTCCTGTCTTTTCCTTGCATTACTTGTTTTTTTGTTTTGTTTTTACGTGACTTACCTCGCACCCTCAGTTCTTGAGCACTCTGCGTCTGAGACAGTTGGTAGCCCAGGAACAGCACCCAGTACCTCTCCGGGTAGTGATTGGGGTGCAGTGGTGGGACTTGCCCTCCTGTGGACCGAGGTCTGGGTAGCAGTGGTAGCCCAGTGCTTTGTGCCCTTTTGCTTTGATTGTGAAACCTTATAGCTGTTAAACAAAAATTTAACTTCCACAGCTGAAGCCTTTCAAAAATAAAAGGTTTATTAGGCTATTGGTAGCAAAAAAAAGGGCAGCTAGTTTTGGGGTGCGGAGTCTAAACCACTTGTAGCCAGGCTAAGAGGGAAAGACAGACCCGCCCATCTGTCCGGGGTTTTGCTGCCAGCTTTGTACATTAGGTGGGTGAGAGAGATGTCAGCCTCTGATAGGATTTATGTTAGCTTTGAGCAGGGTGGGGAAGGGGGTGGGGCTAGTTCTGGGTGGGCCCTCCTGGGATTAGCTGTCGCTGCAGATTGGGAAATTCATGTGCTAATCAGAGCGGGAGGCTCCTGGGGTTTGAGGTGGCTGGCTATTCTCTTTTTTGGGTAATCACGAAATAGTCACCTGGAAATTAATTCTCAATTCTCACAGGTATGGAAGCAGACTTTCGTTAGAGCTGGTCCATAGCTATAAATTAGCTGGCTTATATAAAATGTCAAAGTGGTAAAAATCAGGTTTTTAAAAAATAAAGTGATTGACGCTTTTGTTAGCTATAAAAAATTACTAGATTTATCTGTTCCTAGGAATTTATATTCTAGCCGCAGGGAATGGTGGGTGTAACCTTTTCATTTTACATATTTTAATTCCACAAATGGTTAAGAGCACAACCTCTGGGTATCAGGCACCCTGGGGCCCTGGAGTAGGGTGGGTGGGTTTATTGCCCCTTCCCTCCTCATGGTCCAGCCTGGGGCAGCCCAAGGATGACTGGGAAACATGGAAAGGCCGTAGTTCTCCACTGAAATGTGCCACTGCTTTCACTCCAGTAAGCCTTGGGCCAGGGTGTGTGTGAGGTCCGAGCCTTTCAGCCCATGACCCCTGAGTCAAAGGGCACCGGCGGGTTTTCCCCAACTGCTAGTGGAGGTTAGGGAGGCCAAGGGAAGGGGTTCAAGGGGTCTGACCTTGGCCTCCCCCCTCCCCGCCCCGCCCCCCCCCCCCCCCCCAGGTTGCTGGGCTGCTCCAGGTCTCTGAATTCCAAATAAGAGTAACAATAAAACTATTTGTTGCTGCCTCGCTGGTTTTGAATTGTCCTTGGAAAGGGCCAGAACCTCGGAGAGGGGATTGGGGCTCTCAAGGTTGCACTTGATCCCAACGGTGTTCTGCTTTAGGGTTTTCATTTGAGACCAGGACCCTGCTTTCCAATGGGCTTTAATTCAGGGTGAGAAGAGGCTGAAAGCCAGGAAGCGGTTTGTTGAAGGATTGATGAATCCCGGATCTTTTCTGCTTTGATAGACTTCCACGAGGTGTGGGCGTAGCGGGACCGGGTCTACACGTATTGGTAATGCACTAATCATATTTTTTCCACCAAGACTCAAACCCCATTGAGGCATGGAAGCCTGTTAAGCTTCCTGTCCCCTCTGGCCCTCTGAGCCACTCCTGTTGCCACTCCACAGGACTTGGGAGTTTTGTTATGCATTGGGGTTATCTAGGGAAGAATTTGAGACACTGGAGACTACTTTTAAATTTAGGTTAGTTATTAAAATAATTTTGTTAGGAGGAAGTATTCCTTCATTGGTAGAGGTCAACTAAAAAATACCCAATCTACATTCCGGAAATGCCTCTTTCACAGTGAGAAGCAGCTCCCTTGAGGAGGTGTAACAAGTGGGCTGGAATTACCTGAAGAGGTCAGAGGGGGAGGCGGCCCTCAGCCCCAGACCCAGTCAGCCTGCTGGGAGAGGACTTAAGGCACAGCCCCGGGCTGTGAGGGTCATCTCCAACTACAGTGGGGCTTCCCTCTGTCCCCGTGGTCTCCCATTCTGAAGCTTCCTCAGGCTTCCTTGTCCACTCTTGGCCCTGTCCTTAAGTGCCTTTCACCCCTCCAAGCACCTGGCCTTATACTGTACCCCAAAGTTAAAATCTCAACTTGCAGAAAAACATTGCTGCTGGTTTGTGTTTTTTTGTTCTTTCATTTAAGGATCCTCAACTAAAGAGGCTGGGCAGGCAGGGTTCCCCCATTCTAACTCCCATTTAGGGGCCCTTTGTAGGGATGTTCATGTGATCTCCCTCAGTTCCCCAGCATGCCAGCCCCATTTTACAGACAACTTGCCCAGGATCAATCACCATGCTTGTTCAAACCAGTTTAAACTCGATCTGTTTGGTCTCTAACCTTCCCACTACACCTACCTGGGGGCAGACCTGAAGACACAAGATGGAAGAGCATAGAGCCCATCCCTGCAGATTCCACAAGCAGAAACTAGCTGCATTGTATTCCTTTGAAGAAAACTGACAGGCCTTGTGGTCCTTAGAGATGTCTATTAAAAAGCACTCCTCCTGATCCAGGCCCTGGTTCTCCTGCACATGCCAGCATCTGGGAGACCCGGTAGTGTCAGAGGGCACCTTTCCACTTTTCCCCTAGGGGTTCCGGCTTCCAAGGAACGTGGAAGTGGGGCTGTAGGGGCAAGTGATGGGAACAGAGGTCAAGAAGTTACTGCCCTTGGGGCAAATGTCCAGTGTCCACAGTGTTCCAGGTCAGCAGGAGTTCCTCTCTGAGGTCGACTGATTATTTGGGGACAGGCAGATGCTGGGGTGTCACTAGTCAGCCCTAAGTGAAGAAAATCCATGTGGAGGGTTGCGCATCGGCCAGAGCCTTTTCCCTTTCTGTACAGTAACTGCCTCACCTTTCCCTCCAACCCTGTGGACAGGTGTGCCCAGGTCGCTTGTTAGCTTGCGTGCGTGGGTGGGTGGGCGGCTCGCTGTTCTCCTTGGCCCCCTGGGCTGCAGTCCAGAAGAAACTGAAAACGCAGGCTGGTGGGAAAGGGGCCCTGCGCCTTGCTCTTTTGCCCTCAGGAGCCCGCCAACAGGAACCGGGCCACTGTGTGCCCCTAGGGGTGCGGGGGGTCTACCGTGAGCTCGCAGCCTGGGATTCCCGCCCTCCCCGCCCCCACCACCGCTTTTGCCCCAGCTTTGGCCCTTGGGCTCGGCGCGCAGAGCGCATGCGCGCGGTGTGAAGCCTGTACCTGGCTTCCTTCCGTTTGCCGCACGGGGGCGCCGCTCAGGGCGCGGGTATCCTCTCCAGCTCCAGGCGTCTCGGTGGCCGGCGTCTTCCCGGCGCTTGGAGTGGCGGGCGGGCCCTCTAGCCCCCGCATCTCGGTGGCCGGCGCTGACCCCGCCCGCCCGCTTGTTCCGGGGCTCTCGGAGGAAATGGCAGCGAGATCCTAGGAGCCTGGGAGCGGAGGTGAGTGGCGTTCGCGTAGCGGGCGAAGGAGCTGGCCGCCACGGGGCCGTGCTCTGGGGAGGGCGTGAGGGTGGCGGCTCTAGAGCCCGGCCCTCCCATAGCTGCGGCGTTCGCGCCGGGCCTGCTCCCGCCGGAGAGGGAAGATGGCGGCGGCGGGGGAGGGGCGGGGGCGGCCCGCGAGCTGAGGGAGCCGGGTCCGGTCCCGGCGGGAGCGCACTGAAAGGGGAGAGAGCGAATGCGGTCCTGGGACCCAGGCACGTTCCCGGTGCGGCGAGCTGACACGCAGAGACGCCTGTTCCAGTGGTCGTGGAGCTGGTGGGGTTGAGTTGTTTACACCGGACGTCTCGGTGGCGAAGTTTCGCTCCAGAGCCTGTTCAGGGTACGCTCTGTTGGCTTCCGTGTAACCGGCTGGTTTTGACGAGCGCCGACTCTTGCGAGGGTGACGCCGCGACGGCGCGGTGTGTGGTACGGAGAGACCCGCCTGCTTTCTCAGCGCCCGCGCCCGGCGGGAAGCGCGGTGTTGGGTTTTCTGGTGTCGCGGTGTGCCGTCCGGACTTTCGCCTCTGGCGCTCAGATCGTTAGCTTTCTCCTCGGTCCCCGCGCGCCCCGCCCCCGGCCAGGCCTAGAGACAGGAAGTCAACCAGCGTTCCTGCTTTGGGTCTGGCACCTCGTTGTGGGCGCCGGGAAGGGCGGCCTTAGGTGACAGCAGCGCGGTGACTTAAGCCGTAGCTGTTGAAGGTACCCTCATCCTTGCCCGGGCCGTCGGTAACCATGTCCTTGTCGTTGGCACGCTGATGGAATGAGATTTGAGCCTCGTGTGCTAAGGGGCATATGTAGGAGAAAGGGGGTTTTAAGATCTTTTCAGTGTATTCACATACCTTGTATCTAGGTTGGTACGGGGGAAGCTGAGCCTCCCATTAGGAGTGTAACGGCTTGCAGCGGGCCGAGTGCCAGCTCGTTGTTTTGAGAAGGGTGCTTTGTGTGCAGCCTGACCTCCAGCCGCTGAAGTGCAGGATTGCACGGCTGGGCTCTGACAAATGGTGGTTCCCTGGTTTCCCGGAGCCACGTAGGCCCTGACTGAAACATGCTTCCAAGAAAGGTGCTTTCAGCTGCGCGTTTTAAGGAAATAAGATCTCTGATCTTTGGAACGATTCCTTGATTTATTCAGCGAATATTCATTGCATCCTGTGTGCCAGGCACCAGGACAGAAGCAGCGACCAGAAAGTTGACCCTCCCAATCCTGTAGACAAGCCTAGCGGGGACATGCGAGGTCATCCCAGCTCCTTCATTGGGCTCTGCGTTGTCAACCCTGCACCCTGGAGCCTAGAGCCCCGTTGCACGTGTCTCTGTGACTGATCCACATTGTAAACACGGTATAGTCATCTCAGAAGGCCCAGCGCTGGCCCGGTTATAAACGTTTCGCCTGATGCATTTCCTCAGCACCGTTTTCTGCTTACCTGTATTCACCATGAGTTTAGGAATAACGCAGCTTTTGTTTACTTACGATTTTCCAAGAGCCTTTCCTTATTTTACTATTTGATTAAATGTAAGCTATTTCAAGCAAAGTGAGTTCTGTTCTCATAAGAAAAAGGGACACGAGTAAAAAGTTGTATAATTGGCTGCTCCTCTTTCTTCCTTACTATTTGCTGGTACCCATGGTTACCAATTTCTTTCCTGGCAAAGGGTGGCTGTGAGCATGTGTGCTGTGAGCATCACAATGGCTTGTTGCAGACGTGTCCCTGGGACTTAGAGATGGGCACGCTTGGTCCTGCAGGTGGGCCTTGGTTCATGGGCTTGCTTTTACATGGGGAGAGGGCTTTGGAGTGGGCACTTTGGCTCCCAGTGCAGCTTGTGGGTCCTGCTGTTGATACTGTAAGTACTAGGGGGTGCCTAATTTCCTAGGAGTTCCATCCCTGTAGCCCAGGGACTGGTTCTTTCTACTACATGTTGGCAAGATGTTCCAGGACCTGATTTTTCTTCAGATGTCTGTCCCATGATACCAAGTGACTTCATTTGACTCTTAACAGAGCAAAGATTGTGTTCGCAGGCTAGCTCTCTGTTGTCCTTGGGTCCCTGAAGGGTGGCACTGTGTCCCCTTAGAGGTCTGATTTCTCATACCCCTCTTAGACTCAGCAAGGCCACTAAGAAAGCTTTTCCCTACAGTTTGACTTTTGCATTTTCCTTACTTAAGTGGTGAGGTCACTTACAGTGTATGGAAATATAATGTTACCCTTTTTATGGCCAGCGTTCAGTGACCTTGCTAATTCCATCACAGAGGTCTGTGATTGACAACTAATGGAAAGGCATCAGTCGGGAAGGAAGGGGCTAGAAATCATTGAATCGAGTTCACTTGGTCCAGTGCCCACCTGATTTGCAGAGTAGTGGCTCTTGCTTAGGCCTCGTTTTATTTTTTGAGTAAGGTAAATTGTTACACGAAGTTGAATAGGTAATTGTATGTGTTGTAATAAGAATGCCTGTAACCATGACTATAAAGTATACTTCAGCAGGTGGTGGTTACCTTGTGTGTAATTTATGAGGCAGATATTTCTCTCTTTGGGTATCAAACTTCGATGCTGTGGTTTTGTTTTTCATATGCTGATACAGACACCTGTCTGTAAACGGGGGCTTTTTTCCAATATAAAGATAGCTTTACTATGATTTGGGTAATAAAGATAAATACACATATAGAAAATTAAAGCAATATTTAAAAAAAAAAAAAGAAAGCAAAAACACCACTGAGCTACGCCATTTGGGCCTGACATTGTCATTTTAATAGGTGACTTCCATCATTCATTGCATGTTTGCCTGCTGTGAGCCCTGACCAGTCTTGACTTTGTATAATTTCAGATAACTTTTTAGGAAACTGTGAGGTCACAATTGTCCCCCATTTCCCAGGCAGGAAAGTGCAGCCCAGAGAGAGGTAACTTACTGTTAAGTTTGCAGCCAGAGACATCCTGATGTAAAAGCCATTGAGCCCCAGCCCCCAATCTGCTTATCAAGGACTTAGCCCACTTGTCAATGGAGGGGTGTCATGTTGCGGTCAGTAGGGGAGGGCACTGCTGGCTGCCTTTGTCAGGATCAAGAATGGTGAGTGGTCCCCCTGAGGTGCCACCCCACACCCCATAGAGAGACAGGGCTAGGTAGATGCTAGCCTTGGACTCTTGGGGTTTGTTGATTGTAATCTGAAGTTTTCCCTCTGGTTGTAAGACAGCCTTCCTGGGCATGCCTCTCTGCCCATGCAGCATTGAGATAAGCTTGAAGATTCAGCTCTGTGTAGGTCCATGAAAATTGACACAAAATCCTGTTATTTATTCTTTAACACCTTAATTTAAGCTTAGAACTTTCCCACTACCCCAGTGGTCAGCAAACCGCGGATCGTGAGCCACATGTGGCTCTTTGGCCTCTTGAGTGTGGCTCTTCCACAAAATACCACGTGCGGGCGCACACGTACAGTGCGATTGGAAAGAAGAAGTGGGGGGTGTAGGTCGGTCGGGCGAGGGGAGACGCAGCGCAGGTGGGCGGCGGGATACGCAGTGTGGGAGAGGTACATTGTTTTGAGGTATGTTCGCTGAGGTCGACCCCTTCCAACTCTCCCATCCACACTCGTCTATCTGAAAAGTATACAAGACGAGTGTGGATGGGAGAGTTGGAAGGGGTCGACCTCAGCGAACGTACCTCAATCAGATTGAGTGCGTTTTTTTAGCAAAGGCCAGCTTAGGAGTACCCTAATGAAGTTAATAACAATGTACCTACCTATATAGTTTAAGTTTAAAAAATTTGGCTCTCAAAAGAAATTTCAATCGTCGTACTGTTGATGCTTGGCTCTGTTGACTAATGAGTTTGCCGACCACTGTACTACCCCAAAACCAAAACCAGACACTGGCCTCTGCTAATCTTGGGGAAAGAAAGGAAGATTCTAGCTGAAATACACAGTAATTCTTAACTTGTCTCCAAGGTCTCTAAGCATCATTTCTGCCCTAAGACCTGTATGGGATGCAGCTCTGCTCAGGAGACACAGGCCTGAGTATAGGCTTTTGTTTCTCCAGCCACCTTCTCTGAACTTAGGGGCAGTCAATGTGAGCGCTGCAGTCTCCTAACTGGAATCAGCCCCTTCTCGGCAGTCATGTGAAGCTGGTTTAGGGAAGGCGGGAGTCTCCACAAAAGTCCACTGCTGAAGCGGTGCTGTCCCTGCCTTGCAGTCCTCCTGGCTGGAAGGTCACTGGGTTGCTTGTGGTCCAAAAGGCAGCAGCCCTTAGGGTTCCCCCGAGCGTCAAGTCTGTGCTCTGTCAGCCATTCCCAGAGGTTTTGAAGTCAGGACCTGACACACCTAAAATTATTGGGACCCAGGAGAGCTTTTGTTTAAGTTGTGTCTGTTGATATTTACCATCTTTGGCATTGCCAATAGAGGCATTTACTTATTGTAAAACAATAAACCCTTGCATGTTAACATGAATAACATTTTACTGAAACTATTTTCCAAGACAAAACCAACTTAAAGAGAAAGGTGGCATTGTTTTACCTTTTTTTTCTCTCTTATCTCTGGCTTAACTGGCAGCAGTTTGACTTTCACATTTGCTTCTAGAATACTGAGAGTGACCCATGAAAACGGAAACAATGTCTTAATGTTGTGTAAATAGTTTGAACTTGGAGACCTCGAAAAGCCTACGGACCACACTGAGAACCTTTGCTCTAGAATCTAGATAATGGTTAGGAGTGCTTACTTTTGAGAAGTGCAAGTTTTAAGAAATAGTTGACTCCCGACTTTAACGTGGGAGGGGGGATGAATTACTTTTAGGAAGACAGGCAATGTCTTTGCATTTTACTTGCAACCACATTACTTGCTTTTTGGAAAAAGGTTGGTTTGTGGTCATGGGTGAAAGTGTTTCGGGGCATACCTCCCCTCCGCCTCCCAGTGGACTGCCTGAAGTGAGGCCAGGGTGCCTGCTGGAGCGGGGGAGGGGGGGGGCGGACGGAGGAAGACTGCTTTTAGCTGTAGGGCACTCTGCCTTGCAGGTGAGATGCCTGAATGGGAGAGGCCCTTGGTTTTGTATGTTAAATGGCACTTGGCATTTGTTGTAGGACATCCTTTAATTATACACAGCCTCTGTAACGACACCACTTGCTGCAGTGAAAATGGGTTGAGAGTGGCCTGTATGGGGGACTGCGGATGACCCCAGGAGACTCCAGCAGGGCACTGGGATCTTGTAGCAGTGCACCCACGAGGTGCCAGAAGGAAGTCCAGCACAGATGTAATTGGGGCCCAAACCGAAAGTGTGGATATAAAAGCAGTAGAGTGGCCATTTGTGGGGGGTCCTGGATTCTTTGTGTGTGTGCCTTTATTCTTTTTTTTTTATTATTATTGATTTCAGAAAGGGAGGGAAGGGGAGAGAGAGAGAAGCATCACTAATGAGAGAGAATTATTGATTGGCTGCCTCTGCACACCCTACACTGGGGATTGAGCCCACAACCCCGGGCATGTGCCCTGACCAGGTATAAAACCATGACCTCCTGGTTCATAGGTCGATGCTTAATCACTGAGTCACGCTAGCTGGGCAGGTCCTGGATTCTTAATTAATAGCTACAGGACTTGGGATACTCAGGGAAAGGAGTCCTTGAAGTGCCCAACAGGGATAACTGGGAATTGATTGATTGATTGTTAGTTAATCCTCACCCACGTATTTGCTTTTCCATTGCATTTGGGGGGGGGGGCGGGGGAGACATCGATTTGAGAAAGACATATCCACTTGTCGCCTCCTGCGCGTGCCCCAAGGGTATGCTCATGTTCTGTGGATGAACAGCGAGTGTTTGTGACTGCGGACCTATGGAGTAGATGAGGGTGGCTACCATCAATGCTTGAAAAATGGCACACACTCGGGACATCCTGCGTGGTTGGAATTTCTGGGTATATTCTCATTAGTGACCACCCCATTAATAGAAACTGAATTGTGTGACTCAGAATTAAAAAGTCTGCATCACCAGAGTCCATAATGGCGAGGTTATGTTGTAGCTTTGGATGTAGTTTCTGACTGGCAGATCAGAATTGTTTCAGAATTTAAATGGTTAGTTGTGAATGTTGTTCTGGGGATGTGAGGTGTGGGCAAACATGGTTTAACCACCAGGTGGGACAGGTCAGCACTGGGTGGTCTCTTTGATAAGAAGTGGTTGTCATGCTGTGAGAGTAGGATCCACATCGTGGTTGGGCAGCATATTGTAAAGTGACTTAGGGACACGAGTCTCTTCACTGTATAGCACTGCACCACTCGAAACAGGCCTCCAGCGTGCTCTGTGGTCCTGGGGTCGGCCTTCAGCTCCACCATGGTCACAGTCACACCACTGACATTTGTATTTGTTTTGTAAGTAACACATAACATCTTAGAAAGGTATTTATCCTTTTTGTTTTTTAAACTTTTTTGGGGGTATTTTTATTGATTTCAGAGAGGAAGGGAGAAGGGAGGGGGAGAGAGAGAGAAACATCAATGATGAAAAGAGAATCATTGATTGGCCGCCTCCTGCATGTCCTCACCAGGGCATTGCCTGCAACCTGGGCATGTGCCCTGACCAGGAATCGAACCTTGACCTTCTGGTTCATAGGTCAACAGTCAGCCCCTGAGCCACACCAACCTGGCTTTTTGCCTTTGATTTTAAGAAATTCACTTCTGACAGCCTGACAGAGGGAGAGTGGAGGCCAGAGTGAGGGCTGCTTTAGAACAGGTTTGGTGGAAGGCGGTGTTGGGTCCCTTCTGGTAATGAAGCCCACGCCTGTTAGTGCTGCGCACGGGCGCGGTGTGTTCTTACACGGATAGAAATGCCTTGTCACAGGAGCCCGTCCTCAGTGTGTCCCTGAGTGTCTCCAAACCCTTCTGGGCATTAGAGGTAAAAACTCTCCACTGTGACAGTAGACATTTTTTGCCTTCTTTGCTGAGTTAACTGGTCGTGGTGCCGAAGCAAATTCGATTGCTGACATCAAACCCTATAGTGTGCTCTCCACCTCTGCACCAGCCACTTAAAATGTGCCAGCCTGCCCAGCCAGCGTGGCCTGGTGGTTATGCGCTGACCTATGAACCAGGAGGTCATGGTTCAATTCCCCGTCAGGACACATGCCCTGGCTGCGGGCTCAATCCCCAGTGGGGGGGATGTGCAGGAGGCAGCCGATCAATGATTCTCATCATTGATGTTTCTATCTCTCCCCTTCTCACTTCCTCTCTGAAATCAATAAAAAAATTTTTTTTAATGTGCCAGTCTCCCTTACTGTCTTTGGTGAAGCAATAAAGACTATTTTATCAAATCTCAGCCGATAGTGTACATCTTCCTACCACTCCCTGTGACGAAGTGGCGAGGATGCAGTAGCACCTCTCCTCCACCCCAGATGGGAAGGGAGACTGTCTCCAGGAGGTGCCCCTGGGGCTGTTGGGACCTGAGCCATTTGTACTTGAAAGGACTACTGACAGGCGGCAAGTTTTCAGACTGGCATTTGGTGGGCATTTTCTTGAAGATGAAGGATGTGAGTCTTAAGGAAAGAACTGACATATTTGTTCCTAACGATAAAATTCCAGGTTTCAAATGAGGGTTAGAATCTTGAAAAGCTTCTATCTGCCATTGTGAGCTTGATGGCTTCCCAGTGATTAAAGCTGTTTGACAAGACAGGTGCCAATATTACTAGCACGTGTGTGTCTTCCGTGTCATCTGATGGACCATGCTGCATTTGGACTTGCGTGAGTTGGTGATCCAGATGACCATATGGTTTCTGTTTCTGTGTTGCAACTAATGTTTATGACACTACTGCTTGTCAAGGCTTGGTATGGGGGTAGCAAAGAACACCCACAATTACCTGGAAAGTTTCTTGTTTTAATTTTGGAAATAACAATGTATTTCACATAAACAAAAGCTCTTTGGGGTTTTCAGTTTTTAAGAATGTGGAGAGGCCTTGGGACCAAAAAGTTGGAGAGTTGCCTTTCAAGGACCTTGATAGCGGCAGATCTTGTTCCTGGATCCCATTTATCCATTGGGGTTGCCCTATAGGTACACAGGCTCCTGGTGGATAGCAGCTGAGGTTTTTAAACCTAAGGTGTCAAAGAATTATTCCTACCTGAGCTTAGCAGGGAAGGGAGCAGTCTTCAGCTAAGAACAAAAATTGCGCTTATGATGGGTTCCCCGCCCCCCTCACTTTTTCAGGAATGCCCACATTTTTTCCTTTGGGAAAGTTGTATTATGATGATGTGAATGAAAGTTTATGACCTGTTTTCTTTGCGTGGTGTAAAGGGTTACACACTTAATTGTGTTAGGAACTTAGCACTTGACTATAGATGTAAATATGAAATGTAAAAAAGTCCAGATAAATGAACCAAATTGTCTAAAATGTCGTGTGTTCTGAATAGAGTTTATCTCATTCCACTCTATAGCATAGAAATATTTGATTTTTTCTTTTCTGATGAATTTTTCAACACTTAAGTCAAATCCAGATATATGTTGGTCTTTCAGAGTAACATAAATTAAAAATATTTTCATTCCTGAGAACATCTTAAATTTTGTTCTTGGGGTTTTGAAATATAAAAGTAAGGTTTATTTCCAGTTTCTTCTGAAAAGTAAAGTTTCTGAACCATTGTAGTCTCATTTTGAGACCGATTTACCACCACATTTAAGAGATTTGGTGGCTGTGGTGACCTGTTTTGCTAATGGGGTGAAATGGTCACTGTTGCTTTAAAAGGAGGGGCATCAGAATGTTTGTCTTTGTTCTGAGTCACTAAGGAGACCACAGTTACAGGAGGCAGTTGGAGTGAGGCTAGGAGGAAAGAGGTGAGGTGGGTCCCCTTGGTTGGGGTGAGACTGTGAAATGTGTCAAAAGTAATACTTAGGGTCCCTCCGGGAACTGAGGCGCGTTTAGTGGGGCTGAGACCAAGTGAGGCCGTTCCTTTGTTCATTCAAAAGAGGGTGTAGGAAGAGAGCTGTTTTTAATATAATACATGACCTGTACCACTCTGATGCTCGATTATAAAGTCTTTCTCAGGTTTTTTAACTAAAATGATGGTGTAGATGGAGAATTAAGGATTTTTTAAAATATATTTTATTGACTTTTTACAGAGAGGAAAGGAGAGGGCTAGAGAGTTAGAAACATCGGATCAGCTGCCTCCTGCACACCCCCTACTGGGGATGTGCCTGCAACCAAGATACGTGACCTTGACTGGAATCGAACCTGGGACTCTTGAGTCCGCAGGCCAACGCTCTATCCACTGAGCCAAACTGGTCAGGGCTAGAATTAAGGATTTTTAAATAATTATTTAATTTTGTTGTTCAGCCTTTTCATGTTTTGTTTGTTTCTCTCTCTGTTGGGTTTTATTGAGAACTAGGATTGATTGGGTATTAGCTGACACCTGATTACTGGTTGTGGAACCCACCACCCCACCCCACCAGGGCCTGTTTTCTCTTATAGCCAGCTCCACCCTCCACCCTCCACCCTTGTCTGGTCCCAATGTGGTCACAGTATTTTCTCTAGAAGTCCTTGAAGGAAGGGAACTGTGTGTGTTTGGGGGGGGTGCTTGTTTGTCTTTTTTAAAATTTAATGTAGTTTAATTTATAGTTAAGACTTATAAACCATCTTCTTTCTTTTAGGAGCTCACTCGTGTGAATGGTCTCACGATAATCTGTGTAGTCGTCAGTGAGCAGTGACTGGCGGCAGCAGTGTTTGAGGCCTGGCTGTTTGCTTAGACCAAGTGCTTGCAACGGTCAGGCTGGGTTTTTTGAATCAGGACTTCTGGAGGTGTCCCAGTGTTCAGTGTCTGGCGGGTAACGTATCATTAGTGTTAAATGTCAACAGCAAAACCTTAAAAGTTTTAAGTTGTGTTTTCTATTTCTAAAGTGGCATTATATGTAAAGAATGTCATGCAATGTAACATTCATATATGTTTGAAACATTCTAAACTTTAGCTGAAAAGTTTTTAGGTGAATATGGGATGATGTTTAGAATTGTTCTTTTCACCTTTTCTAAACTTTTGTGTGCATTCAACTGAAAAAGATAACTTAGGTGTTTTGGTGCCCACATTCAGCTTATAAAAATGTAAAAGACTATTCACACACACACACACACACACACACACACAAAACAATTAGCTCAAACTGGAAAAAATAACAATTTTATTTAGAGCAATTATTTTCCCATTGGTTATTTTATTAGTGCATAGAACTTGACGTAATGCGTTCTCTCTGTGGTGAAATGTACCTGCAGAGGAGATTTCCTCCTGCCGTGGGGATCGGGCTTCTTCCCCGGCCCTGCGGTAGCTTCATAGGCTCAGTCCCAGACCCTCTGAAATGGAGGGACTGTGGCTCCCTGCACTGCTTGTGGCCAAAGGCTGGTTCAGGCCCCTCACACTTTGCCTTGGGTAGGAATTGAGAATGGTGTATGAAATAAGGGCTTGATCCTCTTTTAAGGTGGCCCTTAGGTTTGCTACAAGTAGATTTGCAAGAGGAGAACACTTACCCGAAGGAGTCAGATTTCTAGGCCAGATGGGCAAACGGTTGTAACTAGTGTGGTTAGTAACAGCTCTCACACGTACACGGAAGGATCACGGCCCTGTTCTTGGGAGCGTGAGTGCTGCTTCTCACATTGGAGCTCACAGCATTATGAGGTCAGCATTGCCTCCGGGATGCAGGCAGTTCACCTGACTGCTCAAGGTCACCAGCCAGAGCACTCTGTGTTGGAAGCTCCATAAGGACCTCACTTTAGTTCGGCTGTGACTAAAGAAGTGGTGTGGTCCTCCATGGCACACATGCTAATGACACAGCCACTCCTGCAAGCTTCTGTGTGGTTGGGAGCATGAGGCCAGGTTCTAGGGTGAAGGGTGTGTGGAGCTGGATGGGAAATGGGGTGACAGCATTTAGTGGGAATAGAAAGGAGTTAGGTTGCATATTGAGTTTTGTGTATTTTATGTTTTGAAGGTCTTCATTCTATACCAGTCCTTCCCCTAGGATGGAACATGGTGTAAAGTCTGAGTCATCACTAGCATTTACATGTGACTGAAGCCTGGACAGCTCGGAAAATAATTCTTAAGGTACATACTGTGTTCTTTGGGTTTTATTATTTTCAAATAGGAGTAACGTTTTCACAAGCATGACCCTTCAGTGATCGTATTAGAAGGAAAGGGAAAAGGAAGAATAGGGAAAAGAAACACACATTCAAAGTAGCCAAGGTTCAGTATTTCCTATGTGTCCTAGTCATCTGTTACGTAACAACTACCCTAGAACTCGTACTTTTGTAGCTACTAAGTCAGAGCTCCGCTGGGCTGTGGTGCAGGTCCAGCACACACCCTCTCCACGGGGTCTCTCCAGCCAGGTGGTCGGACTTCTTATGTGACTCCTCAGGGCTCCAAAGCCCAGGACAGGAGCAGCCAGTACTCTCACCTACTGGGCCCGGGACTGGCACAGCGTCCCGTCCACTGTGCCCTGCAGGCAGAGTCCGCCTGACTCAGGGAGGGCAATGGCAGCCACCTCTCATCGCAGCAAACACTGTTCTGGTCATGTCCTTGCTGCCCGGGACTGTGGCTCGGTTGACATTTCCCCGCTACCTGTTTTATAAGACCTGGTCCTCACCAGTTAAATGGCAAAGTTACAGATTTGCTAGCTGTTTTTCTTTGTAATATTAGATGTATAACAACTAGGATTTTATTCAAAAATCGCCTCAAATTAGGACATGGCCTCACACTTGAAGAAGCACTGGTCACAATGACATTTTTTTACTTGTTTTAATGTCCACCTTCACTGTCCATGGGTAGGAAGCTGTTCCTTCCTGTGTGGTCCTGTGGGTGTCTCCCTCCTGTGGGGTGAAGGTCATGCTTCTCTAGCCCAGGGCCTCCCTGCTCACGCGCCAAGGAATGTGGCCTCATTAATGTTGGTTGTGGTTTGGTTGCATTTCCCCATTAGGTATGGATGAGAAAGGTGACCTGAACCATGAGGAAGCCCCCAAGGTCATCAAACCCACCAGTAAAGAGTTTAGGAAAACGTGGGGGTTTCGAAGGACCACCATTGCTAAACGGGAGGGCGCTGGGGACACGGAGTTAGACTCTGTGGATCAGCAGCCCCAGCAGCAGCAGAGCCTTTCCTTGCGACGCAGTGGGCGGCAGCCAAAGCGGACTGAGAGGGTGGAGGAGTTTCTCACAACAGTCCGGCGCAGAGGGAGGAAGACAGTGCCTATCTCCTCTGAGGACCCCAGTGAGTCAACCTCTTGCCCAGTCACAGATGTCGAAACCGCTTCTGAGGGGAGCGTCGAGAGCTCCTCTGACAGTAAAAGTGGGCCCAAGGTTGGCCCCACAGGCAGTAAGGGACGACCAGCCTCATCTGCAAAGACCAAAGGAGATGATGGTGAGGACGACACCTCCGATAGTGATAGCGATGGGTTGACCTTGAAAGAACTTCAGAATCGCCTACGAAGAAAGCGTGAACAGGAGCCAGCTGATAGGGCCCTGAGGGGAGTCCAGAGTCGCCTGAGAAAGAAGCGTCGGGAAGAGGGCCCAGCAGAAGCTGTGGACGTGGAGGTGGCCGATGCCATGGAGAGCTCCCCACCCGGCCAGCAAGAGCCGGCAGATGAACAGGCAGCTAGTAGTGACAGAGAGGGGAAGTCAGAAGGGCGGACGACCCCAGGAGTCAAAGAAGAGGACCCTGGAAGCTCAGTCAAGCACAAGCCCGAGTGTGAGGTGTACGACCCCAATGCTCTGTATTGTATATGTCGTCAGCCTCACAACAACAGGTAGGTCATGGGCAAGGAGGTTGCTGGCTGCCCTGGGTTTTAGGGAAATCCATGTGAGAAAAGCAATGGGATTTAGGGTTATAGAGCCGGGCTGAATGAGCAACTTGTGCGTTGAAAAAGATGAACAAGTCATTGTCAGAAAGGGACTCTGGAGCCATACATTACATGCACTGTGGTCGCCGTAGGCCACTTGGGGCTCTTCACTGCCTTGGTCACACTAGCCACGTGCAGCCAGTGGCCAGAGTGCAACGCGGCAAAGACTAAGCTACCCACCACCCACTGTCATCCCAGAGGTCTCTGGGCTGGCGCTGCTCAGGTGGTGGTAGGGAGCTGCGGTCTGGTTCCTTGGGTGGGAGAAAGGCATTGTTGCTCTTTGTGGAGACAGTACTGAGCTGGGGTGGGGGGATATTAGGAACCCTTTAGTTAACTGAAAATGCTCTACTCAAAACAAGATTGAGTGAACTTGCTTGAATGATGAGAGGGTATATTGTGTTTTTTATCCTGTCTCTACTTTCCTGTACGTTTGCATTTTTTTTTAACAATGTTGAAACCAATTTTTCTAAAATTGAGTGTGTATCTCTTTGTTTTCCATTCCTGGTTATTTTCCAATTTCAGGTTTATGATTTGCTGTGACCGATGTGAAGAATGGTTTCATGGCGATTGTGTGGGCATTTCTGAGGCTCGTGGAAGGCTCCTGGAGAGGAACGGGGAAGATTACATCTGCCCCAACTGCACCATTCTGCAGGTGCAGGACGAGCCTAACTCAGAAACCACCGACCAGCAGGAAGCGAGGCTGAGACCTGCAGACGCTGACAGCACTGACTGTACAAGTATCGGGACCATAGAGCAGAAATCCAGTGAAGACCAAGGAATAAAGGGGAGAATTGAGAAGGCTGCAAATCCAAGTGGCAAGAAAAAACTCAAGATATTCCAGCCTGTAAGTATTGCCTCCTAGGTCAGTGATGATCTTACTCCTGCTGACAAACATGAAGACTGAGGAGTTTGGTTCTTTTGGTTCCCCAGAAGCAGTGTCATGTCTGATGAGGGTGGGCTGGTAGGAAAGCAGTTGTGTTTTGTGCTTTGTGAGCCTCCCCATTCCTGCTCCTTTGGGACTCCATGTCCAGCTCATAGACTATTACTGTTGACTCAACATTTTTCTTAACTGAACTGATGGACTGGCTTGTTAAAAATGAATCTTTCCGGAAGTGTTCTTTATGGAGTCTCATGTAACAAATCACAGTCGTCTTGGAGTTACTGAAGTGAGTGTGCCCTTGTCTCAACTGGCACCATCTTGATAGAACTTGCGGTCTCCCCCCGTCCCCCCCCCCCCAAAAAAAAGCACTTGTGAGCATTTAATGAACTTCCTTCTGTGTGGCTTCAAGGTAGCAGGACACAGCCTCTGCTAACACCCTTCATTTTCTCCTCAGCTCTCCTGAAGCACTTGGCCTCCACTGTGACAGTTTTCTGTGGGAGCCTTCCCTTCCCCAGACTATAGTAGTCTGATCGCACCACGTCAGTGATAGGAGCAGCTCCTGGCTTGTTTTTTGGCAGCATTTGTGTGTCTGCTCACTGATCAAGGTGCAGTTTACTAAGGTTGACAGTTGGGCAGAAGCTTGGGTTCTCTTTATGTGCTGATGCCTTGCACCTATTAGGTGATACTTGCCGAAATTGATCCTGTGATGATGCAAGCCACCTGCATTACCTCGGCCTCCTGGGTGCTTCCTGTGCTCACTGATGTGGCTGTGGCTCTCTTGGCCCCAAAGTTTTCAGGTCTTCCTCAGTCTGGATGGCATGCTGGTGGCTGAGATGCAAGAGAGCAAGAACTAGTAATCTTGAACCTGCCTTACTGGAGATGCTGAGGGGTGGTGGTGGCAGCTTTCACGTGGCTACTAGGGATTTAAATGACCTCAGCCAGGGACAGTCTCCAGCCCAGTGTCTGTGATTCTTGTCCACAGCTCTTTACTCCGTCCTTCTTTCCAGCTGGTCTTCAGGGCTGTGATTTTTTTGTCTTGTTTTCCATGGATTGTCAGCTTCCGCTGTGGAGAGCCGTCTTGGGCTCTCGTGATTGCCCTGCTCAGGACATGTTTTCACTCCCAGTCTTCCTGCGTCTCAGCCACCCTTCACCAGCCACCCCTGGTGTGGCCAGCTGGGCTTGTGGGAGGGCGCCACTGCTGGTTGTGCCCCGCCTGTCCTCCTGCAGGTGTCCGGTGGCCAGAAGGCTGTGAGATGACCATGCCGAAGGGTCTCTTGCCTTCACATCCTGCACTGTGTTAGTGAGGACTGGAGCCTTCAGTATAGCTATTGTGAGGTACTGCAGGTACTCAATGGAAATATGATACCGTTAACAACTTTAGTCATTAGGAAGCGTTAACAGAAATGTAAATTAGTGGGGAAAGCCATCCTAATTTTATGTCTTTATTGTCAGTGTGTTTGAAACTATGTACGTTTAATTTTTATCTTGAGTGAAACTTGGATTCAGTGGAAGAAAAACTATTATCTTAAGTACTTAATGTGATACATAGATTTTGCTCAAGAACATTGAGGGATGTGTTTGTATGTTTGGTCTTGACCGTCAGACGTACTCAGCTTGTGATAACGTCAGGTTTCTAGCACCACAACTACAGACTTAGCAGGAAAACACGTACTTCTTAGCTCCGTTTCCACGGGTCACAAATGGCTAAGCCAGGCCCTCTGCCCAGGGTTGTCCTAGGCTGTATCCCAGGGGCCAATGGAGGCCAGGGTCTCAGACCTGGCAGGTGAAGATCCACATCCAGAAGCTTCCATGTCTGTAAAGGTGTCCTGTGTGGTTTTGTAGCATGCTTATACTAAAAAGGTATTTGTTGTTTATCTGGGATTCAAACCTCATTGGGTATCTTGGCTCTCTCCTGCACCCTCACCCTCAGAGCCAGCCACTGATGGCCCTCACAACAGGGCCGCTTTCTTCAGAATGAGCAGCAATGTCTCCTCTCCTTTAACAGGTCCAGTTTCTCTGTTAGGTGTTTTCACCTGATTGAATCAGACCCTTTCAATTAATACCTTAACTGCTGGAATTGGTAAGTCTGAAGTCATGTGTTCTGTTCTGCAGGTCACAGAGTCTCCTGCTGCCGCAAAGTGTATTGGGCCTGGGTGCTCTAGCGTGGCGCAGCCCGACTCTGTCTACTGCAGCAGTGACTGCATTCTGAAACATGCTGCTGCCACCATGAAGTTCCTGAGTGCAGGGAAGGAGCCAAAACAAAAACCCAAAGAAAAGACCAAGACCAAGACCAAGCCAGAAACACTCGTTCTTCCCAGATCTAGTGTTGAGGTAAGCTGACCAAGACCACCACCCCCATTGCAAGAGTCAAAGCGTAAGTATACTCATGTTCCAGACTCGCTGGTTGGTTTGTAGAGTGTAGGGGACAGCGGCATAGATGTAAGTCAGGTGCCGTCCCCTCTCCTGTTGTCAGAATTCCCAGGGAGTATATATCCTCACATTTCCTTTTCTCTGCCCTCTAGCTGAGGGAGTGACTAATGCGGGCACCGTAAAGCAAACCCAGGCAGCTGGCTTCTGTTCCTCAACCAGCCCTCTCCCAGGAACTGTTGGTGACCGTTGAAGCCCATGTGGGAAGCAGCGTCACAGGCAGCCAGCAGGGCTGGGGGCGGGCTCTGAGGCAAGACTGTCTCACTGCGAGACCTGGCTCTCAGGTGGTCTGGCTTTGAGACACACGTGACTTGTGAAGAGTCAGGGTGTTTCAAGAATCACTTGACTCCCACTTGCATGCCCTCCTGGAGTTAGCTTAGGTTGGCATGGCCGTGGCATGGCCCCATTGCACTTGTATTGAGCAAGCCTAATGGAGTGTTTTCTTGACATAGTTGAATGCTTATTTAGCGTTTAGATGGCCTAACTTTTATTTATTTACTTTTGTTAATTCCTTACCTGAGGGTATTTTTTCCATTGCTTTTAAAGAGAGTGGGAGGGAGGGAGGGAGGGAGGGAGGGAAAAACATCGATGTGAGAGAGACACGACTGGTTGCCTCCCGCACGCGCCCCAACTGGAAAAGGGGAGCAAACCCAAAACCCAGGTACGTGTCCTTGACCGAGAATCAAACCCGAGACCCTTTAGTTCACAGGTGGATGCTCTAACCACTGAGAAACACCTGCCAAGACTCAGTGGCTTGATTTTTATTTGTTTTTGTTTTTGTTTTTTATTTCAGAGAGGAAGGGAGAGGGAGAGAAGGATAGAAACAGATGATGAGAGAGAATCATCAACAACTGCCTCCTGCATACCCCACACTGAGGACTGAGCCCACAACCCGGGCATATGCCCTGACCAGGAATCGAACCATGACCTCCTGGTTGAAAGTTTGACACTCAGCCACTGAGCCATGCCAGCTGGGCTAGATGGCCTAATTTTTAAGGCTGGTAATTTTGAATCAACTGCTGTGTCCAGTAAGAGTGACGGTGCAGGATGCCTGATGGAGAGCATGGGAGTGTGGGTCCTGGCCTTGTTGCCCAGCGTCGCCCTCTCCCATAGTGTTGTGGGCAGGCACACTCTCATAGAGGCCCTTCCCACTTGGGTCTTGCCTCTTTTCACCACCTGCTCAAGGGACTTGTTCTATGTTACCCTGGCTGCCTCACACCTCAGCTGGATGACAGTTATTCTGTGTTGGGCCTCGTGTCACTCAGAAGTTGAAGCCCTTCCCAGCCATTATGGTGGAATGTTGAGGGCTCAGCTGGTGCCGAGCAGGCTTGGTGCCCAAGCTCAGGGTGGGGTGGGAGTGTGAGTGACCTTAAGCATGTTCTCACCTTCATTGAGAAGGGAAGCGAATGAAGGTTGACTTTTGATCTCCTTAATGATTGGGGTTTTACTGATTATCCAGGCAGGCATTAAAGTCTCTTCTGTGCCCAAGAGACCCGCTCCAGACAAGAAAGAGAATGCCATGAAGAAGGCAGTGGTGACCCCTGCTCGGACTGAGGTCCTTGTGAAGGAAACGACTTGCGAGAGCAGCACGCCATCCTGGGCGAGCGACCACAATTACAATGCAGTAAAGCCAGAACAGACTGCTGCCCTGTGGCCGTCACTGTTGTATAAATGTATGTATCATCTAGGGGTGGCTTCTGGACCCTTCCCTGTCTTTCTGGATGTCTGTCCATTCAGGACTGTCCAGAACTAGGAGGTGTAACCAAGCTCAAAGCTGCACCTCCAGGGATGGAAGCAAATACCAGGGAGCCCCAGGGGGCTAAGCGTGAGGCTTAGCCTGTTTCCCACAAAGCCCTGCAAACCTCAATGTTGAATGTGGCACCTGGCAATTGAGGTCTAATCTGTTTTCATTATCAGACGCTGGTAAGTATTTAGTATTGTTGCCAACAAAGTCCAATGAGCGGGTACTCTTGCCCGGCACTCCAAGTTCACCACCATCCACACTACAGGTGCATCATTATCACCGCTCTGTTAGCTGCACAGGTTTCCACACTGCCTTTGAGCACATGTGGCCATCACTTCTTTTGTGTGTTGGGAGCTCTTTCTGCAAATTGATGATGCAATGATAGTCAACTAAAGTACAATTTCTGAGCTGAGAAGTTTTTCTTGTTCAGTACACATTACATATCCCCATAAACACACTCCTGGTCTCACACCGAGCGCCTTGTGTCTCAGGTAAGTGGGCGAGGTGTCTCCTAAAGCAGACTCCACCAGGGGCCTCCAGACTTCTCTGGACGCCGGACTGTAGGTCGTGCCTCCCCACCCCCAAAAAATGAGGAGTTGAGGTATTGCCAGTCAGTCTGTGAGATCCCAAATTTGCTTATGCAGGAGGACCTTTGGTTTCTTGTTTTTCAGCCTAACTCTCCAAAATTAAATTGGTCTGCAGGGCACATCTTACTCTATTACTAAGATTATTTTTATTCAGTGTTTTGTGCTGTTTTTTATACTGTTTTATGCCTTTTTTTTTAAAGCACTGAAAGGTTAAAAAGCCCTGAATCCCAAGACTATTGAGCTCTTCTGCCTTCTCCTTTTAGTCACCTTTTAACAGTCACTGAGGGAGGATACCTGTAGGTAGGCGCTGGACTAGTATAATTAGAAAATGTGTAACTAAATGCTCACTTTGAGAATGTAAATGGCCTAATACCTAAGTAAATTGCAAAGTAATACTAGATTTTTTTATTATTTTAGGAATACGTTGTTAAATACAGTTAACAAACTATAGCACGCCTGTGAAGTAGCACTTTTATAGAGGCTGTGAGCATACCTAAAAACGTACATCACTTACGTGTGAACGGATGGTAACCGTGACTTTGGAGTCCTGTGTACTGTGCTCTAAGTGGGTTACAGGTTACAGGATGCAGCAGAATCAGGAAACCCAGGCACATCTATCAAGGTCCTGGCGACTGATTTCCATCTGTTGACTAGAGCTGGAAAGCTGCTCTGAGGCACCCTGTGCGGAGTTATGAGGACAGGATGGCTCTCTCCCTGGACTCTAATCCCACTGTGACCTTGAGAGAAGAAAGGAATTGGGGGTGGGGAGATACACCAGGGGCCCATTTCTCTGCTCACAGACTGGGTTTTCTTTTCTTCTCCACCTCCTCTCTCCATATCAGCTCCTCCCTGAAGCTTCATGGGCTTCAGTTGACAGAAAGTTGAAACAAACTAATGACTAACTCTTCCTAGCACACTGACGCCAGTTAAAACTGATGGATATCCAGAATTGATTGAGTGCAGGGGGGACATTTTCGAGTTGCTTTTGATCATTTTTTTTGTTAACCCAGAAATGTCATCTTCCCAAAAAATGATTGGGAAGGGTCATTGGAAAAATACTGACTTCAGCCCGGGTGAGTAGCAGTTGTGTCTACCTCTGACCCAGATCATCCTTTCACAGTTGCTGTAGCACACACAGAACCCGGCGGCCCCATGAGGACCCCCTACCTGCCGCCCTGGCCGGCTTCAGAACGGGCTTTTCTGGGTTGGGATGGTGAGATGCAGGGTGCACCTGATGCTGGGACACCGGCCTGGGCATGTGGAGCCTTCTTCAGCCCAGAGAGCCAGGGTGCTGCTCCTGGAGGTGCTCTGTGCTGCCTGGATGTGGATGCAGGGACAACTGTCGGGGTACATGGTCTGGGACCTTCCAGTAAACCACGTCGAAGTTTGCTCTTCCTCCTCATGAAAGTATCAGTAGGTCCTGCGTGCTCTCAGGGTAATGCTATTAACATACACTCATTCCTGATTGATTTCTTTTATTTAAATTGTTTTTGAGGTTTTCTGTACTTGTGGAAACAATTGTTTTTTAATTTCTCCCCCAAATCATGTTTGTGCTTTTACAGTTTTATTTTTTTCCTCTTTATTTCCACTATTGGTTTGCCTTCCTTATTAAAGCATGGAGAGAGCTTAACCTTTTTTTTTCTTTCTTTCTTTTTTCTTTTTTTTTTTTTTTTCTAAAATGCCCCAGGTTTATTAGAAAGAATATGGAAGTGGAATTCTGGTATTTGTATTCTAGTATTTTGGGCTCCTTAAATGTCTCAATAGGTGACTTAAAACATGGGATCTAAACAAATTTTGACTGAAATACGAGATTTCTACAGTTTATCTATGAGAATTAAAATGGAAAACCCTAAGGGAACCAGGACACCCAAATCCGGATGGTTTATTAAACATGGTGCCCAGATACAGCATTTCCCCCCAGTCCAGTCCATATGTGGCCATGCAGATCGTCCACGAGCTGTGAGAAGTGGATGGAGAACACGGACTCTCACGAGGGTGACTAATGGCATGGGCTCCAGGAGCATATTTCACAAATCAGCAGAGGAAACAAGTTTCCTATAATAAAAAATGTAGGGGATTCTAGAACCCAAGCATATTTTGTAGATATTTAAGCGGGGACAGGGGGGGTCTTTTGCTTTATCAGCTGCGTGAGCCATTTTTACCTGTCTCTTCCAGGATTGTCAGTAGCAATAAAATGTGGCTGGGACAAACCAGACTTCGTCCATATGAACCAATTCCCCTCCTACCTCTCCCCCACCCCCCAGAGGAAAAACCAAAGCTTGTACTGATGGATTTAGTTTGACAGCTGTTTTTAATGTTCTCCATACAGCCGCAATTTTCTTGGTTGTCAGTGACATTCTTTTGGTATTTTACAGTGTTGTACTTTTATAACATTAAAATACCCAACTGCGCAGGTACTTCTATCGGGGAAAGGTTTCATGTACATAAACATTTGAGATGAAACCCCTCAGCAGCACGCTGTGCTGGAGCCCCAGGGGAGGGGGGTGCTAAAACTTCCAGCTCAGGGTGGGTCCTGCTCCCTCCACCTGCTCTTTAGTGACCTATGACCTTTTGGAGCTTTGGGCCCATCTGATACTGCTTGCCACTCTGGTGGCATCATCAGTGTTAGAGCCCAAGTGCCCCTTTGAAGACGCTGCTGCAGGTCTTCCAGTGTGCTACACAAGTCGTTGGGTATATTTGTATAAAATCATAAAATACTATTCTTGATGTTTGTGCATGGCACAAAACTGTGCACATAGTTATGTTCTTAGCTTCTGAGAATTAAAGAAGTAAACTTAGAAGATGGATAAGAAGTTTTGCCACTTTCATTTGTTTAAATGAAAGAGCATCTGTCATTGCACGGGTGGACCTGGAGGAGCTCGGCAGGAAGAGCGCCAAGGTAACTGCTGCCTAGCCGCTGCGTCTGCACGGCCACCCGCCGGCCCTGGGCGTCCACTCGTGACCCTTTGTGACCTGGAGCTCACAGGGAGGATCTAAGACCCTGCCCCCATCATGTTGGTGAAGTAGTAAACAATTTGGGCACAGATGATATTGGTTAAACTGTAGCCATATTAACGTGAGGAGACTGCCTGGTGACAGTGCTGAGATGGCAGGAAAGCGGCAGCTGCGCTCCCCAGGCCACCACCCCGCCAGGCTGTCTGCCCGTCCTCTTGATTACATGCCTGGCTCCCCACGAGGCCTTGATCACATTATTCTAGTGTTCGTGGTGAAGAATAATTGGGTCAGTTGTTTCATATGCTGTCGGTCCAACATGAATTTGCAAAACCCTGTATGTGAGACTTAAAATGAAGAAGGGCATTAACCTCCAGATACATACTTGGTTTTTGCAAGTTTCTTTGAAGAGTTCTAGGCACCTCTCCATTTAAGTGTAAATCACCCAAATATGACATCAGATAAGTCAACTGGGAAAGATTTGTGGCCCAAACCATAGCCGTTCAGACCTCTTTAGAGACATCCCAATGATAGAGCGTCTCCCGTCTGAGCAGCAGCTGGGAGGTGGCTTACATTCAAGTGTTCTCTAGGAATTTGTGTTTTCTAACAAAAGCAAATCAGAACTTACTGAAAAACTCAAAATATTTAAGCAAATGCATAAAAGCAAAATGATTTCTTGCTATTACTTGATATTTGGGAAGAATTGTAACAGGAAGCCCAGGTTGCAGTGAGAAAGTTAAATAGAACTGGGTCCCGCTGAGCTGAAAATAGAACTGAAGTCACCACGAACAGTTCACGTCCACGCTTTCTCCACTGTGTCATCAGAGCCCCTCTCTGGCTCCGTTACAGAGACGGCTCTCTCAGTGGTAGCTGCCTCAGTCTGACTGCAAGCAGATATGGGACCCAGTGGGTGGTGGTGGTGGTGTGGAGCAGGATGCTGAGTCAGTGGGCAGCTCCAGGGAGGGGACCCCTGCCACGGCCTCTGTTTGCTTCCTGCATCTGCCATAAGGTTGGCTCACTGTCACACCACATGCTCACTTCATTTCTTTGGCTCTTAACAGCCAGTCACTAAGAAGCAGGCCCACCCGGGCAGCATTGTGACACTCTTGGGATTTTGGGGTTCGGGTGGTTATATTGGCATATTGAGAAGGATGCGGTATATATAGCATTATGCAATTGCTCTGAGGGCTTTTCACCAGGCCCTGTGCCTGTGCTGGTTGGGTGCACCCCCATATTTACTTGCAGTCCTGCTATAACTTCATTTGGGTGTCTGCAGTCTCCATGTGGCAGACAGCAACAGTGCTGGTGAGACCCATGTCCTCCAGTCTTCACTGAGGCCCGCCAGTGCCACCCAGAGGCCAGCAATGCCCCCACAGCCTACCTTTGCAGTGTGACAAGGCCCCTCACTCCATGCTTACTGGGAAATGAGCCAATTAGAGAGTTGCTGATTACCGGTCCCTGAGAACACCAGCCTCCTTAGTTCTACACTAGGCCTCTCCCCAACCTTCCGTTCCCATTACCAACGTGGCCAGCAGGTAGAAACAGTGTTCTGGCCCACAGGGCAGCCCTGCCTCCTACAGCTGCTAAGGAGTCTGGCTCCCCAAGTCAGCTGGGCCTGGAGCTCGGGAACAAGCAGGCCCCAGAGTGGGAGCTAAAGGCGCCTTAACTGCCAGGACAGCCCAGACTGGCACACTCCCAGGGCCCCCTCTGCCCACACTGCGATCACTGCTGATACTGCCAGCCGTGCCACTGCAGATCAGCAGGGAGTTCAGCTGGGGGGGGGGGGGGAGTGTCTACCGTCCCCTGAAGCCACCCCAGCATGGGGTGTGCTGCTGCTTTTCTAGAATGGATTCTTCCTCGTTGGTTATCAAATTATTCCCTGCCCTTGCATAAAGGTATACACAACATAGAAGTGAATTTAGGTGAAGGTTTTGCAAATTCGATTTTAGCTCTACTCAAAAAGAGTTTCTGTCACTGTGAGAATGTTCCGGCACTGCACTGGAGTCACTGTCATTCCAGAATGTCCCAAATCCAGCTTTCAGAGGGGCCACATGTGCTAACGTGTAGCAGTTGCTACATGGAAGTTTTTACATGTTTTTAATATGTCCCTTCAAAGTAGAAGAGGTTGGTGGCCAACTTGGAGTCCACTGGTTTCAGACATTTTACCAATAATTAGTTGTACCTGTTTATGCCCTTAGGAGGTCAGATAAAGGATAGTGAAGCTTGACTTTCAAGAGGCTAAAGCAACTGATTTTATGAACTCGCATGATGGTTAAGGAAAGTCATCTCTACTTTTTAAGTAGATTGCGTGTGTTCACTGTTACCGCTCTTGGTGACAGGTCATTTTAATTGTGGGAGATGTTTTAAAAGTAACCTCTCAGTGGGGTTTCCCTGAATGAGAAAAAGACCAGTTAGACCAGAAGTATTGATCTTAGGTTCTGATCTGAAGACAGACCCAGAGCTTTTGAAGTTAATACAAATGTGTCACGTGAAATAATGTCCAACAACAAGGTTTGTCTCAGGCCCCAGCATGCAGGTGTCCTGTGTCACAGTCGGGCATCCTCTTCAGGTGTTGGGATGTACCTGGGCCAGGCTTTTAGAGTTCGTGAAACGTGTGCTTCTAGAATACTCCGCCAGATGTGTGTTTATAAAAGGCAGTGACTGAACTGGTTTCAGGTCCCAGTTTGCATTGTCGGCAGCTCGCTCCTCCCTGACTGCCGATAGATGGCTTCCTTGCCTGGTGCTCAGTGACCTCCCTCTGAGGCAGTGCCTTAGACACTCAGGCAGCACCGGCTCCTCAGTGCCCAGCCTCTCCCCCTGCCAGGTCCCCATTACTGAACCTGAGCTTGAGTGATCCTGCGGGGAAGGCGCTGCAGACCTCAGCCACATCCACACATAAAAATAAATTCCCAAGGGCCGCCGCCTCTGGTGTGTGGACTCGGTCTGATGAAGTGATGTGTAGAAATGCTGCTTTATCTTTGTCCTTGTCCCGTTTCTCACTTTGTCAGACTTGGGAGTGTGCTTTATTTAGAAACCCAGTTCCCAAAGAACTGCAGCCTTAGAGGTGAGCCTTGGTGACGGTAGGCCTGGTAATGACAAGCAGGGCAGGTGGAGAAGCGGCTGGCGGAGGCTTGGAGCCCCAGCAAGCTTGGGGGTCTGGTGCACAGACCACCTTAGGCTGGGGTAGGCAGGGGATGTGAGGACTTTGAGAGGAAAATACGGGATTTAAAGTCAATTGATGATAGGAACAAGGGACTTCTAACACTGTCCTAGCTCTTGGGTCCTGGTGGTGCTGTTGCACAAACTAAAATTGGGTGATTGCACTCACACGACCAGTGGGAGGAATGTGAGGTCCCTGCGTGCCTTTAGGAAAGCCCAGTGCTGAACTGGCCTCACCTGCCGCGGCAGGCGGGCAGTGCTCGGGGTGGTGGCCCTGGCCCTCTGCCAAGGCAGCCACAGCTGGTGGTGGTGTCTGCCTAGGCCCTGGAGCATCAACATCTGGGAGGGTGGCATCTGGAGAAAGGGTCTCACCAGCTTCCAGACTTCCTCCCTGATTTACTGGGAGTTGGGAGGAGCTGTGGTGGCTGGCTGGTGGCTGATTTTTAAGCCCTGGGTAAAATTGACAGTTCACTGGAGCATCATCTATTGAAGCCCTGTCCTCATTTGCACGTATGGGAGTCTTAGAGGCGCACTGCTGCACAAGTAGTTTGAGAAAAACCCCACCTACAGGAGGCGCCTTTACATCGGCCCCTTGGGGCCTGGTCGGTGTCCTGGCTCGCTTACTGGGCCCACCCGTTCCCGCCATTCTGCGTGTGTGTGGAGCAAGGGCCGTCTGTAAACCTGCCAGCCTGGCTTTGGTCGGCTGCACACCCTGGGACTGAGGGCGCGGCATCTGTCTGAGAATTGTCTTCCTCGTGTCCCTCAGACCTTAGGTATGCCGGCCTGGCAGGATTAATGTAATCCAGACTTCAGCATGCTCTCTCTCAAATAAAAAGTACTGGTGTCAAAATTTTTGTTCCAAGTTGAAGGGTTTTGATAATGTTTTGAGCTTTTGACTACAATTCTTGTTTGGATTAAAAGCGCTGATTTACGGTCTTAACCAGTAATCAAATACAACTGGTAGTTTTAAATGAGAATGTTTATATCAGCATAATCTATTCTTGTCACCTTAGTATTAGAGTGATAAGTCTTCCCATGTTACAGATTTCTGCCAGCTTTCCTGTGTTTTATAAATGGCATCGTATTGACTTTTGTCCAAAAGAATGATGAACACTTGTGGGTGACCTCCCCGCAAAGGACTCTTACTCCTTCCACAGCCTCCAGGGCTCGGAGGCAGTCTGCCAATCCTGAAGAGATTTTTAAAGTCATGTTTACAAAGAAATTGTACTCGAGTTCTTAGTGAAAGTGCTCTTCTGAATTTACTGCTTTAAAATATATTTTTATTGATTTCACAGTAAATCATTGTTCTTTAAATACAGTTTTATTGATTTCAGAGAGGGAGAAAGAGAGGAACATCAATGATGAGAGAGTATCATTGATTGGCTGCCTCCTGCACGTCCCCTACTGAGGATCAAGCCCACAACCCAGGCATGTGCCCTTGACTGGAATCGAACCCAGAATCCTTCAGTCCTCAGGCGGAGACGCTCTATCCACTGAGCCAAACTGGCTAGGGCCAGTAAAGCATTTCTTTCTGAAATAAAGTATGGTCATGATCATAAATATTGCCAGACGCCTTAATTACACTCCTTTTCTGAATTTGATAATTACTTTAAAAACCATTTTCCCTAAATCAGTGTCTCATACAATAAAGTCTGGTGACTTTTCCCCCCCCCCCCCCCCCCCCCCCGCCTGCCCCTTAGTTTTCATACTTAGTATAATTTTAAGGTGAACAATTGGGGAGGGAGGCATGTTTTCTTTGTATTGGTTTCATGTGTGTACGGCTTAGTGGTTAGAGCTTTGCCCTTGCTGGTTTGGCTCAGTGAATAGAGTGTCGGCCTGCGGACTGAAGGATCGTGGGTTTGATTCCTGACAAGGGCATGTACCTCAATGGCAGGCTTCTCCTGGCCCGGGCCCTGGTCGGGGGTTTATGCAGGAGGCAACCAATCAATGTGTTTCTCTCACATCGATATTGCTCTCTGCCTTTCTCTCTCTTCCACTCTCTAAAAAAATCAATGGAAAAATATCCTCAGGTGAGGATTTAAAAAAATCATATACTTCACATAGGGTTCCCCTCAATATTGCCAATACCTCAACTGGGGCCTGGTAAGCTTTGCTAGTGTGAGGCTGAGCATGCTTTTTATGTCACCTGACAGTGCACTGCATGCCCTCCTGCCTCACTAACGTCGTGTGTTCTTTGCAGCCATGAAGGAAGACCGGCAAGTGGAGAACACGGCAGCTGCGATGCCGAAGAAAGTGGCTGCTCAGGGCCCTGCTGTGGGCAGCAGGCAGCCTGCAGCCCGGAGTCTCCTTCCAAAGAAGTCCCCTCCTTTCACAAATGTGACCAAGCCAGTCATCAGGAAGTTGCCTTCAGGCTTCAAGGGCACTATACCCAAGAGGCCGTGGCCCTCGGCTGCCCCCTCGGGCAGTGTTCCTGCCACCAAGCAGGCAGGGCTGGTGCCTGGTGCCACCACATCTACTTCCAAAAAGCTGCCAGGCTCCTCTGCCCCTGGGGGAGCCGCCAGGAAGCCCATGGTGACATCTGTCCCCTTGGCCTCTCCAGCCCCAGGACGCCTGGGGGCCTCAAGCACCACCCCATCACAGCCAAATTCTCAGATTCGGCAAAATATAAGGCGCTCCTTGAAGGAGATTCTGTGGAAAAGGTGGGCTGTTAGGCTTGATTATCTGTTAAAGTGAAAGCTTTCTGCTGTTGGGAGAATGAAGTGCAAGCTCAGGGTTTACACAGTTGTGTTTCTTTTAGAGCCAGTGACAGTGATGACCTCATGATGACAGAGAGCGAGGTCGGGAAGGTTGCATTCCACATCGAGAAAGAGATGTTCAACCTCTTCCACGTCACTGACAATCGCTACAAGAGCAAGTACCGCAGCATCATGTTCAACCTCAAGGACCCCAAGAACCAGGTGTGTGCCTCAGGGCGGCTTCCTGCTGCGGAGCAGAGGGCACTGCTCTGGGCTCTGAGTGTCATGTCATTAAACCGTACATAGCGTGAGACAGTCATACCCTTTCTGCGGAAGCCAACAGGCATTTTTGTTCCCTTTGACACTGGCCATCGGTGTAGGGAATAGTGGTGCATACTTCCTTCCTTCCCTTAGCTGCAGCCTGGGCTTCGCTGGCTCCCTAAAGTCCATCTGTAGTTCACCAGATGCGTCTCTCTTAAATATGGCCGTAAAATTGCTTTCTCATCATTTCATTGGTTCCAGAATAAAGTTCAAATTCCTTATGGTAGCATGTGGGTATCTCCATATTTGGGCTTTATTGTCATTCCACCTCAGCGGAGCGAGCCTGTCCTCGGGGGTTCCTTAGATGAACTCTGCTGTGCTCACTGTTCGGACAGGTGCTGTGCACACCTGGGTGGGGCACTTGGTTCTCACAGCAGCCGTGGGAGGGCAGTGCTGTCCCCACGGGTAGAGTGGCCTGGACTCTGGCCTGGTGTGGCTCCTGCTTCTTGCACTGGGTTCATGGTTGCCCATTTCTCTGCCTCTTAAACTCTCACCTGTGCTCAGAAGCAGGGTCAGAGGGAAGCTCTGACTTTCCATCTTGCCTCTTACTCCCTGGCAGAAGAGGTCTCTCCTCACCTTTAACCCTAACACTACCTTTTGGAGTTGATCTACTTTCTGAGGTCTCTCTCTAGCAGTTGGTGCAGCGTGGGCCTCAGGTCAGCTGTACAGGCCCAGTGCCGATGTTTTCTGGGCATGTTAGCTCCCATGAGCTCTTAGGGAGTTGCCACACTTTGAGGCCCCTGCTGTGCTGGGTCTGGTGCTTTGGCCTGTGTCACCAGCCTCTGGGTAGGGACTCCACCTACTGCTCTGTTTCCTCCATGCCCTTCCTTGGGTCTTGGAGACAGTCACTCAACTATCCTGAACCAGTGAATGAAAAATGTTTGTTCACAGGGTCTCTTCCACCGTGTTCTGCGTGAAGAAATCTCTTTGGCCAAACTTGTGAGAATGAAGCCAGAAGAACTTGTGTCTAAAGAGCTTTCCACATGGAAAGAGAGGCCGACAAAACCTGTGAGTGCTGGGGAGCGGCTGCCAGAAGCCCGAGCAGCTGGCCTTGCCCGGAAGTAAAGGCTGCTCTGGGAGCAGGAGGGCGCCCACTAAGGCTGTCTTCTCTCTTAGGTGATGGAGTCCAGGGCAAGATTGCACCAGGAAAGTAAAAAGACAGCCGTCAGGCAGGAGGCCATTCCCGACATGGAAGACTCGCCCCCAGTCTCGGACTCGGATGTAAGCCTGTGGGTTAGGGTTACGCAGTTGCCGTGTCTCAGCGGTTTGTGCTCGGTCTCAGCCCTTGCTGGACTGGGAAGCAGTGACCCACGCCGTGTCCCTTCTTTTCCTCTTAGGAGCAGGAGTCAGTACGTGCTGTTCCCGAGAAAAGCGCTGCACCCGCTCTGGACCTCTTCAGCAGCATGTTAAAGGACACGACGGGCCAGCACCGCGCCCACCTCTTTGACCTGAACTGCAAGATCTGTACAGGTGAGCAGGTGAGGGGAGGCCTTTGTTTAACATTGCTGACCCATGTGTGGCAATTGTATTCACCCCAAGTTTAAAACGTGACACAGCCGGGATGGTCTTTGGGAGTGTGTGAAGTCAGCCCCTGCTTTTAGAGCATTGCTCCTTTATCCTTGAAAAATGGTCATTTGCTTGGGGGCAGGCTGTGCCCTCAAACCAATCCTCTCTTGTGCTACAGGTCAGGTTCCATCATCAGAAGATGAACCGGCTCCAAAAAGACAAAAATTGTCAGCTCCTGCTAAGAAAGAAGAGTCCAAATCCAAGCACGACAGCTCTGCCTGTGAGCCAGCTCTTAGCTCAGCGGGTGAGGCAGTGCCAGAAAGTCTCCCTGAAAACACCTCTGAGCCAGACCCCGAGAGTGCGTCCCAGACTCTCTCGGAAAGGAGGTACTTATCCGAGGCTCCAGGAGACGGCCCGCCTGAGCCCTGTGCCCCGGAAGGGCCTTCTTGCCCAGCCTCCTGTGGGGGCACAGTGCTCACCACCGTCACCATGTCTGGCCGAGACCCCAGGACCGCACAAAGCGCAGCGAGCACCGTCATGCCTCCTGCCGCAGCCCTCCCAGGCAGCACCCACCTGGCAGAGCCGCCACAGGAAGTCCTAAAGCCTGCTACGACCGCGGTGCTGGTGCCCAAGTCCATACTAGCCAAGCCGTCCTCCTCCCCCGAGCCCAGATACCTGCTGTCGGTCCCGCCGTCCCCAAGCATCAGGTGCGGTCTCCACGTGGGTTCGCTTCTCGTAGAGTAACGGGAGGGGCAGAAAGAGCGACTCATCCTCAGCTCTGCAGTCGCCCAGCGGCACCGCTGCTCTGGAGGGTTGTGTGAGGCACTCGGTGTCCCACATTGAAGGTGCCGAACACCATTTAGAAGTTTAAATCTTGAAAATTTGAATATATGGCCATCTGGTTTTGTGGCCTATTCAGTTTATTTTTCTTTGACAAGAATATCTGTTTATATCATAATGATTAAAGTAGTTAATTTGAAAAAGTGAGCTACCAAAACCTGCCCGAACTTTCACTTTTGTAATATGTAAAGTCTTCGCACTCTGGACGTTCTTTGTGCAAAGAGCTTTACTCCTTTTCTCTGGTTTTGTTTTGCAGCACTGCGGCGTCTCGGTCCCCTCCAGAAGGAGATACGACCCTCTTTCTGTCTCGACTCAGCACCATATGGAAAGGATTTATTAACATGCAGAGTGTAGCAAAGTTTGTCACTAAGGCTTACCCCGTCTCTGGATGTTTTGATTATCTCAGTGAGGTTAGAGCCAAGAGAAAGTGTGAGAGAGAGAGAGAGAGTGTGTGTGTGTGTGTGTGTGTGTGTGTGTGTGTGGACACCTCTCATAGGCGTTCTGATCCTGTGGGATTGTCTGCCATCGGTGATTGAGCACCTCTGAAGTTACAGCGGGGACTGATGGACAAGTCCACAGGTTGAGCAGCTTGGACAGAAATTCCAATGAGTAATTGGGCCTCCCGGCTTCTGTGAAGAAGCCCAGTGGTCTTCCTCCTCTCTCTGTTCTGCTTGGGCATTTACCCAGAGTGTGCGACCTGCCTTGGTGTGCAGTGACACACACAGTGAACAGAGCCCTGGACAGGCGGCGTTTCTGGAGACACTTGAGTCAATCCTGCACTCTGTCTTCACAGAGCTACCGCGCGTGTTTGGTACAAGGCTATCATCATCCCCACGATGGGTTTGGTAACTCACAATCCTGTACCACTTGGTACAGTTATTACCCTTTCTTTGGAATCTTGACTCACTAGCTTGGGGCCCTGAAATGACTGTATCAGCCTCTGAATGCTGGTTTACCTGTCACTTATGCAAAGTGCATTTTGTTTAGGACCTGCCCGACACTATTCACATTGGTGGACGGATCGCACCCAGGACTGTGTGGGACTATGTCGGCAAACTCAAATCCTCTGTGTCTAAGGTACTGCTCATTGTCTGCACCACCGAAGAAGGTGCTCGTTCTAACACAGCTCTGCCCTCACTTCTCATCCTGATGGGTTACTATGTGAAATGTCAGCTTCCTAAGTATTTCCAGTTGGATGTTCAAAGTTAAGTTTGGAGCTGGATGAGGCGGGCGGGTGGGAGTGCTGTAGTGCTGAGGTTTGGTGCTGACTGACCATGGGCACATGCAGGTCATTGTTAGGGTTAGGGAGCAGCCACTCTGTTCCCGGTGGTCCTTGCGACAGGAGGAGTTGACCGGCTGTCCTCTGTGCACCCGAGGTTAGCCACAGCCACGTGTGCATGGACAGTGCTCGTGGAGCCAGGCTATCATTTTTCTCAGTTCACAGGGTTTCAGGCCCTCCAGTCTAGCTTAGCCCTCCTGTTAGATAGGCACAGGGAGTTCTGTAGCTCACCACTTTGCCCTGCTCATTGATTGTCCTGGTATGAGAACTCCACAGGTGGGTGCTATTCCGAGGACCCGCGGCTGTGAGTTCAGAAGCCTGGCCCTTGAGCCTGTGCTCTATCTGCCGCTCCATTGCTAACAGGACTGAAATTGAAGTCAGAACCGCATCTCTCTTGTTCAGATCGATGCTGTTTCCGGCACCGCAGGCCAATGCTCCCTGTCCTGTTTGTGTTGCAGGAGCTGTGTCTGATCCGCTTCCATCCCGCCACGGAGGAGGAGGAGGTGGCCTATATATCTCTCTACTCCTATTTTAGCAGCCGCGGCCGCTTTGGCGTTGTTGCTAACAATAGTAGGCACATCAAGGACCTCTACCTGATCCCACTGAGCTCTGAGGACCCTGTTCCATCCAAGCTCTTGCCCTTTGAGGGACCAGGTAAGCACCTTTGGTCACACATGTCCCCCTTCCCCTGACACCGAGTCCTACTGACCTGCCACCAGTGGTCGTAACCCCCCCCCCAACCCCCCACTGTCTGTCTGGCAGCAGGAACTAGCAGTCGCATGAAGCTACATTGAGCTGGACAGTGCAGCTCTAGGCTTGGGTGGTGGCACCAGAATACCCTTATTATTGGCATAAATTGTCTTAGAAAAGTTTTATGAAGGGAAAAGCCCTCAGCGTTCCACCAGCCTTTCACTTTCACGGCCTTGGTCATTGGGCGGGTCAGGTGCCCAGGAGTCTGGACAGGATAGCAGGGGAGGAGCGGTGGAGAGGCAACACTTCACAGCGCTGGTCACTGCCGCCTCCCCCAGGGGGTTTCTGTGGACACCCCGCTCAGAAGGTGAGCAGGTGCCACTCGGAGGCGCTCTCTGCCTCTGTCAGAGAGTCATTTCCAAGAGATACAAGAACAGGTAGTGAAGGAGAAAAATTTGAGAAATACTTTTAAATCTGTTCAAGTTTTAATTTTTAATAAGTTATTTCATCTTTTGCAAAATACTTAGTGTTTACTCCTTCCTTATAAAGTGCTGCTTTTAAATGATTTCTTACAAATTAACCTTTAAAAATGTCAGACTTGTCAAAGGGTTGAGGGTGATTCCAAAGGGACATAGTCTGTGGGGTTTCAGCTCTTTGTAACCTGAGAAGAAGCTGGTGCAAGATATCTAAATTGATGTGTCTCCTTGGCTGTGAAGTCCCCCAGGATTAACAGTGCCAAGAAGATGACGAGACACATGGTGATGCTCTTTTGAAGGGCTTTGTCCTAGAGGCAGTGACTGAACCCTCTGACCATCACTGGGGCTGCCTAGACCATGGCACCTTCATGCCTTGACCTCGTCACCAGGCCTTGGCGAGTGCTCCCACCACAGCCACGTTCTGCACTCACACCACACCTACACTAGCTGGGCCCTGGCTGTCGCCCCACTCCCACAGGCACACCCCGTCCTGGCTGGGGCACACGCTTAACACAGGGGGCTCAGTTTGCCCTGATTTCAGAATTGTGTCCACAAAGGGGTTGGTGTCAGTAACCCCAGGTTCAGTACTTACTAACACAGTCATCAAGCTCTCTTCATGCGGAATACATTTTAAAAGCCAGGCACTCAGGGTGTCCTCTCATACTCCTTGGGGATAAAGAAATGCCACCTGGCGGTGGGTGGCAGAAAGAACCTTGGTGGAGGTTCTTGGTGAGCAGCTCTGAAGCGGTTGGCGAGCTCCCTGATGACCATGAAGGGCAGCATCCTGTGTCCCTGAAGGTGAGAGAAAGAAGCTGACTTCTCAGACACCTGTGAGGAGCCTCCGGTCAGTCACGAGTACCTCGCTGTGCGGGTCCAGTGGGCATGTGGCTGGGCAGCATGACAGCCCGAGTGCAGAGCCCTTTTTGTTTACAGAGGTGGGTTAGCAGGTCCTGGGCCTACTCCCCTCATCAGCCTCATGCGCTGCTTTGAGCTCCCATTGCCCATCTGCAGACTCACTTGGCCGAGGAGCCTGAGTAACACCTGGTTTGGGGCGCTGACCACCAGACAAACTGGAGACGGGCCGAGTGGACCTCACACTCCTGGGGCTTGGACACTCCCTGGGGGGACAGCCAAAGGACCCACAGCTTTTCGTCCATAATAAAGAACAAGTAGTGACAGGTTTTAGAAACTAGTCATGTTTTGCCCCTAAGCTCTTACAGATTTAATTTAAGGGCTTCTAAACGCAAGCCTGCTTAATTTAGTCTGTTATTTTTTATTTTGATATTATTTTTTATATATGCATTCATTTCCATGTATATCTTTCATACACTTCACATCACCTAAAACCCACTTCCAGGCAGGGCCTACCTGCCTGCTTCATGTGTTTCTAGTGTGACACGGCTCACTCCAGCTGCAGTGTCCTGTGCCATGGTGGTGTCCTGTGTGTGTCCTGTGTGCGCGTGTCTGTGTGTCTGGTGTGTATGTGCACCTGCAGCGGGAGCGTGGGTGGAGATGCTTCTCCGATCGTGGTGGTCCCTGTCCTCACCAAGCTCACCTCTGCAGAGCACCCTTCGAAGGCACAGGTCCAGTCTCAGAGTGGCGGCGATGTCCCTCAGCAGAGCAGCCAGCAGGTGTGATCACGTGCCACCCGGCAAGCACTGGCATCATGGCTTGACCGGAGCACCCTTGACCCCACTGCAGCCCTGTGCTGTCACAGTTGTCATTCACCTGAGGTCGCACCCAGTTAGGTGTCGAGCCAGGGTGGCTGTCCTGAGGCTTGCACTCTATCCCTCTCAGTTCTCTTTAGGGCAAGAAGCACAGGTCTGGGTGGGGCCTGCCTGCTGTGGGGGTGGAGAAATTGCAGAGAGGGACCAACTCTCACACCACATACAGAAGGTGCAGGGTCCTCCCTTCCCTGACCTCAGGAGCCCGGTAGAGTGACGAGCTCTTGCTGTCCACACCTAAGAAGTCAGTAAAGCCCCAACCGGTTTGGCTCAGTGGGTAGAGCGTCAGCCTGCGGACTCGGGGGTCCCAGGTTCGATTCCAGTCAAGGGCATGTACCTTGGTTGCGGGCACATCCCCAGTAGGGGGTGTGCAAGAGGTGGCTGATTGATGTTTCTCTCTCATCAATGTTTCTAACTCTATCCCTCTTCCTTTTCTCTAAAACAATAACATATTTTTTAAAAAAAGAAGAAGAAGCCAGTAAAGATGCTGGCGGCCCTGACACCGAGTTCAGATCCAGTAAGTCTGCACTGGCCACCCTCACATAGTCAGGGCCTCCTGTCTCGGCCATGCTCTACACAGCAGACCTGGGAGCTGTGCCCATAGCCCCTTGGCCACCCGCCAGCCGTATGAGCAGCCTGCTCAGGGTCCAGGATGCTCTCACCCTCGCGTACTTTAGACTTGTCCTCAGAAATGCCAGGCAGTCTCGTGTGACAGCAGCGTTTTCATAACGTGGCAGTGTTATTTCAGAGGACAGCTGTAAATCTGGGTCCCTTTGGTCCAGCTGGAAGTCACCCACTTTGGGTGCTAGCTCAGCCCTACCGCTGACACTGACAGCTTCGCCACTGGGGACAAGGGTCAGGTGGTCTGCACGCCCCGGGGCTTATTTGTGAAGGAAGACAGATCAGATTGGATGCTTGTCTTGTACGGTTCCTGTGCAGCCCAGCAGGACTGGACCTAGGCTGGGACTCAACCCCCACAAGTAACAGGCAAGGGCTCAGGTTCCGCTTTGCCATGGCTGTTGCGGAACCTGGTGTCTAAGGTGTAGGTGTGCGCTGACAGGGCAGGGACTGCCTCCGAATGCTCCGCCGAGAGGACCCTTAATTCACAGCCACAGTGTTCCTGTGCCCCATTCTCACTGCTTTCTAAACTAGCTGGACATTCTGTGACTTAAATGTCAGGTAAGCATTTCTTTGTGTGCGTATCTAGTGCACTGTGCTCCGAGACAAATGTAGTATTGAATGTATTAGTTTCTCCTTCGAAATCAATAAAATACATTTCCTGGAAACTGGTTGTTGTTTGTTTGAATCTGAACCATGTAGTAGCTCTCTGTACCTGTCGTAGGTGCACTGATGGAGGGCAGAGTCCCCACTTTGCTTTTTATAAGCCGACATGACTTACCTGGTCCTTCAGCCTCAGGTGTGCGGGCTGAGCTGCTTGGGCCACCTGGATGGAGATGGACAACACTCAGGCATGCTGAGCCCAGCGGCTTTGTACAGGTCGTGTGAGTTTTGCGTGCATGCGTGTGTGTGTGTGTGTGTGTGTGTGTGTGTGCGCGCGTGCACTTGCGTGTGGACTGGGGCAGGTACCCCGCCCCCCCGTATGTACCTAGTCTTTTCTATCCGGTCACATTAAGGATGGTCACTGCGTGACTCCCACACTTTTCTGTCCAGCAGGTGGGGAAATAGTGTTGGGACAAATTCAGACCATAACAGGGTTTTCCTTTTCAATGGAGTGGGGTGTGTGCCCAACAGGTTTAAGGTTAAAAAGCAACATTTTGATAGTTTGGGGGTTAAGGAAGCAGTTATTAAAATTAAGCTTCGTCCATGGTGTGCCGGGCTGGAGGTATGTGGGGCCCCAGGGCTGCTTCCTTCCTTGCCACTTCACCTCTTGCCTCCTGTGGCTGACACACCTGGACATGGGTCCTGGTTTGGTCTGGACTCGGGAAGTCAGGTGGCACCTGCCTCTCTAGATGTCACAGTCCCTGGGCTTTCCAGTTTCCTCTGCTGTTGGGTGATCTGATGTTAACACCGAGCTGAGGCTGCCCCTCACATGACCACTTCGGAACAGATCTGAGCAGCTAAATGGGCTTATTTTTATCCACACAGTACAGTCTCAGGTCACTGTTGCTCTGGAAATGCAGGATAGCCCAGTTAGCAGCCCCTCCCCCTCACCAGCCAGTGTTTGTTTTCATCTGACTTAGGAATTTAAGCCTCAACAACCCTCAGAAGGGAGGTGGGTAAGAGCATCTCCTGCTTCTAACAATGGAGACGGATCCCCTGTGCCCTGGGCTTGAGCCTCCGTCTCCTCACTGCAGCCAGCATGGTCCCTGCTCTGCACCTTCTCAGCACTCTTCTCTCCAGGGTGATGCTCCATCAGTGGGGTGAGCGGGAGGGGCCCAGGCCCAGAGGGGTATTCGGGTGGGTGGGGAGAGCTAGCCTGCGCCACCTCCCAGCAGTGGGTGACCCCCCCTTACAGCACCCGTCTCAGTGAAGGCTGCCCCTAAGGCCCAGTGCAGATCAGTGAACTTCATTTTTTGTTCCTGTGCACATTATTTCCAAAGAACTAGTTACCTTTCAAACACCCTTGCAGCTGTAACATGAACATGCGAACCAGATAAGATTTGATGGCTTCAAAACAAGATTACACATTTTGAGAGCCCAGTTTAAACTTCCCATCTTGTGGAGGAATTCAGAACATGCCCACCCAGTTCCGGACTGTTAGATGGCTCACGGTGTGTGCAGGTGCGGGTGCTGGGAGCTGAGTGTCTGCTGTTAGATGCCCATCTCCAGGTCGCTTCCTGTCTCTGAATGTAAATATTAAGAAATATAACTATAACCTTACCTTTGAATATGACAACAGGTTAGTCTAAACGATTCTCTTAAGAGTGGGATGTACTATTTTCTTTAGAAAGCATATTAAGCCATTAGACATTTTAGTTGGTGGGGTACACACATCACTGGGCTGGAGACCATGGCTTCCTGGGTGGAGCACAGCGACTTCCCACCACAGCTTTTTGACCTGGAGTTTCATTGGTGCCACGAGCCTGCTGTTGGCACTGGAGAAGTTGAACTGTTCCCTGTGAGGTGGCACAGCGCCTCCGCTGGTGACCAGTCCAGTGCTGTGGACTGCCAAGGAGACTTCCCCACACTGGGGCTCCCAGCCTTGCCCACAACACCCATGGGGCCAAGCACAGTCCTTTCGTTCTGCCAGGTTCCCTAGAGACAAGAGGTTTACAGGGCTGTCCCCTGGTGGGTTCTGTGGGTGTCTGCATGTGCACCTGCTCTGCAGCTCTGGGGCTATTGTCCAGACAGGCCTATCGAAGTCAACTATACCCCAAAACTGGGTCTGAATAAGCTGTGAAACATTCAATAAATACATTCTGTCTATGAAAACAGAAGTACTGTATAAGTTAACCTTGATTCATGTTAATTATAAAACAGACTTGCTAGATTCCCCTTCATACCTACTGACACTCTGGTCTGCCTAACCTTCCAGCCCTGTTCCCTCCGGCCAGCTCCTCCTTTCCCCGACACACGGCTGTTCTCTGAAGCCATTTCTCTCATGAAGGTGGGGGTGAGGTCCTGGGAGTTAGGTCTTCAGTGGGCACCTCACCTCACACGGCAGCCTGATCAGCAGGGAGGTCAGCACAGCATTGTTAGTCTGGCTGTGCTGGGCCACCCAGCCCTGGCATGCCTGCTCCTGGGGCCGGAGGGCACCTCCACCACCCTCGTGGGCCCAGCCTGTCAACCTGTCTCTGTTGGAATTTCAGAAGATTAGCAGAACTGCATCATGGAGTGATCTGTGATCATCTTTAAAGTCATACAATAGGAAAAACAATACTTGATTTCTTGTTTAATAAGTAAGAATGTCACGTGACTATATACCACAGTGTTAAATTACCTATAAATTGAATTTATACATTTTGATTACTTTTAATTATATTCTGCTATCATGAAACAAACTTTCTGTGTGGCAGCATTTCTCCCCAAATTACTGCTTTATGAGTTGGGCTTTTTTTGTTTCCTTGTGGTAGTCTGGACTTATTCTGACTGGGGGGAGGGGTTGTTATAAAATATTAGTATTCCTGAAATAATGCGCCACAGCTTGCAGTATTTGGAATAAGCCTTTCTTAAGAAGGAATGACTTACCTGTTGTGCCCTAAGACGCTGGTGTGCTTTCTCTGCCACCAGCTTGCTGAGCTCCTCAGCGCTGGATTTAAGCGCCATGTCCTGTGTTTACAAAGACTGAGCATTGGACAACTCTTGATCAGTTAGTGCTCGTGGAATGTCTCTCTAAACCTGAAAGAATATTTATTTTAGCCATTTCAGTCAGCAGCATTTTCCCCATTGAGAGTAATTTTCACATCGGCTATCAGTGAACTTACCTAATGGAGTGGGCTGCATTGATCACTATAATTTTATTGATCATATACCTGAGTTGTTGAACTAGTCCCTAATCAAGTGTTTAATATTAGTACATTTAGCTTAATGTAGGTATTGGAACTCCAGAGTTAAAGGCCAGGAGGGTGTGTAGCAAGAGCCAAGATTTGCTCAACAGCTACCCCGACTCATTTGAGCTTTGTCCCTGTGGTTGGTTAATGATGGTGCCGTCGGCACAGGGCCATCCCCTCCTCCGCACTGCTGCTTGAGTGTTGTGTATAATTTTAAATCTGTAACATAAATTCCAACACCACCTGTGTGTGCTCTGTCCTTTGCAGTAAGTCCTTTAAACACTTGATTTTGTCTTACACAGGATTTCTGCCTATGAAAACATTCCCCACTCCCACCCTTAATAAAGTTCACCTCTGAAGGACAGAGTGGAATTTAGATCCTAAAATTTGCACATATATTTTGTTTTTCAGGTCTTGAGTCACCACGGCCAAACATAATCCTTGGGTTAGTAATCTGTCAAAAAATGAAACGTCCTTCGAATGCTGGAGACTCAGACAAGACAGAGGAGAAGCGGGCCCGACTGCAGACACCGGAGGAGACGGACGTGGCGGCCTACCCCAAAGTGCCTCCGGCCTCACAGGCTGAGAAGAAACCCCCCAAGTATCAGCACAGCTCTGGGGACACAGCTGTCAGCACCACCCCCCCGGGGTCTCCCCCACCCCCGCCCCCTCTGCCAGAACCACCAGCTTCGTCCTCGGTGCTGAAAATACTGTCCTCCCTCAAGCCAGGAGCCACCAACACCGTCACCGTGCCAACGGCGCCCGCCGCAGTCACAGGGGCTGCTTCCTCTGCCTCGAAATCAGCTTCGCCGCTGGAACACATCCTGCAGACTCTGTTTGGGAAGAAGAAATCATTTGACCCTCTGGCCGTGGAGTCTGTGGAGTCGGCCTCCACCTCCCGCCCAGACCCCAAGGCCAAGGCTGAGTGCGAGCTGCCAGCAGTGCCTCTGCTGGACCCCATCGTCCAGCAGTTTGGTCAGCTCTCCAAAGAGAAAGTTCTAGAGGAAGAGGAAGACGACAGACCCTATGACCCTGAAGAAGAGTACGGTCCTGACAGGGCCTTCGAGACACAGCTCGGGGACCGAGGGAAACGGCACGACGTGGAAAAGGCCTCTGAGACCACTGAGCGGGAGGAGGTGGCCTATGACCCAGAGGACGAGACGATTTTAGAAGAAGCCAAAGTGGCCATCGACGACCTGCCCAACAGGATGTGCGCAGACGTCAGGGGTTCGGCGGAGAGGCCGGCGGGGTTCGCAGCCGACATGGCTGCTCCCTCTCTGGTGGAGCAGCAGCAGATGATAGAGGAACTTAACAAGCAGATCGAGGAGCAGAAGAGACAAGTGGAGGAGCAGGAGGAGGCTCTCAGGCAGCAGCGGGCCGCCGTTGGGGCCTCCATGGCCCACTTCTCAGTGTCGGATGCGCTGATGTCGCCGCCTCCAAAGTCCTCACTGCCCAAGGCCGAGCTCTTCCCCCAAGAGCAGCAGGCTGCCGGCAGGCCAGCCGGGCCCCCCACCAGTCAGGGGCCAGGCCCTGGCTCTGACCCAAGACAGAGTCGGGACCCCCGGCAGGCCCGGCGACTGGCCGCGGAGAGCAATGAGAGTGAGAGCTTCTCGAAGGCCTCGGCCAGCAGCATACCCAGTGCCCTGCCTACCAGAGAAGCACCCAGCGGGGTGGCCACTACTAGTCAGGGGCCTGTACCTGCCTCAGAGGAAAAGGAGCCCACCCCTCTGCCCTGGGCTCCAGGTGACGGGGCCACCCTGCCAGCCAAGCAGGATGGCCCCACAGGTGAGCCCTCAGAAAGCCAGGGCCCGCCGGCCACCGACAGCAGCCCTCCCATGACGGGTGGGCCAGGCCTGGCGCGGCCCGCCCGAAAGGTGCTGCTGCCCACGCCGCCCAGCACCGCCTTCCAGCCCAACTTCTCTATGCCAGGTGAGGGGCACAATTTCAGTTCTGCAGGAAGAGACCCATTTTCAAGCCCAGTGTTTGCGTCTCAGGACAAATCCTTCGGCTCGTCTCCATATGAGGATCCAAGAAATGCCCTGTTTGCTGAAAAAAGTGACTGTTCAGCTGTTGAAACTGAAGGAGACAGAGACCCACAGTGCAGACCTGGAGAGGGGGCCAACCCATTCCCCGCCCCTGGACAGAAAGGGACCCCTCTACCCCAGTTACAGGGCCAGCGTGAGCCTGCACCCCGCACTTTCGGAACATTGGGACTTCATGGCCCGAGCTTCCCAGGACCGCGGGGACCAGTGGCTCCGTTTTCAGAAGACGGTGTCATTTCTAACAACGATGGAGCAAGAGGGCCTCCGCCAGCCAGATTTGGAGCTCAGAAGGGGCCCATCCCTTCCTTATTCTCAGGGCCACATGGGCCACCTCCTTACGGGGACAACAGGGGCCCCTCACCCTCTCACCCTGGTGGGCCCAGAGGATCAGCACCACCCCAATTTGAAGAACGCAAGGATCTGCACGGGGAAAAAAGGGAATTCCAGGACGCCCCATACAATGACATGGCTGGGCCTCCTGCCCAGTTTGAAGGACCAGAACAAGGCCCGTTGGTGGGAAGCAGAGGCGCAGGCCCCTTCCAGTTTGGAGGCCCACGGAGGCCTCTGCTGCCCCCGTTTAAAGGGCCCCGAGGAGGCCCACCTCCGTCTCAGTTTGGGGGTCAGCGGGGACCACCCCCTGGCCATTTTGTGGGTCCAAGAGGTCCGCATTCTAATCAATTTGAAAGCACCCGGGGCCCCCATCCCAATCAGTTTGATGGGCCCAGAGGTCAAGCCCCAAATTTCATGCCAGGACCCAGGGGAATTCAGCCTCAGCAGTTTGAAGAGCAAAGGGTGAACTCGCCACCCAGATTTTCGAATCAGAGGGCCCCAGCACCCCTTCAGTTCGGTGGGCCAAGGGGGTCTGTGCCTTTCCCTGACAAGAGTGAGCCTGCCCCTCCCCGGTTCCACTTCCAGGGCCAGTCCCCTCAAGTGATGAAGCCGGTGCCCAGACCCCTGCTGGAGCTGCCCAGCCACCCACCCCAGCACCGCAAGGACCGGTGGGACGAGGTGGGCTCAGCCCCCAACCTGCCCTCGGGGGCTCCCGGACCAGCCCCCGAGGCCGAGGCGCAGTGGGCCCCATCCAAAGGCCCGGAGTACAGAAACCAGCCCAGGCCCAAAGAGAAGCTGCTGGATGAGCCTGAGGGCCAGCCTGAGAGCCGGCAGGGCCGCACCTTCGAGGACCGACGGCGGGAGCGGGAGCACGAGCACGGGAAGCCCTGGGAGCGGGAGCGCAGCAGAAACTGGAGCCGGGAGCGGGACTGGGACCGGGGTCGGGAATGGGACAGACACCGTGAGAAGGACTCCGGCCGAGAGCGCAGTGCAAACAGAGACCGGGAGCGGGAGCGGGAGTGGGACCGGAGCCGGGAGCGCAGCCGGAACAGGGACCGGGACCGGGACCGGAGGCGGGAGCGGGATAGGTCTCGCAGTAGAGACCGGGACCGTGACAAGGGCCGGGAGCATGAGCGAGGCGGAGACCGCAAGGACCGCAGCAAAAGCAAGGAAAGCACTCGGGATCCAAAGGCTGAGGCCCTGGCCCCGCGGGCCACCGAGCCCGCTGCCCACACCTAGGCCTGGCCGCAGCTGGGCACTTTCTCTTGAAAGCCAAGTTCATAAAATGTGTTGAACAAATTGTTTTTGAAATAGCTATAAACGTAGATGAAGAATAGAATATTCTGGACTTCAAAAATTACTGTAATTTTGTGTATGATGGTTTCCTACAAAATTTCACATCTTTACAATTCTGATGCTTTTTTAAAGAAATGTAAGAACTCTTAATTTTTCCATTTAAAATTACTGAAATGGGAAAGTGTCTACAGAAGCATATTGCTTTTCAGATTATAAAGTTATCTTTTCCAATAACTTGACTGACTATGGTAAATTTTAAGGGAATTCTGTGGACCTCAGAGCCATACCTTTGCTGACACCTCGTCTGTATTTCTAGGTTTCCAAACGCTGTTTCTGCAGGTTTCGCCGGCTCTGGAGGGTGGTGTGCTTCGTGGAAGCGCCCTCGGCGGGCCGCGTGTGCGCACCAGAGCCGTGCTGTGAGCCCTCTGAAATGGAGACACACAACCTTCCGAATGCGGTTTCCTTTTTTCCTAAAGAGATTTGATGAGAAATTTCAACCAGGAAACACATTGTTTCTTAGTTGTGCTCAGTTTTTTATATGTCACCTCATACGTTTTCTTTTTTTCAAAAACATTAAAAGCAACATCTGTTTGAGTACAAATGGTTGCATTTTAAATAACAATTTATTGGAAAAGGTTTCGATTTTACCAGCCTAAAGGTAAGAAAATATACCAATTAAGTGTACTTTGAAGGGGGGTTTCTTTTATCTCAGTAATCAGGAACATTTTGTTTGTTGAACTTCACCTTCTGCACAGTTCTTCCTTCGTCCCAGGAAAAGTGCACTAGCTCTAAACCGTTATATTTGTCAGGGGGTAAATTTTAAAGTTTGTCTTTGAAAACAAAACAATATTTGTATAAACTCTGAGATGGAAAATAGTGATATTAGTTCAAGAACGAGCAAGTAGAAAGCATCCACTGTGAGATGGTGCGCTGCTTCTTGCTGTGTATTTTTCAAGTTCTGAGGTGTGAGAAAGAGAAAACCTTGCTAATTTATTTGACTGTACAAATACACTTTGATAATTTTTTTATATTTTCATAAACTTACTTTTGCAAATGTAAAATTAGAGCGTCTTTTTTGTTCTCTGGAGTCTGTTGCTCACTGCCTTGCTCCAGATTTCCTCCTCCCGGGGACGGTGGGCTGGGCGCCGTCCAGGGCGAGCAGTCTGGGAGGCTGGTGCCGGGAGCCAGAGTCCCAGGTAAGGCACAGTCAAGCGGTGTTGAGTTCCAACATCTAATAGGATGGGAAGGTTTTTACATGTAACACAAGTTTTTCTAATCTACACAAATGTAAAAATCCAGTGTGTGTCTTTAGGTTTACTCGATAGGATTTTCTGTAACTTGTATTTTATAGCGCAGAGTACTATATCCCCTGTCCATTGAAACGTGGAACTTGGGAGGTTTCGTTACTTGAAGTAGAATAAACATCTACAGAGGTTTTCTGTCTGTGTGATCGCATCCTCTCCACGTTGGAAAGTTGGGGCTGGAAAGGGACACCTTGGCCACCCCTTCTTGCCAGTGGACATGGCAGGGGCTGGGCTGCCCTTTGGCCCTCAGATGCCTTGGAGGTGAGCCCATTCCATGACCGGCTGGTGGCCAGATGCACTGGCTTCAGGGGACTTGCTGCCGGTGCAGCTGACACCCGACCTCATCGAGTTGGGTCAACTCCCTGCACTGCGTTCGTGTGTTGGCCTGTCAGAGCAGGAAGCTAAGCTCACAGCAAACCAGCGGGGGGCCCTGAACACAAGGGCAGTGTGGGGGGTTTCAAAAGGGACCCTGGCATGGGGCAGTCCCACTGCCACAGACCACTGTCCCTGGAAGGTGCTGGACAACCCCAAGGCCCAGCCCAAGGGGCGAGCCCTGACCTTGGAGATGGCCTGGCTAGCTGAGGTTCTGCCAAGTGGTAAAGCTGGATTCTGGCCGGACGCTCCCTACACTGTCAGGGCACTTCCGCCGGGACACTGAGAAGTCCGTCAGTCCTGTGGGGCTCCTCTGGCGGTCGGCCTCCTGTGTCCAGCCTGAAGCCCACCTTGTGTCTTGTGCACACTCCACGACACCTCCCGCTTCCTGCCACCCCAGCACCCTGCCTGTCCTCCAGCCATGACTCCCCTAGTGTCAGGCGGGTACAGGTGCTGCCCAGAGCTCAGCTCTCTGGGAACCTGAAGAGCGAGGGTTGGCTGGAGGACAGCCCAGGAGCCAGCAGCTGCGTTTGCCTGTCGGGGGAGTGCCTGGGGGCTTCTACTCACTGTCACTCCTGGTCCCTGCACTTCAGCCTCTCAGCTGCTGTGAGGGAGAATGAAGGGGGCTGTTTTGCCCCAGCTGATGTGCTTCAGCGGTTAGAGCATCGGCCCATGTACCCTCGGGTCTGGGGTTTGATTCCTGGTCAAGGGCACATACCTGGGTTGGAGGCTCGATCCGCGGCCCCTGGTTGGGACGCGTGCAGGAGGCAATTGATCTTGATGTGCCCCTCCCACATTGATATCCTCTCCCTCCCTCCCTCCCTCCGTCCCTTCCACTCTAAAAAAAAACCAATGGAAAAAATATCCTCCGGGTGAGTATTAACAAAAAAAAAGAAAGAAAGAGACTGTTTCACCAGAAAGCCCAAGGTGCTGGGGCCTCTGCTCCTCCCACCTCCTGCCTCACCAGCACAGGGACAGGCAGACAGGTGCCTGGGACACAGCTCACAGCAGGGACCACACTATGGCCATACTCTTGAAGGGGCCTGAGCCAGCAGAACTGACAGTCTGCAGGCACGCCTGCCACATCTGTTCCTTGTCTAAAACTTCAGGCCGGCCAGGCTGTGTCACATAGCCATCCCTCCTGCAAGGGAAGAAATCAGGGGTGTGAGTAAAAACCAGGAGGAAGTAAGCCTTAGTGGGGACCACCACAGTGTCAGAAAGCTGACCATCACAAGTGCTGGTGAGGACTCAGGCCTGTCCCTCAGGGCTGCTGGGAGGGGCAGGTGTGCTCCCCTGCAGGGCAGCTGCAGTGTCCTACCAGCGGGTTGTTGGGTGAGATGCCACATGACCCGCTGTCCCCGTGCACGTTCAATGAGCAGTACTGGCCTAGATCTTAGGTGTTGCCCAGGCCATGCCCGCTAAGGGCCCCGCCCCCAAAGGCTCCAGGAAGAGGTGCACAGAACCTCTGTGGCCACGATGTCGCCAGGGGAGAGGACAATTAAGAAACACAATTTAAAGAGGGTCGTTAGGGAGGAGTAATTTTTAAAAGATTGAGAAACTGCCCTAAACCAAGACTCACCTTCAAGTCTATAAGTATTTATCGCAATTTATTCAAAATTGCCCAAACGATCAACCACCCAAATACTCTTTTCTAAAAATATAGATTTTTATTGATTTCAGAGAGGAAGGGAGAGGGAGAAGGAGAGAGAGACAGAAACATCAATGATGAGAGCCCTAGCCATTTGGCTCAGTGGATAGAGCATCGACCTGTGGACTGAAGGGTCCCGGGTTTGATTCTGGTCAAGGGCATGTACCTTGATTGCAGGATCCTCCCTGGCCTGGGTTCTGGTCAGGACTCATGCAGGAGGCAACCAATTGATGAATTTCTCTCACATCTATATTTTTCTCTGTCTTTTCCTCTTTCTTCCACTCTCTCTAAAAATCAATGGAAAAATACCCTCAGATGAGGATTTAAAAAAAAAAAGAAAAGAAACATCAATGATGAGAGAGAATCATTGATTGCTGCCTCCTGCATACCCCACATTGGGGATCCAGCCCACAACCTGGGCATGTGGCCTGACTGGGAATTGAACCGTGACCTCCTGGTTCATAGGTCGACGCTCAACCACTGAGCCACGCCAGCCAGGCCCAAATATGCTTCAATTAATGAAAAGTAGAGGCCCAGGCCCAGGGACAGAAAGAAAGCTGGTGGGGAGAGGGTGAGTTTCAGGGAAAGAAGCCACACTGCAGCCACCAGCCAGAGGATCCTGTCACGTGACATTCAGGAGAAGGCAAACACTGCCTCCCTCTCAGGCTGGCAGAAGCACACCTGGCCCAGAATTGAGGCTACTCGGGTCTGCTCTACCAGGGGAGTCACTCCCGCTGACCCACCTCAGCCCTCGAGGCACACCCAGCCGAGTGTCTGTGCTTCTCTTCTGGCCTTCAGATCTCAGGCAGCCAGGTCTCGGTGACCCTCTTGGCCTGGAACCCTCAGGATCTGAGAACAAAGACCCAGCCCCGGCCAGCCACCAGGCCCTCGAACCCTCTAAGCCATAATCTCCCAACAAAGACAGTAACAAAGCCTGCGCCCACCTCACGTGAGACACCATCCCGAAACCACAATGCCGATCCCCAGGAGACCACGCTTCCGTGAGCTGCCGCCCTGCACACTCTGGGAATGAGGCCAGCTCTCTTGTCACATCTCCCGCTAGCTGACAGCACAAGAGGAAAGGGAAGCCGAGGCAAGTGGTTAATAGACACACAAACATGTTCCTGTCAAAGTCAGAAGAGGCACTTCAGCTATGACATCCTTATTTCTGCAGCTGGTCACATGACCGCCACTAGTGCTCATAATGACCCCATTCCCCTGCCCAGTCCGTGCTCCCTGTGCTGGTTGGGTCCCCAGCCTGGTAGGAGACCCGCTTTCCTTCCTGCTGGGTCTGTGCTGTGGGAGGTCCTGGAAGAATTATCACTGTCATTCTCTACCAACTATAATCACAGGATATGGGTGCTCAGAGCCGGCCAGCCCCTGACAGGCCAATCCCCAGGCTGGTACAGTCTGCCATCTCTCCCCTCGAGAAGGTGCTTCTTCCCTTGGGCTGAGCACTCTAGAACCTAAACTTGCAGAAACGGAAAGCACAGATTTTTCCAGTGGATCAGCAGGGCTAATTGTGACAGGTCCCTGAATCCTGGCTTTGAAGCCAGACCACCAATACTGGTTGCTAACTCAGAGCATATACTGTGTCCTGAAGACATCAGCCAGCCCTGTGCCATGCTGCACCTCGCCAGCTCTGGAATTGGGTCCACAAAAGATCATGGGACACACCTATCAGAACGGCCAAAACCCAGAGCACCGACAACACCAAGTGCCGGCGAGGACGCGGAGCAGCGGGAACCCCCCCTTCACTGCTGGTGGGAAGGCAGGGGCACAGCCACTTTGGAAGACAGCTGGGTGGTCTCTTACCAAACTGAACAGATTCGTGTACCCAAAGGAGTTGAAAGCTGATGTCCACATAAAACCTGCACATGGAAACCAAGATGGCAGCATAGGTAAACACCGGAGTCTGCTGCCTCACACAACCACTTCAAAAATACAACTAAAAGACGGAACGGACATCATCCAGAACCACAGGAAGGCTGGCTGAGTGGAAATTCTACAACTACAAGGAAAGAGAAAAGCACTGAGACTCAGAGGAGCTGCAGTGCAGAAGTAAAATACTAAGGTACAGAGGCGCACGCGGAGCGGGCTGGCGGCTGAGGGCGCGGTTGTCGTTTTCAATCGGGAGGGAGTTTCAGGCTCTGAGCTCCAGTTCCGGGTGAGTCTCTGGGGACTCAGACTCATACGGGAGAAGCGGGACTGTCTGGCATCGGTCTGAACTCGAGGGCAGCTTTCTCTCCGGAGTGCTTGCAGCGTTTGCCGGGATGCTAAGAAGCGGGGCCCCTGAGGGCAGGACTGAGAGTAGCCATAACTGCTCGTACTGCCCTGTTGATCCCGTGGGACCCGCCCCGCCCAAGCCCTGCATGGAGGCTTTTGCTGGGTGGCCTCAGGCAGAGGCTAGATTAGCACCTCCCTAGAGATCCAGGAGCTGGTGTGCCCGGTGGTCAGAGTGGGACCATCCAGTTTGCAGCCCCTTGGATCCATAAGGGACACACTCAGGGGGCAGACTCAGTGAGCACCAAAGCCCCATTGAAGCAAGTCTTGCCCCGGAGGGGTGTCTCCAGCACAGAAGTTCTCCCACTGCAGACACAGCTGATTCTCACAGCCAATTGGCCTGGAGGTCAATTCCTCCCAGTGTTACCTACAACAATCAAGGCTTAACTACAACAAGACTGTGCACACAGCCCACAAGGGGTGCACCAAGAGTGCCTACCTCAGGTAATTGGGGAGGCTGAACCACTGGGCCCTAGAGGACACTTAGCACAGAAAACCACTTTATCAACACAGGGAAGCATAAAAAATGAGGAGACAAAGAAACAGGACACAAATGACAGAAATGGAGGAAAGCAAACTACTGGATATAGAGTTCAAAACCACACTTTTAAGGTTTTTCAAGAACTTTCTAGAAGCCGCCGATAAATTTAGTGAGACTCTCAAAAAGACTGGTGAGACTGCCGATAAATGTAGTGAGATCCTCAAGAAATCTAGTCAGACCCTCCAGGTTATGATAAAGGATCAACTGGAAATTAAGCACACACTGACTGAAGTGGAGAATATTATACAGGCTCCCAACAGCAGACTTGAGGATCGCAAGAATCAAGTCAACGATTTGAAATAAGAAGAAGCAGAAAACACCCAACCGGAAAAGCAAAATGAAAAAATAATCCAAAAATACGAAGACAGTGCAAGGAGCCTCTGGGACAGCCTCAAGTGTACCAACATCCGAATTATAGGGGTGCCAGAAGAAGAGAGAGAGAGCAAGATATTGAAAACCTATTTGAAGAAATAATGACAGAAAACTTCCCCTACCTGGTGAAAGAAATAGACTTACAAGTCCAGGAAGCACAGAGAACCCCAAACAAAAGGAATCCAAAGAGGACCACACCAAGACACATCATAATTAAAATGCCAAGAGCAAAAGACAAAGAGAGAATCTTAAAAGCAGCAAGAGAAAGAAAGACAGTTACCTACAAGGGAGTACCCATATGACTGTCAGCGGATTTCTCAACAGAAACTTTGCAGGCCAGAAGGGAGTGGCAAGAAATATTCAAAGTGATGAATGCCAAGAACCTACAACCAAGATTACTTTACCCAGCAAAGCTATCATTCAGAATTGAAGGTCAGATAAAGAGCTTCACAGATAAGAAAAAGCTAAAGGAGTTCATCACCACCAAACCAGTATTATATGAAGTGCTGGAAGGTATCCTTTAAGAAGAGGAAGAAGAAAAAGGTAAAGATACAAATTATGATCAACAAATACACATCTATCAACAAGTGAATCTAAAAATCAAGTGAATAAATAATCTGATGAACAGAATGAACTGGTGGTTATAATAGAATCAGGGGCATAGAAATGGAGTGGACTGACTATTCTTGGGGTGGAAAGGGGTGTGGGGGATGCAGGAAGAGACTGGACAATAATCGTGCGCCTATGGATGAGGACAGTGGGTGGGGAGTGAGGGTGGAGGGTGGGGTGGGAACTGGGAGGAGGGGAGTAATGGGGGAGAAAAAGAGGAACAAATGTAATAATCTGAACAATAAAGATTTAATTAAAAAAAAAACCAAACACCTGCACATGTATGTTTATAGTCATCCTATATAATAAAACCCTAATATGCTAAATGCCTGGTCGTCCAGTCATCCATTCAACCAACCAAAGTGTAATATGCTAATGATATGCTAAGGCTGCTCAACCACTTGCTATGATGTGCACTGACCACCTGGGGGCAGACGCTCCCATTTATAGGTTAGTTTGCTCCTGGGGTCTGGCTGATCAGGACTGAGTGAGACAGGCTGGACATGCCCTCGAGCCCTCCCTCAGTCCCTCCCTGGCTGGCCACCTCCCACGTCCCTCCCCGGCCCGATTGTAAATTGTTGGGGTCCCTTGGCCTGGCCAGTGCCCTCTCGCAATCCGGGACCCCTCAGGGGATGTCGGAGAGCCGGTTTTGGCCCCATCCCACAGGCCAGCCCGAGGGACCCCACTGGTGCATGAATTCGTGCACTGGACCCCTAGTTTTATTCATCATCACCAACACTTGGAAGCCACCAAGATGTCCTTCAGCAGGTGGATGGATAGGTCAGCCAGACAGGGGAATATTGTTCAGCACCAAAAAAGAAATGAGCTGACAAGCCATGACAAGACAGGGAGGAATGAAATGCATGACTGAGTGGAAGAAGCCAATCTGAAAGGAGCCAATCTGTGACTCCAACTATGTGACATCTGGAAAAAGCAAAACTGTGGAGACAGTACAGATCAGTGGTAGCCAGAGGCTGAGGGGAGGGATGAAGAGGTGAGGCACAGAGGATTTTAGGGCCGTGAAAGGATTCAGTGTGATATCCAACATACATGTTCTATTCCTGTTAAAATTCTGTTAAATTTATTTTTTTTATTTTAAAGCAAATGATTTAAATGTGCAGCTACTGAACACTTTCAAAAACTAATCTACTTATGTTGTTCTTCCAGTCTCTATGCCATCTCCACTTTCGGTCCTCAGGTATCAGGGTTCTCTTCTGCGAGTTTTATGTTGATTATTCAGGAAGTTTTTCTGTATTTTAGTTGTAATGCCAGTTTGTTCCTGGGAGCATATCTGTGCAGCATCCAGTTACTCTCAAAATTCTGTTAAATTTACACCTAAGCGTATTTTTGAGTGAGTGTACTGGCATATTTTAATTTTAGTGCACACCTGTGTATCACTGGTATGTGGAACACAATGGACATCTGCATGCTGTTCTTGTATTCTGTGACCTTGCTGAATTCACATACTAGCTTTTATAGATTTCCGTGGGATTTCCTGCACAGATGGGCATGGGATCTGCAAGTAAAGGCACTTCTCTTCCACCTGAAAGCCTGTCTCTCCCCTGCTTTGTTGTGCTCAGTGGGCCCTCTGTACAACGCTGAGCAGATGTGGTGACTGTGGGCATCTTGGCTAATTCCCTCACCCGGGGGTGGGGGCATTTGCTCTTTACCGCCAAGTCTGACATTAGCTATAGTTATATTTCCTGTGTGCTCTTGGTTGGCAGAATTTCTATCAGGAATGGATGTTGGATTAGTCAAACATCGGAGTTTTTTTTTGTTTTGTGTGTATATATTTGATTTCAGAGAGGAAGGGAGAGGGAGAGAGAGATAGAAACATCCACAATGAGAGAGAATCATGGATCGGCTACCTCTGGCAAGTCCCCCACTGGGGATGGAGCCCACAACCCGGGTATGTGCCCTTGACTGGAACCAAACCTGGGACCTTTCATTTCGCAGGCTGACGCTCTATCCACTGAGTAAAAACGACTAGGACCAGTTTTGTTTTGTTTAGGTAATCATATGGCTGATATTTTTCATCTGTCAATACGGTAATTTTAAAAAAATATATTTTATTGATCTTTTTCTTTTACAGAGAGGAAGGGATAGGGATAGAGAGTCAGAAACATCGATGAGAGAGAAACATGGATTGGCTGCCTCCTGCACACTCCCTACCGGGGATGTGCCCCCAACCAAGGTACATGCCCCTGACCAGAATCGAACCTGGGACCCTTGAGTCCGCAGGCTGACGCTCTATCCACTGAGCCAAACCGGTTAGGGCTAATATGGTAATTTCTATTGGTTGACTCTTAAAAGTACACAAAGCTTGCATCATAATCTCCTTTTTGTTAATCTTGTTGAGTTCAGTTGGCTAAGATTTTGTTAAAAAATTTTGCATACTTGCTCAGTTGGTTGAAGCATTGTCCTACACACCAAAATGCTGTGGGTTCAATTCCCCATCAGGGCACATACCTAGGTTTTAGATTTGATCCCCTGTTGGGCATGTACAGAAGGCAACCTATGGATGTTTCTCTCTTTCTAAAAAATCGATAAAAATATATTATCGGGTGAGTATTTTAAAAAATGTTTGCCTACTTGTTCATGGGGGCTGTTGCTCTGGAGTTTTACTCTCCTGTAATGTTGTGTCTGGTCTTCACCTGGGGTTGTGCTGGTCGTGTCTGTGCAGCAGGTGCAGGTCCAGCTCTGGTCCTCGTCATGTGAGGCTCGCGCGGACAGATGGATGGTGCTTATGGCTTACTGGGTGGCCCAGAGCCCCTGAAGTGACTGACTGCAGCGGGGGTCTCCCAGAGCTGGGCAGTGCTGCCCTCGTTCTGTGAAGCCGCTTCCTTCCTCGGGGTTTCTCTCCCATTTGGCCTTTCCTTTTCTTACAGGTTAGGGGCCTGGGCCTGCTATGTGTGCAAAGGAGCCCTGCAGCGGGGTGCTCACTCGCCTCCTCTTGGGGTGATGAGTGCAGCGCTGTGAGCACAACCACTGGGCCGCACATTACATGGATGTGAGAAATGCTCACCTGTCCGAATTCAAATGATGGGCTCAGACAGAAGTATGGCCAAAACGAGATTTTTAATACGCTCTGGAGAGTGGGTGTCCGTTGGTACAGAACACCTGGAGCAGCAAACACCGCTTTATTCAGTCCCTCCTCCAGTTCCTCATTGGCTGAGTATTATGGAGTCACCTGTTTCCTCCATGTCTCCCATTGGGCCATTTAAAAGAATTGGGCTGAGGCCTTCTCCAGTTGCCCCCACATCCCCCTGTTCGGGCGTTTCCACCGTGATGCTGGCCCACGTCCACAGTTCTTTGTTCCTATATCCTGTTCCCTCCTCCCTACATTCTGTTTAACCTGGGGAAATTCAGCAAATTCCATCCAAAGCCCACCCTGCTGGAGATGGGTCACAGAGGCCCACCCCCTACAATGGACGAGCAGTAGGGACTGTGCAGGAGCTCAGTAAAGCTGTGCAAATCTTAGTCCCTTGGCCGGTGTCCGTGGAGGGCACCACACGCCCTGGTAAATACTGGCACGCAGCCTGCCTGTCACACTGGGTTTGGAGCACTGTTCACCCGTCTACTGTCGGGGCGCATGGAGACGTCGTGTCCGCCCCGCATGCTGAGAAGTGGGGAGCCGCACAGCACCCCGTAGCTCCGTGAACTCGGTGGAGTGTGCGCGGCTACCGCCAAGCTTAGGTGGTTTTCGGTCTCCGGACCCCGGTCCCCGGACCCCGTCCGTCAGGACCCAAGAACCCTGGCCCCACCCCCGCGTGCGCGCGCAGCCCGGCCCGGCCCGGCCACCGCGGCCGAGGGGCGGGGCGGCGGGCGGTTGGAGGGCGGGGCCCGCGCAGGGGGAGGGGCTGCCGTTGGGGGCGGGGCCACGCAAGCGCGCTGGACCGGCGGTTTCCGGCGCGCCGTCCGCCTGAGCGCGTCCGACGCCGGCCGGCCCGCCGCGCGCCCCCCGCCGTTGGCGCCGGCATGTCGGGCCCCGGGCCGCGGGAGCCGCCGCAGGCGCAGGCGGGCGGGCCGGCGGGCCCCGAGGGCGCGGACGCGGCGCTGGGCGAGGCGGGGCTGAGCTTCACGACCACCGACCTGAGCCTGGTGGAGATGACGGAGGTCGAGTACACGCAGCTGCAGCACATCCTCTACTCGCACATGGAGGCGGCGGCCGAGGGCGAGCTCGAGACGCGCCTCAACTCGGCCTTCCTAGCGGCGGGGGGCGCGGCGGCGGCGGGGGGCGCGGCGGCGGCGGCGGGCGGGGGCGCGGCGCCCGTGTACCCGCTGCTGTGCCCGCCGGCGCTGGCCGACGGCGGCTTCGCGGGCGCCAACCCGTGCCTGGGCCACATCGACTTCCAGGAGCTGCGCATGATGCTGCTGAGCGAGGCGGGCGCGCCCCCCGCCGCCGCTGCCGCCGAGAAGACGCCGGGCGCCGACGGCCCGGGCCCCGGCGCAGCGCGGCCCAAGGCGCCCGACGCCGCCGGCAAGGAGAACGTGGAGGGCGCTGGCGAGGCGCGGGCCAAGTCGGCGGTGCGCGTCCGCCTGGAGGACCGCTTCAACAGCATCCCCGCCGAGCCCCCGCCCGCCCCGCGCGGCGCCGAGCCCCCCGAGCCCGGCGTGGCGCTCAACAAGTGGGTGCCTGGGCGCGGGCGGCGGGGCGGAGGACGGGTCCCGCGGGTGTGGGTGTGGGAGGGTCCTGTGCAGGGGCACCCGTTCCTTCTGGCTGCCATCAGCAGGGGCAGGCCCGCTGGGTCGGTGAGGGGGACTGAGGACGAGGCTTTGACGGACGCCCGCTCCGGAGAGCTCTCAGCCTGGCTGCTCCCGTGACCCTGCAGCTTGCCATCCATCCCACCTACAGGTTCCCCGTTTTATGCAGTCATGATTTTGGAGGATGGCTCTCAAAAGAGATGGGTGTCCAGGGCGTGATGGGGAGGAGGAGGTATAACTAAAGGATGACAGCCCCTTCCCTTCGTGAGGAAGAAGGTGAGCTTGTCCACTGCATCAGTTGACAGTTGCTTGGTAGAGAGTTCGGTGATGGGCGTGTTCCTCCCGACAGATTGGAGCACCCCTAGAAAATGCAGTGTTAACCTTGGAGGTGATGGCAGATGGTGGCGTGCTTCAGGAAGCTTTCCTGCCGAGTCATCACGTGTTTCTGCGTCTTCTTTTGTCTCGGCAGTTTGGTGACTCTTATTCGACATCCATCTGAGTTAATGAACGTTCCTCTTCATCAGCAACAAAACAAATGCACAGCGTTAGTGAAAAATAAGACCGCCGCCGCCGCCACGACCCTGCAGCTCACCTACCCCCTGTTCACTGCGAACGCCTGCTCCTCTGGCGGGGGCACCAGCCTCTCTCAGACGCAGGTGCAGAAAGTGGCTTTGTTGAGTGACCTTAACCTCTTTACTTAGGTTCTTTCATTGATTTTCTTAACTTTTTCAAATAGATAGCATTTGTGGCTTAGTTGGGTGGAGTGTTATTCCATCCAGCCAAAGGTGGCGGGGTCAATTCCTGGTCAGGGCAGTTTCAATCCCCGGTTGGGGCATGAGTGGGAGTGACCGATTGCTGTTCCTCTCTCACATCGATGCTTCTCTCTCTTCCTCTCTCTCTAAAATTTAATACAAAAAGAAACAACATATAAAATTGAGAGCATTTATGTGGTTAGAGAATTTTTTTTTATTTTCAAAAAGTGTTACAGGTCTCGTCACCACTGTAATAAAATTACTGTGATGGAAGCATAATCTGTGTCTCAATGTAGCCACATTAACAAATTGGTTAGGGAATTTTCAAAAGTCCTCTGTGACCTAAGCTCTTCACGTTGCATGTTAATAGCTTTGACGTCACTGCTGTTACCGCGTTGTATTTGTGCAGAAAAGAGAAGGCGCATAGTGATCAAGTTCCCGTTGCTTCATCTTTTCCAGAGTTCTAATAACTCCTGTTCTATACTGGAGGCTGCCAAACATCAGGATATTGGATTGCCGAGAGCATTTTCTTTCTGTTATCAACAAGAAATTGAATCCACGAAGCAGACTTTAGGTAGTAGAAACAAAGCTTTGCCTGAACAGGTTTGGATTAAAGTGGGAGGTAAGCCACCAAGCAGGAGGGAGCAGGCACTTCTGTCTGACCTCTGCCCTCCTGTCCTTGTGGTCTTTCGAGGGGGTGGTGGTTTATGAACATGACCGTCTTGGAAGTGTCTGTATCTCAGGGCTTCCATCTTCCCCTAGGGCAGTGATGGCGAACCTATGACACGCGTGTCAGAGGTGACACGCGAACTCATTTTTTTGGTTGATTTTCCTTTGTTAAATGGCATTTAAATATGTAAAATAAATATCAAAAATATAAGTCTTTGTTTTACTATGGTTGCAAAGATCAAAAAATTTCTATATGTGACACGGCACCAGAGTTAAGTTAGGGTTTTTCAAAATGCTGACACGCCGAGCTCAAAAGGTTCGCCATCACTGCCCTAGTCACCTACCTCACTTTCAGCATTTGCCCGAATTATAGGCATCATGCTTACAGTTGGTATGGAAACATTGCGTTCGGGCTGCCTGTTCTTAATAGTAAATACCCTAACAAAAATGATAGACTTATATAGAGTTTCAGTTACCTTCAAGTCACCAAAGCACATAGGCTTGTTTGTCTTTATTTTCCTTGTGAGTGAGGCAAGGCCTGAAATCTGCTAGAAGCTTTAGGAGACAGTCCGTGGGTGGGCAGAGGTCTGAGTTGGAGGCAAGGAGCCATAAGGTGATGTAGAAACAGACACGGCTGAAGGCAACTCGGCTTTCCGAGAGCTATGAACACCAGATGGGGTGGAGGGCTACTGCTTTCTCCCGTGGCAATAACTAATTTTTTCCTTGTTTTTATGACACAAAAGTATATGTTAACATTTGTCAGGTGTGAAGGTTAAGATTGAAATAGCTCCTGTACTGCTTACTCAGCTTAAGGAATAAAACATTACCAATGCCTGTGAATTCCCTGTGTCCAATATTCTGAAATGTGGTGATTCTTTTGAATGTGGCTTCTCAGGATGCACGTCACCACACACACCAGTTAGGTGTCTGCTGTTCTGTGTCTGGTGGAAACATGACGTATTTTTGTAGCTCTGATGTGATTGCTCCTCAGGTGGGAAGAATCACTTGTAAGGTGAGCGTGAGTTGAATCTTAAACCACTTAGCATTTGTCCTCTTCTGAGAAATGCAGTTGTCATATTAGAACTAGTGGCCCATTAAAAGGGGATTAATTAGAGGAAATATTTTAATATTGCTATTTGCCTTTTCTCTATAATAGAAGTGTCAGAGATGAAAGAAAATTAGTAAAATGTATATGAAAATCTTCTTCCTGTCAGTCTGGGGTGCACCATGGGATCCAGAGTTAAGTCCCCACCCACCCGCTCACACCTCAAAATCACGCGAGACCCACCCAGCTGCCCCCTCCCTCATTGGGCTAGATCCAGACCCAGCCGGTCTCACCCTTGTCAAGCCTCTCTGGGTGGGGGGCAAGGCCTCAGGTCCCCTGGCCCGGTGCCGGGGTGGGGGGTATGGCCTGAGGTCCCCCATTAATCCCTGCCGGGCAGGGGGCATGGCCTGAGGTCCCCTGTCAACCCCCACGGGGGTGGGGGCGTGCAGCCTCAGGTCCCTGCTGATTGCTCCTTAAGGCTTGTTATGGGAACTCGCCTCAGCTGTGGGTGCAGCCATCTTTGCGGCAGAGCGATGGTCAGTTTGCATATTCCCGCTTTATTATATAGGATAATTCCAGCTTTTCCCCCCACTCTGAATATCAGAAAAATCAAATAACTTCTTGGTTGTTCATAGATGACAGTTAACGCCTGTTGATTAACGGGGGGGCGGGGGGGTTGGCAGGGCTATGCTGATTAACACTCAGCATGTTGTAATTTGGTTAGAGGTCTGTGTCTAGTTTTGTGTTTGGAACTAAGAGCTTGGAGCTGGCTGCTCACACAGAGTTGCCTTCGTGTCCAGCTCGTCCTCTTCAGGTCTCTGCTCCTTCCCCATTAATGTTTATGTCTTGGATTGAAGATTTCAAAAATGTATTCAGCATTACTGGAGGTAAGTTAAAAATAAATAATTAAAGTACCACTTTTTTCTTATTTTGCAAAGAAGAAGCGCTGTGCAAACAAGCGATAAATAAGAGGAATCGGAGTAGGATACGTCAGTTGGACACCAGTGTGGAGCGAAGAGCCCTCGGAGAGATTCAGAACGTGGGTGAAGGTGCCACCACCGCCCAGGGCTCCTGGCAGTCTGCAGAGTCATCACAGTCTCATCTTGGGGAGCAGTCCCAGAGCGCCCCGGGCGGAAGGTCACAGCGCAGGGAAAGGCACAACCGCATGGAGAGGGACAGAAGGTAATGTGTGTACGCGGGACCGAGCTTTGGAGCATCTGTGGACACTTACCTTAGACACGTTAGTAATAACGGCACCTTGCCGTAAAAACGAGAGTAGCCGTGTCTGTGTTCAAAGGCGGGGAGAGCTCGCACGAGTAAATGTGGACTTTGCTGGGTGGATTGGGGTCCCCAACACCCCCAGACCATCCTGATTGATTAGAAAAGACATGGAAAAATTTGAGAAGGTGGGGGGATGAGGGCGGGGCCTCCCAAGGGCTCTTCGCAGGGGAGCACTTCACTCCCCAGCCCTGAGTTCTTGGATGTGTGAAAGCTGTCAGCAGACTCCATGCCCGAGATTGTTTGGGGACCAGTCCTGTGGGCGTCCCCTGCCCAGCACACAGTCAGGCTCCAGACCCAGAAGGAGAGCCTGTGTTTCATGGAAACCACATTGTATAAACCGCTTAGGCCAGTGGTTCTCAACCTTCTGGCCCTTTAAATACAGTTCCTCATGTGACCCAATCATAAAATTATTTTCTTTGCTACTTCATAACTGTCATGTTGCTACTGTTATGAATCGTCATGTAAATATCTGATATGCAGGATGGTCTTAGGCGACCCCTGTGAAAGGGTCGTTCACCGCCAAAGGGGTCGCGACCCACAGGTTGAGAACCGCTGGCTTAGGCACAGGGAGCCTCTCTTAACTCACAATGGTGGGAAATCTGAAGTTCCCAGATGCCAGCCAGGCCAGCCTCATGGGCATGCCTGCCTTCCTGAGGGTGGGTGGCCTGCCGGCAGTTCCCCTGCAGCCCTTGTCACCAGTTTGTCCTGGTTCCTTTAAGAATGTTGGGGAAGGAGGGGGTTAAAACTGTGAAGTCGTTTTGTCTCTACATATATTTGCAGATTCTGTGTAGAATCGGGGTGGTTAGTGTTTCTTACAGCTGGGATTTTACATGGTATTTTCTAACACAGAGTTAGTTAACTGAGTCATTCATTGAGCACGCGGACCAGTTTTTGTTGTAGGCTCAGGAGGTGCAGCCTGGACCAAGACGAAGCCCCATGGTGGGGCTGAGGCAGGTTACCCCTCTGAGGCAGGGATGGGGACCTTGTTTCTGCCCAGGGCCATTTGGATATTTGTAACATCATTCTCGGGCCAGACAAGATTATCAGCTTAAAAATTAGCTGCTACATTTGATCAAACATTTAACTCACCCCTAATGCCTTACAGGGTCAAACCAAATGATTTCGAGGGCATGATATGGTCTGAGGGCCGGGTTTCCCCACCCCTGCTCTAAAGGGATACAGTTAAGCCAGCCAGGTCCCATGGACTGTGATGCACACACACCCTTGAGCTCACCAGGTGACAGAGCTTCTTTCCTCTGGCATTTATTTAGAGGACATTCACTGAGCACCTGCTCTGGGAAAACCCTTGCATGTTCACAGTGGAAGTTTCTATTCTCACTGCCATGTCCTAGTGTAACAGCCTTCCTTCCGCCAGCTCTTTCCATCCTGTCCTGAGCTTCCGTCTATAAGAGTTACTGTCTACCACGTAGGTTTACGTTAAAATTAAACAAGCTGATGAGGGGTGGAGAGCACCGCTAAGTGCCAGCTGTGTTCATGCCAGCTGTGTTCACAAGGCCCGTGACATCCTGCGCGCTCAGCAGGAGACCAGGATGAGGGCCGTGCCCTGTGCATTGTTTAGTGTCAGCTTAGGTCGGACTCCGCACGTCACTAGCCATATGTGTGCAAGTTACAGATGGCCTAGTCGTGACTCCAGCTGTGATTTGATTGGTCTCTAAGGCGGCCAGGTTTCCAGACATTAACAGACTGGTGTCTGTGGTCCTTTTTGAACCAGGTCCCTTGACGAAGTGAGGCTGGGATCTTCATCCTGGGCACAAAGCGGGCAGCTTACTAACTTGAGGGAGAGGGTGACCTGCCCAATAAGTAACACGACACTTAGCTTCCAGTTTCAGAGGTTTGGGTCTGTCGTTGGTCTAGCCCAGTGGTCGGCAAACCGCGGCTCGCGAGCCACATGCGGCTCTTTGGCCCCTTAGTGTGGTTCTTCCACAAAATACCATGTGCGGGCGTGCACGTACAGTGCGATTGAAACTTCGTGGCCCATGCGCAGAAGTCGGTTTTCAGCCTGGGTGAGTCTCTTTTGAAGAAGTGACATTAGAAGAAGTGGGGGTACGTTCGCTGAGGTCGACCCCTCAGATTGAGGACATTTTCAGCAAAGGACAGCTTAGGAGTACCGTAATTAAGTTAATAACAATGTACCTACCTATATAGTTTAAGTTTAAAAAATTTGGCTCTCAAAAGAAATTTCAACCGTTGTATTGTTGATATTTGGCTCTGTTGACTAATGAGTTTGCCAACCACTGGTCTAGACCCTTGAATCTGGCCCCTGGGAAGTAAATAGGGAAGCTCCCCGAGGAGGGTGCCCAGGGCAGGAGTGGCCGAGGGAAGGAGCCTGGGTGAGGGCAGTCAAGAGCACCAGGTCCTGGGGGGACAGGCCTCTGCCCGTGCACTTGGTGCCAGGCCCCTGCGCTCTGACTCTTCAAGTGACACACACATTTGCTCAGCTCTGTGTTTGCTTCAGATTCTCTGTGTTGCTTTGGATTTTGCTGTAGGCGCAGAATCCGCATTTGCTGTGATGAGTTGAATCTTTTGGTCCCGTTCTGCAACGCCGAGACAGATAAGGCCACGACCCTGCAGTGGACCACTGCGTTCCTAAAGTACATTCAGGAGCGCCATGGAGATTCTCTTAAGAAGGTGAGTATTGCCGGGCTGGCATGGCTCTGTGGTTGAGCGTCGACCTATGAACCAGGATGTCACAGTTCGATTCCTGGTCAGGGCACATGCCCAAGTGGTGGGCTCAAACCCCAGTGTGGGGTGTGCAGGAGGCAGCCGATCAGTGATTCTCTCTCATCATTGATGTTTTTATCTCTCCCTCTCCCTCCCTCTCTGAAATCAATAAAAACATTAAATTAAGGTGAGTATTGAGGCCAGGTGAGTTTTAGGAGTTTGTCAGCTTATCAGTGTTCTTATGTGTCCTTTTCCCTGAAGATCCCAAACTGTCCTCTGTGTCCTGGAATCAGACGTTACGGAGTCATTGTGAGCAAGAGCTGTGCTCGTGGCGTGTGCTCAAGTGGCCTCCGCCTGGCCTGCTCACTCCATGATAGTGGAGATGACGGGGGTCGCCCTCGAGACAGGCTGAGCACCTGCTGTGTGTGGTGGATTGGACTGGGCGAGGGGGGCTTTCAGAGACTGGAGGAGGGAGTGGTTTTGCCCTCAGGAAACCCAAAGGGATAAAGCAAGCAAAGGGCAGATAAATGTCAAGTAAATGGTCTGGACTTCAGTGCCTCCAAAGGCAGAAAGAGAGACACTTGTGTGGGTTGGGTGACTGGGTGACCTGGGGCTCGGGCCAGCATGTCCTTGACCATCTGTTGGGTTCCCATTGGACCGAATGCTTGGTGTGGTTTTTGTCCGCCCCTTCCTTGGCTCAGAGGAGAGAACCCAGGTGGTGTCAGCTGTGGCTTCTGTGTTCCTCCGGACACCAGGGCTCCCGTGTTGGCTGCAGAGCTAGTGGTCAGGCTGACTGGTAAGGAGGCTTTAGTGAAGTGAGCTGCAGCATGAGTCTGATTGGAGAGCCAAGCTGAGGTTGGTGTGATAAACATGGAACCTTTTTAAAAAGCGCCTCATGTCCTGGCTGGGGCTTAGTCCGTTGGAGCGTCGTCCTGTACACCAGTAGCTTGTGGGTTTGATTCCTGGTCAGGGCACATGCCTAGTTTTCAGGTTTGATTCCTGGTCGGGGTGTGTACAGGAGGCAGCTGGTTGATGTTTCTCAAATGATGTTTCTCTCTCTCCCCTACCCCCTTCCTCTCTCTCTTAAAAAACAAAACAAAACTATGAAAACATCCTTGGGTGAGGATTTAAAAAAAAAAAAGAGCCTCATGTGTCCAGATGCTGGACGCTGCACGCGTGGCCGGCCGTGCTGAGTGGCTCTGCTTCCCTGGTCTGCGGCGTGTGAGCTTCATATTTCATCTCTGTCCTGGTTCTCACTGTCTATTTAATTGCATTTCCAAGCAATGCTTATGTCGGATTCCCTCTGGCAGCGGTTCTCAACCTGTGTGTCGCGACCCCTTTGAAGCTGTATTTAAAGGGCCAGAGGTTGAGAACCACTGCTCTAACGGATCATTTATAGTTGTCATGCAGTTGCTCTTTAACACTATTTGTTAGGGGTAGACTGTGGGGTTATTTTATTTTATTTTATTTTTTGGGGGTTATTTTAATAAAATAAAGCTTTTACACTTTTTAAATGATTTAATGTTTGGCTCTGTGTACCTATTAGAAAATTATTGATAGAACTCATTCAAGTATGATGAAGGCATTACAACAGCAAAAACCTTGTTAAATATACACACACTCTCAGATTGATTTATAGGTATTATGTTTTATGGACAGTATGCATACTGGGCATTTCTGAAATTTAATTATATTGAATTTGTAGATTGTTTCTGCATCAGATCATAGGAACATCAAGAAACAGGCCGGAGTGACGCCAGTTGGCAACTGGCGGGAATTAGGAGGCAAACAGCCTAACCCAGTGATGGCGAACCTTTTGAGCTCGGCGTGTCAGCATTTTGAAAAACCCTAACTTAACTCTGGTGCCGTGTCACATATAGAAATTTTTTGATATTTGCAACCATAGTAAAACAAAGATGTATATTTTTGATATTTATTTTATATATTTAAATGCCATTTTACACATAGCGTACCGCATAGAAATCTCTAAGACGTACACCAGGGATCGCACGTTTTTGGGCAAACTGCACGTTATTTAAATCATCATAATGCACTTTAGGTGTTGTTTTCCAATAATTATAACATTTTTATTTACAAAAACAATTAAACAATTAAAGTTCCTAGTACTTTTTTAACGTATGGTGCTGCGTAAAACATTTTTCTCTATGAAGAGGGACCAAACAAAATTTACGTAAGTATCTAGATTCGCTCCTTTTTCCATGGGCGTGAAAAACAAGAACACTCGTGAGGGGTCCTTAACAGATGGCGCGAAACACGAGAAAACTCCTGGGCGGTACGAAATGTGTTAAAGAAAAATCACCCAAAAAAATGAGTTTGCATGTCACCTCTGACACACGTGTCATAGGTTCGCCATCACTGGCCTAAACGCACGTGGGCCTCACTGTTTCTCAGTAACTCACCCTTCTACTTGCATGAATGTCTTTGTTCTCAGAATACGATGCATGAGAGTCTGAAGTAATTTTCCTGAGTTATCTTAGCACACATTGAATTCCACAAACCTTTCCTGCTCCATCCAGGCTTCTGCTCAGTCATACTTTAAATACATGGAGACCCCGCTGGCCTGTGGGCGGCGTCCCCAGCGTCTCAAAGAGGGGACACTGCCGTGCGGGCCCTGCCGCAGCGCGCGTCTGAGGCCAGGTGTCCACAGCCTCGACGGGTCAGGCCGGAGTGGCACGCTGTGATTGACGCTTTGCTGTGTGCAGAGCCTGGACTCTGGGTAGGAGAGGTCCAGGGGGGAGTGAAGGTGAAGACGCTGGTTGAGGGCCGCAGAGCCGCTCTCCGAGACTGCTGGGCGCTGCGGTGGGAGCCGGAGGCCCGCGCTCGCTGTGATGTGGGCGTGCTGGAGGAGGGATTGGGGAGCACTCGGGGTTCTGGCTTGAGCTGCTGGGTGGACAGGGAGAAACAGGTGGGCGGGCGGAACCCATGGTCTTTCCCAGACTGTTTAGTGCCCAGGACGACTGCTAGGTGACTTCAAAGACAACTGCAGACGTGACCCTTCTCCGCTGAATGTCTGCTCGTGTGTCCTAATGCCCCTTCCTCCCCAGGCCATTGTCATGCCTCCCACATTGATTGTAGTTCTCTGATGTCTAATAGTCACATGTCCCCAAACTGCTTTTAAAATGACTCAGCTGTGTTTTTTCCCTGAACCAGTGACCAGCCATGGGGTTTGCATTTCATTATATTCTGCGGCCTCTAACTGGGGGTCCCTCCATTAGTTATTGTGGCATCCAGGTGTCAGAAGAATTCTGCACTTAGATGGCTCACTTTATTATTTATTTACTATGGCAGTTTAAAATTCGATGCTACTTCAAACTTGAATGACAAGAATAGGACTGAGAGCCCCTCATATACCCTCCTGGCTTCGCCCAGAGCCGCCAGCTGTTGGCGTGTTGCCCCATTTGCTCCATTCTGTGCAGAATCTGTATTTTGCTGAACCTTTGACAGTGAGTTGCAGGCACAAGGCCGCTTTGCACCTGGCCTTCTGTGTATGTTTCAGTGAGAGCACGTGGTCAGAGACAGGACTTTATACCGACACTGTTACTAGTAGTTCAGGGGCAACATTCACACTGCACCTGTTGTCCCGGGGGTCCAAGGTCACGGGGCTCCCCAGACCGTCATTCATCCCTGCCTCTCTGCTGTGCCCTTTCTGGTTCCACCTGAAGTCAGGGGACGGGACAGCTCTGCCAGATGGTCACTGTCCTTCAGTACCTGCTTGGGATTAGGGGCAGAGGTGCTGTTACTTGTCCCATAGTTACTCCCCTGCGAGAACTGGGCCCTTGTCCCCTGCCAGCAACTATCCCCCTCCTTGCTGCTCAGCTGCACCGCTCAAAGGAATTGCCTGTCCCATCTCCTTTCTCCAATTGCCTTTGACTGCCTAGTGCCTGTTTAGCCAGTGATGGGTCAAAGGTGATTGTGTTGACCTGACCTTGACCTCCGCCGCCAGTCCCCAGGTCACCACCCTCCCTGGTGTTCCTGCTTCTCTTGAAGCACCTGCTCCCCTCCCTCCTTCTATAACGCCCCCCATTCAGACAGTCCGGGAGCGGAGCGGCTGGGGATCTCACCATTGGTGCACACGACCCCTCCCTCATCACCTCCAGCAGGACCCTCGCTCCCAGGCAGGAGAGTGGCCGCCTGGCTTGGGGGCTGGCACTGTGGGGAGACCCTCCTGGGGAGTGCTCCACAGCTCTGTGCTGTGAGCTCGTTCCTCCCTCGTTCTTCCATCACACCTGCTCCTTTGTCCCTCATCCCAGTGTCCTGGCTCTGCTGTGGGTCTTCCCAGAGCACCGGTCCTGGTCTGTTCCTGGCCTCTTGGATTGGGAACAGGAGAGTCAGTAGGAATGTGTTTTCTATCATAATTTGCTTTTCTGTTAATTATTTTTAAACCGTACCTCTCTTTCTTTCCTTCTTTTTTTTTTTTAAATATATATATATATATATATATATATAATTTTTTTTTTTAAATATATTTTATTGATTTTTTACAGAGAGGAAGGGAGAGGGAGGATAGAGAGTCAGAAACATCGATGATAGAGAAACACCGATCAGCTGCCTCCTGCACATCCCCATCTGGGGATGTGCCCGCAACCAAGGTACATGCCCTTGACCGGAATCGAACCTGGGACCCTTCAGTCCGCAGGCCTACGCTCTACCCACTGAGCCAAACCGGTCAGGGCTAAATATATATTTTATTGATTTTTCACAGAGAGGAAGGGAGAGAGATAGAGAGTTAGAAACATCGATGAGAGAGAAACATCGATCAGCTGCCTCCTGCACATCTCCTACTGGGGATGTGCCCGCAACCCAGGTACATGCCCTTGGCCGGAATCGAACCTGGGACCTCTCAGTCCGCAGGCCGACGCTCCATCCACTGAGCCAAACCGGTCTCGGCATTTCCTTCTTTTTAAGTTTAGATTTTCTGGTGCTTGAGTTGCAAGCTGACTTCATTT